GATATCAAGTCGCTTTAATTGATATAGTCCAGATAATTGGCTAAGATCATCAACATAATCGAGATATTGAGCTGGGTCCATCAAAATAATCGAGACACGCCAGTATCGTATCAAAATACAATACTTAATATGCTACGCTGGGTTTATGAAACCAGTCCAAATACTAGGAAGAAAGGATTCGTCAAATTAATCCAGATACTAGGCTGTGTTCCTTAAAAAAATAATGCAGATTCTTTGGATGGATTCAACAATATACTGTACTAGATTTTAGGCCGATTTCTTCCAAACAATTTCAAAATAATTCATATACAATACTAGTTTGGGTTCATGAAAATAATGCAGTAGCATGGTTGGGTTCATCAAAATAAACCAGGTACTTGGCTATGTTCATCAAAACTATTCATATACCATGCTGGATTTGTCAATATAATCCAGATCATAAGCTAAGTTAATCAAAATGGTGCAGATACGTTACTGTAAAACATCTTTAACCTCACTGTATCGCAGAATAATCTTCATGACATGTTTTGTAAGTAACGGTACAATCCCAGAGTAATCCTGAGTAGTCTTTCATATGCTGAAAGTTGGTAGTGGGGTCAGGGTGCGAGAATGAGTCCGAGACGCCCCGACAACACGCACACACCAAGTAAACGACCTCCCCCCCCCCTACCCTCAACTCTCTACTCAATGAGTTCGTCCCGTCCTACCTGTGACTACACAAAAGCAAACGGCTGTTGCCCCTTGGCCCCCTGCTACCCGCAACGCTTACACACACACAAACACCCACACGTGAGCCATATCCTGCTGTCTTCGTCTGTCACGCCAACTCGCGCTAGTAACCTACACAAGACACGCAACACACTGTACCTTTGAACAACTTCAGTAAAAAAAAAAATACCTCCGTGAGGGACAGGAGTCTGTCTACACATGCACACCCAAACTGACTTGTAGGTTTCATTAATATATGGTGGGGATATGAGATTAAGTGAGGGAAATTGTGGTGTAATATGGTGCAACCACTGACTTTTGATTTACTGTAACTATTTCCTAGAAAGCCTTCCCCGTTCCCCACTCCCTTACCACCACCACTAACAACACCAGGATCTGAAACTACGTTTATTCTAAGAAAATAAATTTTAAATTCAATTATACAAATGCAACTTCCTGAAAGACAATATACATAAGCGGAAAAATTGCTTAGTGTCATTATCTGAAATTATTTCGCGAAGACTACACGAAAGTTTCCTATTTGTCAACATAACGAAACAAATTACAATCAGTTAAAATAATTGGATCACTGATGGTCGTCCAGAGAATTATCCAGCTATTATATCTTCAAAATTGACTAGAGGGCGTGCACAACCAACATAAGAAAGTCATAGAAGCATCAGTATTGACACAGGCTCGATGCTCCACCTCCGCCAACCGCATCTCGCCACAAACTAGGTCGAGGTAATTGATGCAGTGAAATATGACATGTAATCCGTGAGATACGAATTTGTGTGTGTGTGTGTGTGTGTGTGTGTCGTAATGAGTCAAGATATAAATAAGTATAGTCCAGCTCCAGCAGCAGTAAGAGACTGTTTCGCACTGCTCCAAGCATTAATTGTAAATAAGTTTTTAAGAAAGGCAACAAACCTACAAAAGAGCTTCTAATCCCCCTTTATAACTCTGCGGAACTGGATTAAAATTGTCAAACTATTAAACCTTCAGAGATAACCAACACCTAGTATAATATACTTAATAATGTACCGAAAATAAAAATTTCATTGTCACATTATTTACCTCCTGCCGTTTACATTACTGAGTTCTAATAAATATGTTAAAGAAATGGAACATCAAATTGTGTAATGTAAGCCAGAGTGTTGTACATAATACTTTGAAATATTATGCGTCAAAAGTATAGTGCATTTTCGATATTGTGGTTTACACTCGCACGTCAAACTATGGTTATACAAAAATTATCCTCCACCGTAATCCTCTAATGGCTGTCGCATCCGTCTAGAGGAACCAATGTGTTGTACAGTGGGAATAATCTGAACATGTCGATAATTACTAAACACCGTGACTTCGACAAGGTGCTCACATTACTGATTTTGAGCCAATGCTACATGGGACTTGACTGTAACGAGAAAACTATTAATTTCTAGTGTATTTTGAAAATTATCAGGTACCAGGGGGTATGGATGTGTGGTGAAGTGTGAACGTAGTGAGGTTGTGGGAGAAGTGGTGAGCGTGGTCTGGTTGTGTAGAGTGAGAAAGGCCAGTGGAGGTACGTGTTATGGCCGTGTGGGGGTGGCGGTGAGTGTGGTCAAGATCAGTGGTGTGGTTGTGTGAGACAGAGAGAGCGTGTGGTGTGGCTTGTGGGGGGGGTGAGCTTAGTGTGGTTGTGAGGCTAAGTAGGGGGAGGTGAGAGTGGTGTAGTTGTGTGAGTGGGGTAAGTGAGTGTGTTGTGGTTGTGTGGGTCAGGGGAGGGGCGGGGTGAGTGTGATGTGGGTCGGGGAAGGTAAGTGAGTGTGTTGTGATTGTGTGGGTCAGGGGAGGGGCGGGGTGAGTGTAATGTGGGTCGGGGAAGGGAAGTGAGTGTGGTGTGGTTGTGTGGGTCAGGGGAGGGGCGGGGTGAGTGTAATGTGGGTCGGGGAAGGGAAGTGAGTGTGGTGTGGTGTGGCTGTGTGAGGCTGTAGGGAGGTGAGTGTGGCGTCGTGTTTATGTGGTAGAGAGGGTGTAGGTGATTGTGGTGCGGGTGTGTGTGTGTGAGGGCTGCCATGGTTACCTCAAGAGTTTTTTGTGCAGTGTAGTAGCCTGGCGAGTGGACGGGGGTACCAGTACACATACCACCCTTACTACCCACTCCATGCCAGTTCAAATCGACCCTCAAGGCCGTCGCGTGTAGCTCGGCTAATACATATAACCTAATAATACTTGACTTAAACTAAATCTTTACGAAAAACAACACTTTTTTTATAAATACTAACTAACAAAAATTATCATACACAGTCACATAAATATGATTTGAGCAGTGTAGCTGTTACAGGCAAAAAATGGTTGCTACTCCCGATGACTGCTCAACATTCTTAGTTTGAAACCTCAATAGAAAGTGAAAACTAAACCAAAGTTTCCAACTATAATGTGTGTGCAAGCGGAAAGAGAGTACTGTACTTCATGACTACCACTCGAAATTAACTTCTAAATGACGTTACCCCGATTAAAATTACTGGACCCCGCGTCACGAATCGTTTATGTGGTCGTATAGAGCACATGGCAGGATATTGATGCGACGCTTTTTACAGCATGACGGCAGTATAAACCCACGGCAAACTAAGGGCACCACGTTTTGCAGTTCCTATGGTACACTTTATTTTTAATTTTGTATATATTTTCCTTGTACAGAAGACACTGACAAATAGACAACATTACAAAGCAAAATGATTCAAAAGTTGAATGTGCATAAAATTGACAACTGCGGTAATGGAGGTGTGGGCGTAGGTGTTCGGGTGGTGATGACCTGTTGCAAGATTACGTGTCCGCCAGCTGTTTATCTAATATCTTTCTGCAGCACGAAACACTACTTAATGAGTTATTCCTGCTTATGTTTTCCATCACGTCAGACAGTGGCAAACATATGTAAAACTAGCTTTATGTTTCACCAAGAACCTTACCGTCACTACATGCAGTAACCCCCAACACACATGGGTAAGTCTGCTTCATTATAGCAAAATCTTCAAATATATTCACACGCCATCGTCTCTCCATGTCCCCACCGGAAGATACAGGGGACGAGGGTCACAGTTACTCATATCCGCCGATACGAATTACAGGTATATTCGTGTTTCCATGTTATGAGAAGTATAACATCTGTACTCTCGCACCACAGTGTACTCAAATTATATTTTAGTTTGACGTAGAAATAATCCACAAAACAGCAGCTGTGTGATGTAACTTTAATAGGCTTCCCCTTACCTACCTGACCCATGAGACTTCATCTGTTCACTCATCAATTATTGATTCTTATTGACAGATGCAGCACTCAAGCATAAAAATAGCCTGGGTATATAGTTTTCCTACAGATATTTTTGGTGTCCCAAAATCGTTGCAGAAATGTAGAGCTATTGAAGCACTGCAAGCATTTTTTTTCCACGAGCCCAACATTTACTTTTTTATGATTGTAATATATTTTTAAAATATTTTTGACATACTTATTTGTGTCTGAAAGGTATAACTCACAAACAGTAAACATTCAAGTGCCATTAAAAAAGCTTGCTATCTGAATGCAGCAGCGTTCCCAGCCGGTCAGTGATCGGTCAACTCAGGGACATAATGGGCAGTGCACGAAGACAAGAAGTATCCGATACACGGACATACACTAGTGTATACGTGGTTTATGAACTGATAGAGGCTGTCGAGTATAGATAAAAGGGGCAGCTTTACCCGTGTTTATCAACTGCAGGCTTAAAATCAATACGTTACCAATAGTCATCGATCTCAAATTGAACTGACTTAGCCCTTGGTATGAATAATTGAATTGATGCCTATTCCTAGGATGTTGATCACCGTACAAAGTAGCACTTAGATAATGAGACATGATCAGGCAGACGACAACATTATATCGGTTGATTGGCTCCTGTCCTCAGCTTAGGTAATATGGGTGGATAATTAAATAATAAAAATTTGGCTACGCCCTCGATCAATGTGAAGGTTTATTGGATTCTTGTTCTCCGAAGGATGAGACGATGGCTTGTGCTACTTGGAAGTGAACTGCGAGATTTATGTGACCAGTTAACAAGAATTCACGGTCGGGTCTAATTAAACCGATTACTTAACTCGTAAACCCACATAGAGTGGTCTATCTCATCATATTTTTTTTTAATGTTGTTGGACGAGTGTATTACTAACCATGTTACGCGCTTAAAGACCTTCGTTGTTGAAGCGCAGTAATAACATTTTAACAACAACCTACAGTTAAACAGAAAATTGTGAGAAGGAATTAGAGAGAAACTCACCTTGCTGTCAATAGCCTGGGTGATGCGGTAACAGCCCTTGAGCCGCTCATCGCTAGTGAGTGGCCGGACGCGCACCGTCACCTGTAATACAACAGAGCACAGGTTAGTGACATAACTGATATAACTACACAAATGTTAGTAAGATCATAATACAGCTACCTATGATATTAACACATTAGTAATATGAGTCCATGATAGGTGCCAAAGCCAGCAAGATATTATGGGAACAAGACGAGACAAATATTGCCTTGCTAAACCTTTAGAAAATAGAGCTACTTCATTCTTTCTTTCTTTTATTCTCTTCACCACTGATCGGCTCGTTAGCCACTTGGGCGATCGGTCACGTCTCTGTTTCGCACTGTTGGCAAGTACTGGGCATGCACCTGCTCCTGAATGTACCTGAACCTGCTCCAGTGTTGGTCAAGTCTGGTCTTGAAAGAGCTCACACTCGGTGCTGTCACAACACTTTCTGGTAGATTGTTCCAAGAGTTCACAACTCTCACTACGAAAAAGTTTGCCCTCACAGTTTTCTGGACTTGCGGCTTCTTTAATCTTGAGCTGTGACCCCTTGTGGGGCGAGCGTCCGCCAGCTCCAAGTAAGGACACTCGACTGAGTAGTGCTGCTTGAGATGCTTATACACCTCAATTAGGTCGCCCCTTGCCCGTCTGTAGTATAAGCTCGGCACGTTCAGGCGCGCCAATCTCAGGGTAGTTGAGGTGCTTAAGTGCAGGCACCAGTCTAGTGGCCCTCCTTTGAACATTTTCAACCAACTGACAGTCCCTAGCATATCTCGGGGACCAGACGGGGTGACAGTACTGCAGATGGGGAAGCACTTCACTCTTGAAGATCGTCACGAGGGACGGACCCGTCTAGATATCTGAACGACCTTCTTATAAGACCCAATAATTTATTTGCCTGATTTACCTTCTTCTCGCAATGGCCCGAGAACTTCAGCTCATTGTCAACATACACACCTAGGTCCTTCTCACATTCAGTCTCAAATAGTGCAGTTTCTTCTTCCCGTTGGGACATATGATACGCCTCCTTACTGTTGGTACGCCCCAGGGGCATCCTCTTACACTTCGTGACATTGAATCTCAATCCATATGTTTTCATAGATGTGCGCATGTGTGTGTGTGTGAGAGAGAGAGAGAGAGAGAGAAAACAAATTCGGGTTTTTATGACAATGTTCAAATTAAAAAACTTGACCGAACATGTGGGAACAAAGCGTCCCACTAAAACATGACCTACAAAAAATAGCATTCTGTCTTTTACAAAAATATTGCAAAACAAAGATAACCAAGAACTAGTGATTAATGATTGCGTGAAGCGGAGTTAAAAAAAAACAGAAGGTAATCAATCAAAATACTGTCCTCATATCTGAGGGTTGGTGACCACAGCCCTCTTTTATACACGTTTTCAAGTTGTTTTCATCAATCCTCCGAGATTTTGCATCACTTTCGGGACCCATTTGTTATCTTAACTTGTGATTCAGATAAATGATAAATTAAAAAATTTATTCCTACTTACGGTACGTATTACGGTTCAACATATTGGTTTACCTGCTCATGGGGCGGGTGTAAAATCAAGGTAATCCCTTATAATGATGGACATCGCTCTATACGGAACTTGCAACCTTGAGGGGCGTGGATGGCACGGCTCTATAACTTAGATCACTTGTACGTAAATCGAACCAGAACAATCAACAGTGTTGTTAAAGTAATTAAATATTGTATATAAAATTTAACACTAATTATCCCCACGACAACATAATGATACACGAGGGACGATGTGGTTCTAGTGTTGAACGGAAATAATGGAAACCTTCAATTTTGTGTCAACCTTCAACTAGGTTAACAATGAACAGTTTTTAACACACGTATATAATTATGTTGTCGTGGGGATAATTAGTGTCAAATTTTATATATAATATGTGAATTACTCTAACAACACTGTTGATTTACGTACAGGTGATCTAAGTTATAGAGCCGTGCCATCCACACCCTCAAGGTTGCAAGTCCCGTTACGGATATTACCCGCCATTCAAATTTTGTAGGTCGTGCTATCTGATGCTGTATGCTATATTTTATTGGTCAGCTGTATGACCTTCAGTGATCAGTGAATTTAAGAAGAAAATATGACACCAAGACAAAGAGGAATTCTGAAGCCATTGCTTCTCAACATTCCCAAACATTCGTCGGCAGAATGTGCCCTTGTCAGACTGCGGACTACTTCGACCAGGAAAGACGAGTAATGTTTCGAGTATGTACAATTAATAATCTAAAAGACCGAATAAAAAGGGACATAAATATTAATTAGAGAAAAGGTTGCTGAAAGGCTATACAAGAATATATGGTCAGGACTAATGTATGGGTCAGAAGCGTGGACACTTTCAGCAGACACCAGAAAGAGATTAGAGGCCTGGAACTGGCGGACGTCAGCCCCACAAGGGGTCACAACTCAAGGATGAAGAAACCACAAGTCCAGAAAACTGTAAAGGCAAACTTTTCGGAGTGAGAATTGTGAACTCTTGGAACAATCTGCCAGAAAGAGTTGTCACGGCACCGATTGAAAGATCATTCAAGGCCAGACTTGACCAACACTGGAGCAGGTTCCGATATATTCAGGAGCCAGTGCATGCCCAGCACTTGCCAACAGAGTGTAACAGAGACGTGACCGACCGCCCAAGCGGCTCGATCAGTGGCGAAGAGGATAAAAGTAAAAAGTAAAAGTAAAAATTGCGATCAGACTTCGGATGTGTAACAACACACACACACACACGCAAAATAAATAATAATGGTTGTCCCACGTGTAACGAGGATGGCCGGTGTAGAAGCTGTCGCCAACGCAAAACGCAACAATCACACCCTAAGTTAACGAGTTGCATCTCAAAGGGCACTACTCAGTCGAGTGCCCTTACCTGGAGCTGGCGGACGCTTGCCCCACAAGGGGGTCACAGTTCAAGGTTGAAGTAGCCGCAAGCCCAGAAAACTGTGAGGGGTAACCTTTTTGGAGTGAGAATTGTGAACTCTTGGAACAATCTGCCAGACAGTGTTGTGACGAAACTGAGTGTGAGCTCTTTCAAGACCAGACTTGACAAGCACTGGATCAGGTTCAGATGGTCAGGAGCCGGTGCATGCCCAGTACTTGCCAACAGTGCGTAACAGATACGTGACCGATCGCCCAAGCGGCTAATGAGCAGATCAGTGGTGTAGAAAATAAAAGTAAAAGAGATGACCGGACAACTGCGCTGGCTAACCATTACCCAATTACTGATAGGTTGACATATGCAAATGGCGTAAAGAAACTTGTCCATAGTTTCACCCTGCCCGGGCGAGCATGCTGACCACACACACACACACACACACACACATATATATATATATATATATATATATATATATATATATATATATATATATATATATATATATATATATATATATATATATATATATATATATATATATATATATATATATATATATATATATACATATATATATATATATATATATATATATATATATATATATATATATATATATATATATATATATATATATATATATATATATATATATATATATATATATATATATATATATATATATATATATATATATATATATATATATATATATATATATATATGTATATTACCTAAACGATGAACAACACAGTTGATTTTTATTTATACTTTCCTTTCGCCTCTTTTATTCCTGATATTCACCTTACTTTCAATAAAGGAAATTGTTGCATTCATTGAACTTTGTACATAATTACTGTAAGAGCGAAAAAAATATTTTCCTTGGAAAATACAGCTGAAACTTGAACCACAGTGGCCAGCGGCAGGCACACTGTACAGTATATATTACGTGTTTTTTCTTTCGAAATCGGTTATTTTGCAAAATTCCCAGTATGCATGCCGCTAATTTGGCGAAGTTACTTACAAACACAACCTAAACTAACCTAACATTATGGATAGGTTAAGTGGGCCTGTTCTTTTTTTTTTTTACTTTGGTTAGCCTGTTTGTAAGTTATCTCGCAAAATTCCCGGCATGCATGACGGGAATTTTGCAAAATAACCGATTAAAAGTAACATAGATACCATTAAAGACGCTTCGCACACAGGCGAATTAAATGAGTCATCATTGAATAACATCTTTTTTCGCAGGAACGGGGCTGGGAACTTAATAATTACCCTGATTTTCTTGTTGTCTTTCGGCAAATCGCAGTGATCCTTTTCAATTAAATTAATAGAACGACGTTGTTTAAGTCGTAATTTAGTAAGTTTTCTGTGACAATTACAATCGTTTTTCTCGACGATTGCAACAACTTTCCCCCATAAGGTAATATTTCAATAGATAACGTGGCGCAAAGAAAGTAAAATATTACCAATAAAAGCAACTGTAGAACAATTAACGATAATTATTCTGCAAACATCGGCAAACGATTTAGGCAAGAAAAACATACTTTCAATGCAGTTTTTCATACTGAACACTGTGGTAAAAATGAAAGATTGGAAAAATGCATAATTATTGAGATATGGCCCTTCCTACTGTCAGTCTTGACTCCAACAAAGGTGGGCAGGGCTTCGAAACGGAGGGAAAATGTGTAATTAAAAACATAACTAAATGAACCTAACCTAACCTAATCTGGTCATTGTACTCACCTACTGGGTAACTATTCCCCAAACACCGGCATACGATTCATTTAGGCTCGTAACCTGACACTGGCATACGATGGCTCGTAATCCGGTGTTTGCGGAATAATAACTCCACAAATGAATTGTTGATAAATATTCAGTTTTCTGTTAATCATCATTATCCTCTCACTGATGGCTTATCCCATGTGAAATCATCTCTTGTGACCTTCCCGTAACTTGTTAAACTTATCCTGGCTTCAGTACAAATTTCACTAACTGCACGGCATATCACTTGACACATAACGTTGTCTTATACCAAAAACAGTATTTCACAGATATTGATCATAAGTTATGAGGTATTCATGTATCTCACTATGAGACAATGGTGAGATTGATTGAGCCGAATCTTCTTTAAAGTGGTAGTGTTAGACTAAAAATAAATAAACAATCGGTAAACTCACCATCAGCCTCTCCGAAGCCGACTTCTCATCTCCATCCTCCTTCTTCTCGGATTTCTTTGATCCAGCCATCCCTAGATCTTCTTTTCACCTCAATTTCTGTCAATTTATTGTCTAGACCCACTTTGGCCTGGGCGCCGCCTCGTCCAATATGGCCTTGTCAGTTTTTCACTGTCCCCATCCTGGGCTAAGATGTTAGGGCACCTCGGAAGCGGAAGCATACTCTATAACTTACATGTTACCCAATAGTTCGAGCACACCTGCGACACAGGTAATTATATACACTTGCAGGTACTTCTCCGTGAGAATTTGCACAAACGGAGCACTAAATCTCTAGGTGTTCAGGCACAACACCTGTGAGACGGATATAGGTGAATGACAGATATTGTGCAAAGGGATCCCCGTTTCTAGGCTTCGGGTATAATGGGTCGCAACGACAAGTGCTGTAACCATTGCCTCACATCTAGTTCAGGACTCATTGGGAGATACATAGTTCACCCTCTTACTGGAAGCAGCAACAAAGCCACGACCCGATGTAAATAGTGAAACCGAGACTCATAGCGATGCTCACATAACTTTGTGAGTTACGGTGGCATATGATGTGCGAGTACCGACCGCCCGACGTTCAGCTTCTGACTGGTGCGGCGTCCAGTGCCACCCAGGGCGGCTCTTCCAGTGTTGACTTGACGACCACCACGCGCGCGCATCCTCGATGTACAACCACAATCCATCAACGACTTGCCTACACATCAGCTATATTTAATTTTGGTCCCACATACACACACTTTTGGAGGAACACATACACAAACTACACACACACACACACACATACACACATATATATATATATATATATATATATATATATATATATATATATATATATATATATATATATATATATATATATATATATATATATATATATATATATATATATATATATATATATATATATAACCTAACCTACCCTCCTACCTACCCTACCCTACCCTACCCTACCCTTTCCTAACCTGTTTGTAGACCGATCGCCTGTGATTGTCTAGCCCTAGCCTATACTATAGATGGGCAAGAGGTGACAAATATAAATTATAAACATCTCGGTCGAGTTTTAAAAAATGCTAGGGAGCCCAAAAGTAGGTTTCCTTTCTTTTTTAGTCCCCTCCCTCGGGTTATTATTATTATTATTATTATCTAAAACGAAAAATTAAATTTAACCAGTTACCACTGTAATTTCTTCAGTTTCCGTTTTCTCTAACCGTCAACCTGTTTTTCCCCAACAGATGGCAGAGAACGAATCATCGCTCAGTCGTTCACTATATTTCGGTATCTAGCACATCAACGTTAGCATCCTACCTGTATACCGTCTGTGTCAAAGGCTTGTATTGTCATTAATAATGGATTGAGGACAACCAAAACAAGAAAAAGTGACATACAGTTTCTGCTCGTAGCAATAGTATGGGGGCCATAACCAGCAGGCAAAATGCAGGTGTGGAGGAGGTGGACATTGGAGTCAATCATGCCTACAGATATCCTCCAAAATCTGGTGAGTCAACGGAAAAGTCTGTGGAATGGCTGATATATAGTACACAGGTAAAGGTGTCCAAACAAAGTGGATAAGTTTCGAGATTAGGAGGGCGTTATAATTCACGAACTAAGACAAAGAAATGAATACCATTGTAATTATTCTGGTTAAAGGTGTAGATAACGGCTACCACCAGAAGGAATTGTCCAAATTGGTTGAAAATTTTTCACACATGATATTAAGCACAAAAATGGAAACGACTATGCATAGAACCTAATAGAACCTGACCTAACGAATCCAAGAAAAAAGTCACATAAAAAGGCACGGAAAAAACCTAACCTAACCTACGTGCAATGCCATCATATTTATAAAGTGTTGTCAATGTGTACAAGTCATGTGACTTTTTTCCTGTGGACTTTATTTCCGTCCACCGACCTAACATACCCATAGGTTGAGTATGTTAGGTCAGGTTCTATTAGGTTCAGCGGGTTCAGGTACATTCAGGAGCCGGTGCATGCCCAGTATTTGCCAACAGTGCGTGACAGACGTGACTGATCGTCCGGGCGGCTAGCGAGCCGATCTTTTGGTGAAGAAGATAAATGAAGAGAGACGTGACCGATTGCCCAAACGGCTAACGAACCGATCAGTGGTCAAGAGGATAAAAGTAAAAAGTAAAAGTTATGCATTATCGTGTTAATTTGTGTTACTTTTTACTTTTATCCTCTTGACCACTGATCGGTTTGTTAGCCGTTTGGACAATTGGTCATGTCTCTGTTACGCACTGTTGGCAAGTACTGGGCATGCACCGGCTCCTGAATGTACCTGAACCTGCTCCAGTGTTGTTCAAGTCTGGTCTTGAAAGAGCTCACACTTGGTGCTGTCACAACACTTTCTGGTAGATTGCTCCAAGAGTTCACAACTCTCACTCCGAAAAAATTTACCCTCACAGTTTTCTGGACTTGCGGCTTCTTCAATCTTGAGCTGTGACCACTTTTGGGGCGAGCGTCCGCCAGCTCCAGGTAAGGACACTCGACTGAGTAGTGCCCCTTGAGATGCTTATACACCTCAATTAGGTCGCCCCTTGCCCGTCTGTAGTATAAGCTAGGCAAGTTCAGGCGCTCCAATCTCAGGGTAGTTGAGGTGCTTAAGTGCAGGCACCAGTCTGGTGGCCCTCCTTTGAACATTTTCAGCCAGCTGACAGTCCCTAGCATATCTCAGGGACCAGAAGGGGTGACAATACTCCAGATGGGGAAGCACTTCACTCTTGAAGATCGTTACGAGGGACGGACCGTCTAGATATCTGAACGACCTTCTTATAAGACCCAATAATTTATTTGCCTGATTTACCTTCTCGCAATGGCCCGAGAACTTCAGCTCATTGTCAACATATATACCTAGGTTCTCAAATAGTGCAGTTTCTTCTTCCCGTTGGGACATATACTTTTATCCTCTTCGCCACTGATCGGCTTGTTAGCCGCTTGGGCGATCGGCAATGGTGAGGAGGAATTTGTGGAATTTTTCTACACACTAACATCATGATATTAAACACAAAAATGGAAACAACAATGCATAGAACCTAATAGAGCCTGACCTAACATACCCATAGGTTGGGTATGGGGTAATTATGCAGTTTACAGCAACCACAGAATTCAAGAATTCACTCCACTCAATCGATAGAACTATTTTTTTCTATGATAATTTTCTTATATTACACTACGTTGTTGCTCATATTGTCTGTGTTTGTACGTTCGCTTTCCTCCCGTGCATGTGGTGGGGGCGGCCGCCAATCAAATCGGGGGTGACTGCAGCCAATCAAATCTAGGGCGGGGGCAGCAGCCAATCAAATCAAATAAAGAATCAACTTTTGATACAACCAAAAGTGGCTGGTAGAATGCGGGACTTTTTTATCAGTTACAACATGGAGCCAGTATGTGCTGGGTGTGATTTGATTATTGGAAGTTTATTGTATTATTTCATTCTAAAAATAAGGATACTTTAGAGAACAGAGGAACCCACGATGTATTCTGGTCCCTGACGAGGAGTAAGGTAAGAAATACTATAACAGCTATTTATATTCTCGTGGAGGCTGACCACGCGACTCTAGGGTTATTACATAGCACTTATGGGTCCAGGGGCAAAGCCCCCAGCTAGGTTGTTAGGTAAGGTTTAATTTGGTTATATGGTATAAGTTAGCAAGCACAGAGTACCTTGGAATTCGGAACACGCAATCGATAGAACTATTATGAGAGGGGGTGGGCTATATCACAAACGAGAGATTCCCGACAAAAACGAAGGTCAAATTTGAGTTAATCGCATCAAAACCTATCAGAAAACCACTTTTTTTCTTCAAATTCCATGGTTGTTGTAATATGCACATTTACCTGGTATGGTAGGTCAGATCTATTAGATTCTATGCATTATCGTGTTAATTTAAGTGTTGAACAACTTACCTTAATATTGAGGTTGATATACATCAGCAATGGCGAGGAGAATTTCGTGGAATCGTTCACCATCATTTATAGGAAATGTCTCTTGAAGAGGGATTCAGCGAGGTAAACAACAAAAATTGCTCCGGGAGGAGAATTGTGGAGTGGGATAGAGTAAATAAAAAAATTAAAATAAAATACTTAAAATCATAATAGAAAGTTGTCGTTTCTTTTAATATACAGTACTTAAAAGCATCAAAACAATAAGTACAGCAAAAATAAAGAAAATCAACAAACAACTTCTGGTGGTAGCCGTTATCTACACCTTTACGTTATTCTGAATCGGGGGCACGGTTTAACGAGCAAATTTAGACATTTTTTTCAGTGTTATCGTTTCAGTCATCCAACAAATTCTAGGATTTTAAGTTTCGTTTAGGTTAGTTTATGTTAGGTTGAAATTATGTTTTTTCGATGGGTTTTGATTGAACACCTTCCAAATTGGTGGATGACCGAAACCATAATTTTACCATTTTTTTTTATAGAAGGTAACTTGGTAAATATTTAGAAAATGATACCAAGCACCTGAATATTAAACATAGGTTATTTGTTTTTGTGTTTATTTTCTTACCACTGTACTGTATATTGTCTTCAGTGAGTTCTGATATGATAATCATTTCTTGTGCAAATGCTTCGTTTGGTAGATAATTAGCTACCTAAGGTGCACACTACTTTGTCTTCTTGGCAGTAATGCATTGGTTTTATGCTAAGGGGTTAGGTTAGGTTGGATTTGAAAAAATAAAACATTTGCACAAACTATGAGTGTCCTCTATAAAATGGTTTTATGTTAAGGTTAGGTAAAAAAGAAATTGCAGAAACGATGACTGTGTCCTCTGTAAAACACTGTGTAATTGTGCCGCTTTTATAATTGTTTACTATGCTAAATCACCGGCGAGTCAGTCATCAGTAATTACCCTTCTTTCTTACCTAAAGAATATCCTAAAACGTATGGAGGAATTACATTTTTCTAGGCAGTGGTTATTTGTCCAGTCACGGACCTTATCTTACTTAAGTAAAGGTGGAGGAGACAGTTAGCACCAGAAGAACTTTATGGAATTGCTCCAAATTACAGTTGTTGTTTGGATGAAACTGATTAATAAAGTCAGAGAAATCATTGTAGTATTTTTTCGTTTTAGTCTATCCTTGAATCATAAATTACTTGATTGTGGGCAGGCAAATAACAGAGTAAAAACACTGCAAACGCTCATCTCATGGCAGTACTTTCATGTCATTACATCTTATGTAGGCAAAGATCTCCCATGGTTACCGTGTTTTGGTTCACATTGTCTGTTGTGCGAGTGCCAGCAGTCTCTGTTCACATGTCAAGAAATGAACAATGATCTCATTAGGTGTGTTTGTCACTATTTAAGTTAGATTGAATTCATCAATTATTTCTAGAGATTTTGTGTGGATGATCATAAGAAAATTGAAACGACAATGCACAGGTTAGGAAGTTAGGTTAGATTAGATTCTACTAGGTTCTGTGTATTCTTGCTTCCATTTTCGTGTTCAGTATCATGGAATTAGTATCTCCAGAAATTTTGGTTCAAATGCACATGTTATTTCTGGTGCTGTCTCCTCCACCTTCACCCTTACTTCTGTTGGTAATTATTCTGCATACACCAACAAATAATTTAGGCATGAACAATATTTTTTAAATGCAGTTTTCATGCTGAATATAGTGGTGATAATAAAGGTTAGGGGAACTACATAATACATAGATTTGTTACTTTAACTACCCTGGTCCCACCAAAGGTGGGCAGGGCTTCGAAGCAAGGAATATATGGAATAGGAACATAACTACAAAAACCTAACCTAATATGTTCATTGTATTCATTTACTGGGTAATTATTCCTCAAACACTGGCATATGATTTAGGCTCATTGTCAGTGTTTGAGGAATATTAGCCCTTCTGCTATTTGTCCGGTATTCATTCTGATTACTTGAGGCTGATGACCTAACCAAACAAAATCAAACTAACCTCACCTAACTAAACCTAACCAAACAGAGTAATACTTTAGATGTCAGACTCTTGGGAAGAAGTCACTTTAGGGAAATTTTTTACAGTAGCTGTAGAACATGTTTCTTACCTCATAAATAGAAAGAAATGACTGGAGGAATTGTAAATTTCCTATTTTTTGTTTTCTAGTGTTTTCATTATTAACATGCTTCTCCACAATTCAGGGAGCTGTCAAGGAAGCTACCTTTACTTGTTTATGTATGTGCAAAGATACAGTCAAAGGATCATATACTGTACATTAACTCTTCCATTTACCACCTCCTTTATCACCTTGGTCTGTGGTCCATCCTTTCCAGGGGCTTTAAATTCTTTCAAGCCAACAATTCCTTTCAATTAACTTTCCACCCCTGAGGTATACAGATACATGCTCCTAGGTAGCTACTAGCATGTTATCCACTGTCTCTTGTGTGAACACGTATGCAAAGAAATCATTTAGGGCATCTGCTGTCTGTATATCATGCTCCAGGGCCACATTCATTACATCCATTAGAAGGCCAACAGTATCTTTGGTTTTCGTTTTGCTCCTGGTTCATACAGTATATATGCATAAAAAGACTTGCAACCGTATTATTAAACAACATCTTCCCTTGAAGAGGGTCGTCGTGTTTCAACCCGAGTTTTAAACTAAATGAGTCCTGAGGGACACCGCAGTACAGTACTTAATGGGGTGGTGTGGCGGTAAAATTAACTAATTCCAATATTATAAATTAATTTTATTGGAATTAGTTAATTTTACCACCACACCACCCCATTAAGTACAATACTGTACTGCGGTGTACCTCTCATTTAATTTTAAACTCGGGTTGAAACACGACGACCCTCTTCAAGGGAAGATGCTGTTTAATAATACGGGTGTTGGGATCTTTCTTTATGTATTAGGCTAGCTTCATCTGGAAGTGCTGCTTAGCTGATCTAATTTCTTGATTGGCTACATTTAGGGCTCATTTGTAAACTATTTAATCCATATGATGTTTTGTGCTCCAGTATTTCTTCCACATGTGATATTTTCTTTTGGTGGTTTTCCTGAATTTGTGATTCATCCACCCAGTCTTATTCCCTCACTTCTTTGATTTCTGGGGTATGCATTGATTTACTGTTGTAGAGGGCAATTTGTAATAAGTACAGTGGTAATGAAATATACACCTACAGTGGTCCCTCGGTTAACGAGTTACCTCCCATAAGATTCTTAAATTCGGTTAACGAGCAACCCCTCGGTTAACGAGTTTCTTACGAGCCGACCTCAACAAGTTTTGGCTTGCACTGGGCGGTCAACCAGCTGTAGTATTAGTCCGCCAATACATTCATCGGTTCTAGGGCTTAAATTCCTTACTATTTAAGTAAATATCAAGAAGTTTATACTATTCAATAATTTTAAAAGTTTAATATTAAATTTTTTAGTCATTTTAACAATTATTGAACGTAATTGAAGGTAAAGTGACTAGTTTAATGCGCGGCATCCAGCCTCTTAACACAGCAAACAGGCGTTAGTCTCTCTCTGTTTTCACTGGAGGTAACATCTTGCTTGAGACTCTCTTCAACTAAATGCTTTTTTTCTGTGTTTCCAAGCAAATTATTGGTCATTTTGACATTTATTTTACATATTGACAATATATAGCGCAGTGCACTGAAAGTCCTCAGAAATTATTTTGAAATCTTACCAATATCGTGGGCATTTTAAGGTCATTTTGAACCCATGTGCACTTTGATATTAAGAGTTATTACTGAGGTCACTTTTTACTATACAAAAACCTCTGAGTGCAATATGTACTGCAATAAAAAAAAAGGATTGAAATTTTCTGATGAAAGGGGGGCAGGGGATTTTGACCCCAGTACACCCATGAATGGTGCAATAATATAATGGCTTACACAGAAATGTACTCTTAGATTCCATACAGTCATTTTATAAGTAAAAAAAAAAAATTGTTTCACATTTTATTATGAAACTGCATATAAACTGCACCAATACCATTTTGTTTACCCCTACTCCAAGCAGGTGTTTGAATCTCAACCACAGCTGCTAGTTTGTTTTCATTCACTGGAGTTACTACAAGGCTTCAGGAGAATAATCTGTATCTCCAGCAAATGAATAGCTCCAGCAAGTAGTTATATGTAATGGTTACCCCTCATGTAATGAGGATGGCCGGCCCAAGGGCCACCTAGGCGTGAATTTGTTTAAGGTGTAGAAGCTGTTGCCAACACCACAATCACACCCTAAATTAACGAGTTGCATGAACCAGTGTCAAGGAATAGTCTGAGAAGACCGGACGCCTCGCCAACTGCAATGGCTAACCATCACCCCGGAACACGATACGCAAATCGATTAACATCCAGGTTCCCAATTACTGCTGGGAAGATAGACAAATGCCATAAAGAAGCTTGCCCATAGTGTCACCCTGCCCGGAGATCAAACCCGGGTCTGCTCGCTTGCAAGGCGAGCATGCTGACCATTACACCACAGGTCACATCACAAAAATATGGGGTATGTTTCTTCTCACTTAATATGTTTTGCTATTGTTTAATGCTTTTTTTATCTCTTATGATTTCCAGGAAACTACTTCAGCAGTCATTTTATAATGGGAGGGGAACGGTTTGATACAGCTCAGCCAGAGATGTATCTCTTTGGTGAGAACATGGACGTCAACTTTTTAGGATCACGTCCTGCTCCTGTAAGTTAATTTTTACTGTACAGTATAGTGTATAATCTGTGGTTAGCAAATAAATGCTTCTATCTTTTATCCATGTGAGATTTAGTTTACAGGTAGTTTCCGTAAAACCCATGCTATGTGTGAAATTGTGATACCGGTACGTATAAGAAACTATTTTTCCAAAAAGAAACAAATTATTTAGGGGGATGCTTTCGTGGCTGGGAATTTTGAAGGTACCTAGGCTGAATTTTCAAACAGAAACACCTATAAGTTGATAATAGATATGAAAACAATTTATAGGTGTGTGCATATTCTCATTCTCTTGGCTCTTTATTGACTGTTGTTCCTTTACCACGCTCCTGTCATTTAGTAATGTTAAATATTACCTCTAAAATTACATAATTTCTTGTTTCTTGATATTAGGTGTCCTTAGCGAATGTCGGGTAGGTCTTTCTGTATTCATTATGCACAATATTATGCTATTTCTAAAGAAATAAATACTGTACTGTACATACTCAATCATCATCAGCCATTTTCTGTGCTTGCGTGGGTTAGCCGTGATTACCCAATGTTATGATGTCCCGGTTGCTATCAGGCAATTAAATTTGAAGCAAGTCTTACGGTTGAATACTGATATCCTTCCATATTGCCAACCCACTTTTACAGAGCGGGAACTGGGCATTAATCGTAGAACATCCAAGTGTCCTCTTAATGACAAGACAGGGTCGCAAGTCCCAAAGACAATCAAAGGTTGTCCTCCGTAATACATACAGGAGGTACTATAAACAACTCTTACTAATGCACATACCAGTAACAGTTAACACATTAACCATTCCTACAGAAGATTACCATTTGTCATTCATGCCAGTAGTGCATTTAGAAGATTCTCATTGATTTCTTCTCAGTACATGCAGTTTGATTATTGGTCATAAAATGAGGAGTACTTGTACTCTTGAAAGTACAGTAGTAGGCATGTAAGAGTGACATCTAGTTGGCCTCCCAACCATTATCCTACAGGCTAAGAAGGGATTTATCTAGTATTGTACAGCAGTGTACTATTGTTAAGGTGTGACGCATCTCTGACATGTCATGGATAACATACTAGGTGTATTTATTTTTTAATTATTGTAATTTGTATTTATTTTCAGTTTCCATACCCAGCTCCAACTGCAAATGAACCGAGCAAAACTCTAAAAGCACTTATCAACATTAGAAAGGAGAGTTTACGTTTTGTCCGTGCACCTGATGAATCTGCTACTCTAAAAGAACTTGATGACACTACTGCAGCATCCAGATTCAATATTGAATTTACATTTGACTGTGATGTGCGGTGTGCAATCACCATCATGTACTTTTGCTCAGAAGAGGTCACAACCAGTGGCATGAAGTGAGTTCTGAATATGAGTATGGATGTTTCATCCCCTCTAACTATCTTTGAGAGATTTCAGTAGATTTATTGCCTCAGGTTTTACTTGTGTAACATATGTCATATCTGGATGAATGCCTGTGGTCTGTTTGTTCAGATCATCTTCTGTCTCAATAACATCATTCACTACTGAAGCAAACAGGCTAGTGTCTTTTCAATACAGTATACACTATACAGTACCATATTTATGGTTCTGTAAGAGTAATATACAGTATAGTCTCGGTTTACGCGGATTTCCTTTACGCGGTTGGTCATTTACGCGGCACCTGGCCAGACGTGCCAATTATTAGTTACGCTGTACATTCCAGCATTTACGTGGGAAGCGGCGCGGACAAGGTGCGCGCTAGGTCACCCTGACGTCAGATGACGTTTCAGACTGTGATTGGGCCACGTATCCTTTCCACCCAAGCACCCTTGCCGCCGAGCGCTGTGATTGGTCTATTTAACCTTGCTTGCCCAGTCAACAAAACATTTCCGAGTTCTTCACCCACCACCCACCACGGCCAGCCCAAGTCAGTGATAGTGATAGTGAGGATATGGACTTGAGGGGTTTGACAAAGAGGCCCTGCAAGCCTCTGTGGTGGATAGTGATACAGGTGATACAAGTGATACAGGTGAGGGCCAATAATCTGCCCTCTGCCTCGGAACCAAACCCCCGCCCAGCCATCTCTTCTACTAACGTAAATGTTAAAAAACCTAATATTATTGATATTTCTCTTAAATATTAATTGTGTGTGCATACCATCATAAAATTAAGATGTTATTTTTACTACAACGTACGTACAGTGACCCCTCGTTTAACGAACGCCTCGGTTAACGAAATTTCGGTTAACGAACTGCCTTCCATAAGGATCTTCAATTCGGTTAACGAACAAAAATTCGGTTAACGAATTTCTTACGAACCGACCTCAACATGTTTTCGCTTGCACTGACCAGGCAACCAGCTTTAGTGTCAGTCCGCCAATATACATTAATCGGTTCTACTGCTTAAATTCCTTACTATTTTAGTAAATATCAAGAAGTTTATACTATTCAATAGTTTTAAAAGTTTAATATTCAATTTTTTAGTCATTTTAACAAATATTGAACATAATTGAAGGTAAAGTGACTAGTTTAATGCGTGGCATCCAGCCTCTTAACACAGCAAACAGGCGTTAGTCTCTCTCTGTTTTCACTGGAGGTAACATCTTGCTTGAGACTCTCTTCAACTAAACGCTTTTTTCTGTGTTTCCAAGCAAATTATTGGTCATTTTGAAATATATTTTACATATTGACAATATATAATGCGGTGCAGTGTTGATTTAAAGAAAATAATCTTGAATTACACCAAGAGAGCTAAAATTTTATGGGTGAAATGGCGCCATGGGGTGACTTCTCTTCCACCCCAATGCCTTCTCTTCTTCCTTCTCCTCCACCCCCATTCTAAATCCCATCATCATCATCATCATCATCCAGGAGCCTTCTACATACACACCGCAAAGTAAGTGAACCTTTCTACCATTTTTGTTGAATTTAGGAAATTTTCGGTGAGCTGGAACCAATTACCCAAAAACCCATTGAAACAATGGTTTCGGTTAACGAACTTTTTGGTTAACGAACGACCTTCTGGAACGGATTGAGTTCGTTAACCGAGGGGTCACTGTATTGTGTCGGAAAAAGGGTAGTCTGGGGGTCGGCCCAGTCTCTATTTCAATTAATCCCATATGTTCTGTTATTTCGATTACACGTTTCTCGTTTTACACGAACCTCCACGGGTTTAATTGACCGCGTAAACCGAAACTATACTGTATATATTTGTTTACCTAGTGCTTGTCTAGTTTTCTCTGAAAGTTCAAGATATTGGGAGACCTAACCACCAGTTCTGGTGAGCTGTTCACTCATCTACAGTGCAATATCAAGTTGTTCTGCTCCGTGTGTGGTCATAACTTGAATAACTTGAAACATGACCTGTGGCATTACTGTTATCTATTGTCACTGCAGTACTTGACATGCTTCTTTTGTGGTATAATTCTTGTATCATTTAAAATGTCTTGCCAGTATCACCATGGAAAGTGGTACACTGTCAATGGAACCTTTAGTTTTCCCAGAGCCTTCAAAAATCATTTTCCTCTTAGGTATCATTTTCGTTTTTTTTTTTTTTTTTTTTTTAATCAGACCTTTGAAAATCAGACCCTTATTTTCACTAATAGAATGATTTCTACTGTAGGAAAATAAAATTTTTAAGCTTTGTCTAAATATTTATTTTATTTTGCAACAGCTACACTCCACGTGACCCAAGTATGAATTCAGAAACATACCACTACAAGAGAGGGGCAAACCAGCAGTTCTCTCAAGTGTGTCATGTCTTTGATCCTTCTCTGTATCCTGAAGAAGAGCTTTTATACAGCTTTGACAGAGAGGTTTTACCCATTGTCATTTATTGTGTTGCAGAAGAAGGAGAGGGTAAGCAACTTTAAAAAAGAATTCTTGGCATATATTAATAATAGTGTATAACAGAAAATTATTTTATTTAATCTTATGCCACCATAATGTATATATTTTTAGTAAGGTTTTAATCCTTTATCTTTGCAGATCCCCGTCAGTCCCATGTTACTTTTGCAGTTGTGGAAAAACACAGTGATGGCTATGCATTAAAGCCCTTAAAACAGAAATTGTTTGTAGATGGCCTCTCGTATCTTTTACAAGAAATCTATGGCATAGAAAATAAGAATGCAGATAATTGTAAGGTTAGTTGTGAACTCATTACATAGAAATTTTATACAGTGGTAGTTCAGAACAGTATTATAAAGTATAGTAAGTTAGAAAAATCATTTACTGTATTTCAGCAGAAGAGAAGTCACTTTTCCAATGTTAAGGAAGGAAAGAATTGCTTGACATTTATGACTGGGAAAAGCATGTGAATCAAGCTCTAGAAGAGTGATGCAAAAGGTATTGAAAATAAGTACAGCGGTAACGCGCATAACTCTCACCAATATGTTAAGGGTTTGCGCCTCAACCCGGACACACGTGAGAAGGGTGTTATCCAGTGTGACCCTCACTACCAAACACCACAGGTTTCCTGGTACGCGGTTTCCTCCTGTGCTAACACTGGATAGAGCGCCCTAACAGCTAGTAAGCTGATAAGTGCGAATATGATAAAAAAAGGTGGGGGGATAAATGGGAAATTGTTGAATAATTTAGAACTGGGCAGTAGGAGGTAGGTGAAGACCAAAAAGTAGATAAAGGAATGTGAAAAACAATAGAAGCGAAGGAAATGAAGATCTAGAAAGCAGTGATGGGTGAACATGGCAATGGGGGCTTTATGAGGATGTTGTAACTGTATGAATTGAATAACAACACATGGTCAACATAGTCAATGCTTGCTTCTAGTTTAGACCACACAGCAATGGAGGGCGAGAGATCCAACTCAACCAAAAAGTCTAGATGATTAAAATGTGTACATTGGGTCTTTGCTATAATACGTGTACAGTGGGTCTTTGCTATAATACAAGTACACGTATTTTTAACTTTTATCAGGTTCAAATCCCAACTCTTATATATACTTTTTCCTTGGAATAAGTCACTCTTGATATTATCAGTCATTGTAATTGTGAGAGAGTAATACATTACAGTCTTGCTGAATTTAAAAAAATTTCCACTCACCCAAAATATTTGCCAAATTATAGGAATTCCCTGTATCTAACATTTGAAATGATTGAATGAAAGTTACATTATAAAACATAAATAAATGACTGAAGGAATTTATTGGAATTGGAAGTAACAACTGTAATTATTAAAACTACTGGGTAGAGTTAAAACTATAGTACAGTACTATAGTTCAATAACCCATCACTGCAAATTAGTCACAATCAAGATCATCCAGGTTATTGTTACTCTAATTTGGTTGGCAGTTCATCATTTCCCCTTCCATCAAGTCTTCCTCCTCTTCATGATCTGTATTACACTCGGTCTCATTAGTGAGAGATTCTAATTTGTATGTCAATTCTTCCTCTCTGGAGGTAGATGGTGCAACAGCTGCACATCTGAGATAATCCATGTGTTTCCTCTTCTGCTTGGTACCTGTCTTGGGTTGGGTCCAAAGTGTTACTGCTTGGGTGGGGTTAAAGTCCTCGATTTCAGGTGACTGCAGCTTGACAGTTAGTAGGTCACTATGGGTATTAGTACATGAAAAACTCATACTCCAATCAAACTTTGTAAAGTTCATGACACTGAAACCTCACTCACTCTAAACAGTTGAGGATGGGAGAGTAAGAACGAGGTCAATCAGTGCAAGCATGTTAGGGCAGTCCTGACCATTCTCCCTATTCAGGTGTGGCCATGTCACAGTCTTTGGTCTCTTCCAAGCTGTTGCCCATGTAAAAACTAGTCTTCAGCTTTACCCATTCCCCAGATACTTTGGATGTATGTCCACCTTCTGTTGTTGTAGGATGATTGGAAATGATCAACGAGTGTTGCCAGGGTCTCCTTACTAAAGTCCTTTTCATTTTGCTTTCCTGCATCACATTTTTCATCATTTTATTTATTTTTCTCTCTTCGTGGAGGGCTCTGAAACATTTGCAAGGTAGTGCCACATTTTCATCTTGCAAACTTACGTGTCACGCGATGAAGACTGAAACTCAGATGCTGTGTACTGATTTTTTTCTCAGTTTTCTTTGTGGACAGGAACAAATGTTCCATAAAATGGAAACAGGTAGCTGCAAAGAACATACAGATGCATAATTGTTATTAATAAAAAGAGTGGTTAAAATGCATTTGCTTATGAGATAATACTTTTTTTATTACAGTATTTTAATTGAAAAAATATATACCCCCTGCAGTGTATTTCGGTTTTTACATAAGACCATTTTTTTCTTTATAGCCAAACAATGTTAGACATTTTCACTTTTGCATGCAGCAAAGTTACCACGTGCCCGGCGGGCTAGTACATATAAAATTTAACTCGCCCTAAAGGTTTTCCACTTGCCTCGGGTGAGTGAGTTTCTGAAGCCCTGATTATACTTGTATACTTATACTGTACTGCATGGTATCTTTTGAACCTTCCCAGTCATGGTACTTTTCCTCCTCTCCCAAACTTTTCCATTTTTGAACTTGCTTTGAATTTAATTGTGTATAGTATATATATATTATATTTTACTGTTATACTCATCATGGATGTACTGTATTTTAGGTTTCAACAGAGGAAGATACTGAGGACAACGGGGCTGAATGTGTTATCTGCATGTGTGACCTGCGTGACACTCTAATCCTGCCATGCCGTCACTTGTGTCTGTGTAACTGCTGTGCTGACTCTCTCAGGTACTTCAGAAATCTGATTGTCTCATATGTGCCATCCTCCATTATAGTAGGAAATGGCTTGGAAGGGTGAAAGATGTTACTTGAATACTGATATTGTATACAGTACAGTACAGAGGTTTATGTATTATCGTTTTCCTTTTTGTGCTAAATTTTGATTAATTGTTGCCTAAACTTAAGTGATGACTTAAACTAGTACATGTTACCTACAATTATTTAATTACAATAGCAATAATTCAATATATCCCGATGGAATCGGGAACTAAGTGAAAACAGACCATTTGTGCAGTGTCGAACCCATTCACTTGGTGGGAGGTATTGCCACATTTACTCATGATAAATGTGTGTTGATGCTGTCATCATCTACAGAAATTCTTTATATTATCTAGTCTAGCTTTTGATATTACATCATGTTAGGATATAAAAATTAGATTAATACTGTATAGTAAATGAACAGGTAAGCCCAAAGAAAAGGCAGTACGTATCTTATATTCCTACACTACATATACACATATATCATAAAAATGTTACATAATTGACATTTTTTATTGCCTTATTTGAAATCAGCACCACAAAATTAATAAAGTGCAGCATATTTGAGCCGTGTTACCGAACCCTTGTCAACTAGTGTAATCGTCGGTTAATGGGACGTCGGTTTTTGGGGTATACCTGTACTGTATTGTTTCATCAGATAATTTTTCCATAAGTGTTATTGTTGTATTAAGAAATGTTGTATTCTATATTCAGGTACCAAGCCAACAATTGCCCTATTTGCCGTGCTCCGTTCCGAGCTCTCCTGCAGATTAAAGCCTTACAGAAAAGTTCTGGAACATGTACCAATCCACAGCCAAACTCAGAGGTAGGATTATTTAACAACTTTACAATTCAGTATCTTATTGCCATTCACTAGAGCTGGGTTGGTTTGTAAAATTTACTATCCAGACATCCAGAAATTTTATGTTATTGGATAAATGATGTCCAGCATAAGAATTTCATACTATAGAATTACATTTTATGCTTTAATAGTATTTTATACCAAAGTACCAAGAGAAGCTTAAAAATCATCCAAGACTTCTTTGTAAATTTATACAGTTCTCATATTAAGTTAACTTATTCAGCTGTAAACATATGTTGGGAAAATTAAAAAAAAAAAATACTATTAATAATGAAATTTAAGGTTTCAGACTCAAAGTGACATTTTAAGTAATGTACAGTACAGTACTGTATATTGATTTTGACACCCAGTATCAGTTGGCAGAGCAAATAAATATGATTTCTTTAAAAAAAAAAGTCTTAAGTAAAAAAAATTTTTCATGGGGGGAAAGGGTGATTCAGGGGCGGATCCAAGGGGGGTCTGGCCCCCCACTTTTCATCAGAAAATTTCAGTATTTTTTCTTTAATGCAATATTGCACTCAGCTGGGTGGGCTCGCTGTGCTCACCCTGTTCCTCCACCCACAACTTCTTGGACCCCCCTTTTGATATACCTGGATCAGCCCCTGTGATTGCAAAATGTATTTAATATTTAAATATTTTTACTGTATCTCAATATATGAACTATTGAATTGATAACTGGGTAACCGACCCAGCTCTAATTAATGGGGTGAACTGCACTAAATCCTGTAGAACACTTGTCTAGTGGGGTAAGTGATGTTTCACTTTCTCTTGACCCTGTAAACTACTTTACATACAATATTCCCATAAAGTTCGTGTCCCTTGGAATCTCGCACTGACAAGTCCAAGTCGCTGGCTATATGCTGTCGTGTTTCTCACTACTACAGCTCACTATGACTTTATGGACCTTTTACACTGTTTTTTTATTACAGTCATCCCTTGGTTATCACGCCTAATTGGGACCCCGCCGAGTGCGTGATAACGAAAAACGCGATAACGAAAGTACAGAACCTATCGGATTTATTCTAATTGGTTCCAGGCACCCAAGACCCAACCTCAAGTTTCCCATTTTACGACTATTTAGACCCACTAAATATGTATATATGATATTATGGTAAATATCATAAACACACATAGGCATGGCTAGGTTTATTACAAAGTGATGAAAAGGGTATGCTTAATACTGTAGTCCATAAAACATGTAGCTATGTCTTTCTTTATTTGAGTCCCTCATCATAGCAGTCCGTTTTCTCTCGCTTCAGGACGCCTGAGTCCTCCGTTTTCTCTCAATCTTAGAGTGCACCAGAGACTTCGTTATTCCTTAGTAATGACACAGAATTTGAAATTGCAACTGGGATTGCAATTGTTGAGGCAACTTAGATATGACTGATTATAGTTGGAACATTCAAGATCCATTGTGAGTGAAGATGAAAGCTTCAACTGTCTTTATGGTTGGTAAAACTTGTCAAGTAAGTGAGTGTCAAGTCTGTCAGTATGAGTGGCATGTGTGAGTGCTTGTGTCCCCCATCAGAGGAGTCCGTTTTCTCTCGCTTCAGGACGCCTGAGTCCTCCGTTTTCTCTCAATCTTAGAGTGCACCAAAGACTTCGTTATTCCTTAGTAATGACACAGAATTTGAAATTGCAACCCCAATTGCAACTGGGGTTGCAATTGTTGAGGCAACTAGATATGTCTGATTACAGCAAATGTGTTATTGTCAATTTGTAGTTGAAAGATTTTATCCTCAATGGATGTAGGTTAACATTACACCTGGAGGCAAATGCGTGATAACCAAATTCTCGGCAAGGAAAATGCGCTATAACGGCAGGTGGGCAGATTTTGATGGAGGCGTGATAACGAAAATCGCGATAACCGAGTGTGCTATAACCAAGGGACGACTGTATTATTAATTAAATTGACCTAATTTAGTACAAAAGGATATACTGTATTTTACGGCATATAAGACACACGGCCATATGAGACGCATCCCCCATTTTAGCAGCTAACTCGTGTCCAAATAAATGTATTTTCCCTGTATGTGTTTGCCCTAAGGACAAGTATTTCTTCTACTTTTTCATAATATATATGTAGGATGGTGTGTGCATGCAACTGAGTAAAAATTCATGAAGAAAATTACGTACAGTAGAACGTCGATATAACACGAGATACATTCCAAGAGAGGTCACTTTAAAACGAATTCGCACTCAAGCGAAGTGTTGTTTCAATGGAATAATGTAGTTTGGTACTTGAGAGAAACACAAAATACTAAAAAGACTGAGAGTCTACCCAGATGCACCTCAGTCCATCTCCTAAAATAAACAAAACATTGCTTTTTGTAGTATTATGTTAAAACAAACACTCTTAAATCAACACAGCTAAAATTATGGGACGTGAAATGGTCTGTTTACTGGCGATCAGCTGATGGGAAGATTGGGGGGGGGGAGGAGGTGAGTTGATATGTTTGACAGTTGATGCCAAGGTTTAGTAGTGCTTATTTATTTATCTGTCCTTAAGAGTGACTTAAGTTTTTCTCTAATAAAATGTCACTAAACTGACCTGGGAGAGTATAATTAACATTGCTCTAATTCTTATAAGATAGTAATTAGTTTGAATATAAACATGCTATAGTTCGCATTAGACATACAAATTTTAGTTCTAATTAATTTTATTACAAAGGGCTAAAAATTTTATCTCTTGAGCAAAATATATAATGTTTATATTCAAATTATTCGCTGTCTTGCAAGAATTCTAGCAATGCAAATTATATTCTCCTAACTTTAGACTGTGACATTATATAAGATAAAAACTATAAGCCTATAACCACCCAACCCTGGCTGGGAAGATGGGAGGGGGGGGGATGTGACAGTGACACTTTTGACAGTTGGGGCTGAAGGTCTAGTGAGGTATTTATATATTTATGTCCTTTAGATTGAGTTTGTTTTTGTTTTTTATAAAATGTCACAGAAGTGACCGGGGAGAATATAATCTACATTGCTGGAATTCGTATAAGATAGTGATTAATTTGAATATAATCATGCTATAGTTTGCACTAGACAAAAATTTTAGTAATCATTTAGTACATGTACAGTACAGTCAACCCTCACTTTACGCGGTCCCACATTCCGCGTTTCCACGTTTACGAGCGGTGCCCTGCCAGAACCCAGGATGCTCACATTCCGCGGTGGGTGTACCCCTTTACACAGGTGAAGTATAATTTTTTTATTTAGCTCATAAAATTCATACAAATTATCCGGCCAGAATATAATTTACATTGCTGGAATTCTTACAATTTGATGATCATTTTGAATATAAACATCATAGATTTTGCATTAGACTTACAAATTTTAGATGTAATGTTTACTCTGAGTAAATATGTTATCTTTTGTGAAAAATATATGACATTTATATTCAAAATATTCCTGGTCTTACAAGGAATCCAGCAATGTCAATTATATTATCCTAACTTTAGTTTGAGGAATTATTTATTACTATACCTGGTTTTCCCCCCAAAATTTCTCAGAGGGAAGAGCCAGCGAGTGTAGTGTGAGAAGAGGGGGAGGGAGTCGAGTCCATTATTTGAATGGACATTAACTTGGCGACTGTATTTCTCTATTTCTCTTAAGTATTAATTGTGTGCATGTACCATCATAAAATTAAGATGTTATTTTTACTAGAACATAGGTATTGTGTTGGAAAAAGTGGAGTTTGGGGGTCAGCTGGTCTCTATTTCATTTAATCCCATATGTTATGTTATTCACTTTACGCGGTACCCTGTGGGTTACATTAACCGCGTAAAGTGAGGGTTGACTGTACAGCTTTGCTCTTAGAACAGTGTAGCATGCTCAGAGAAACATTAGGTGCGAATTTTAAAATATGATGCGCCAGATTGACTCGTGCAAAATAGGAAAGATTTGCTTTATATTAAAACATTGTCCTTAATTGTGGGTGTCGCTTTAAATCAATAATCTTAAATTGAATCGCTTTTAATCGACGTTCTACTGTATATCTACCTAAAAATACGAGTTGAAAAACCACCATAACACCAGTAGTCTGGTGGTTATAGTGGCGAGTCTAACCTGGCCAGCAATGTTGACAGATGCAAATGTGAAAAGAAAATTTTCTGTAAATTTTCATTTATCAAGTACAAGTATTTGTAGATTTAAAAATAAATGTTGCAGGTATGGCATTAATTGATTGTAATGCTTGTAAGAGTTCAGAAATGGTTACTGCTTAGCTACCTCTGAAGAGTTGGGTGTCTGCCATATGGACGTTAATTGTCTCAGGTTATCATAATCATTACAGTACGTAGTTATAAATTGAGCTTTTATTTATGCAATAATTATTTTTTTAATTAATTAAAATAATAATAATGTGTTTAAATAAGCAATATCATATTTTTAATTCTGAAGTTGGGTTAGGTAGAATTTAGCTTACTGGAGACTGTATCTAGGAAATTCATTAGCTTATGGAAGACCTCAACTTCACATGTAAGATGCAGACTAATTTTTGGGGGTCCATTTTTCGGCCCAAAAGTGCATCTTATATGCTGTAAAATACCGTAAATTTACTGACGACACTAATGAGCTCGTAGCAGTGGTTTGGAAGTAGAATGGTGGATGAGTGGAACAAGTTACCAAACATCACTATTAACTCAAACACACTGGGTAGCTTCAAATATAGGTTGGATGGATATATGAGCAATAGGGGTTGGGTGTAAACGGGACTGCCCAGTATGGGCCAATAGTCCCGTTGCAGTTTCCTCCATTCTATGTTCTTATGTAATGCATATGCCAGTACCCCTAATTACACTAATTCTTCAGGGGGGGGGGGAATTCTGCATTGTAAAATGTTTCACCCCAAGTCATTTTTCTCTGGAGCACATCCCCGACGTATGATGAGGACCCCTGTAATGTTAAGTGAGAGGATCTTCTGAAGATTAGACACCCCAGCTTATTTTATCTGAAGATTAACCAACCTAACCTAACCTAACCTAATCTACCTTAACTTCACCTAAACCCTGCAGGTAGTGTTACAGTGGTTAATCTTCTTGTGAAATAAGGCTTTGTATCAAATTTAAAGATGATTCCTGAAATATGATAATAACTGAATTTGCATTACAGTACAGCTAGACATACCTGGTAAAGCTTATAAGTTACAATTATGTAAAATGATTCCAATCCTTGATCGTTATCTCAATATTTCACATAAAAATGAACTGCAAGACAGGATTCCACAAACAGATGGACGCTAGACTTCTACAAGAATAAGATTTTGGTAGCCTTAATATATATACAATATAGAATAAATTACTCACTATCATAACACTAATTCTGCTTGTTGTTTGACATGCTAATTCAGCAAGTAACTCACATATTCATTAACAAGGTAACTCAATATTAAAAAGTGTTTTTAATAGGATACAGCCCCACAGTTGCCAACACATGCATTAACTAACATTAGCACTCATTGCTTCACTCTTGCATGTATGCATTTTACAGGGAACAATTATGTGTGTAAACAGTTGACAATGAATTTCATTTCAAAGTTCTTTTATTAAAAATAACTAGAATATTTCTTAGGTAATACTGATTTCAAACAACTTCCCTGGTCAGGCAAGTTATTAAGAGTGTGTACTGATGCTACTTTGGTGAATATTTATGTGCTACTATTGTAGTGTTGAGCCCTGACACCTGTTTGAAATTGCAATAACATTTGTAATTATTGTGCCAACTTTTGGTTGTATGTTTATTATTGAATTTAAGAAACCTAAATGGACTAAATTAGTAGGCATTTTAAGTACTGGTGTTGGTTGTTCAATGCAGAAGGGCTGGAAATAATACAGAGTAATCAAAATGTTTAACAAAGATTTTTGCATGTCAAAAGTCATCCTTTGAATGTATGTAGGAATGGTCATTACAAAGTACGTACTGTACAGGGTAGTTGTAAATAGCATGAATTAGGGAGCATGTAGGCTGAAACTAAAGCTTCTTCAAAGTTGTCTTTGTTGAGAAAATAAAATAATAGGTAATGATTGCATGTAAACACTTAACTTTGTGATAATTTTGCAGGGGTCTGTCCTTCTTTCATTAAGATTTTGTACTATGATAACTTCAGACAGCTACACACATAAGTGAATTAAATATATCGCTTACCAGTTCACCTTATGCAATTCAAACTTTACAGTTGGGAAAGGAAATACAGTTATATACAGTGATCCCTCGGTTAACGAGATTTCGGTTAACGAGTTACCTTCCATAAAATTCTTAACTTCGGTTAACGAGCAATCCCTCGATTAACAAGTTTTTTACGAGCCTACCTCAACATGTTTTCGCTTGCCTTTGGCGGTCCACCAGCTGTAGTATTAGTCCGCCAATACAGTAATCGGTTCTAGGGCTTAAATTCCTTACTATTTTAGTAAATATCAAGAAGTTTATGCTATTCAATAATTTTAAAAGTTTTATATTAAAATTTTTTAGTCATTTTAACAATTATTGAACATAATTGAAGTATAGGAAGCTAGTTTTTTGCCCTCCATACAGCCTGTCAACACACCATACAGGCGTCAGTCTATGTGTCTTTTCAGTGGAGGTAGCATCTTGCTTCAGACACTCTTCAACTAAACACTTTTTTTCTCTGTTTCCAAGCAAATTATTGGTCAATTTGAAATTTATTTTACATTTTGACAATATATAATGCAGTGCAGTGTTGATTTAAAGAAAATTATCTTGAATTACACCAAGAGAACTAAAATTTTATGGGTGAAATGGCACCATGGGGTGACTTCTCTTCCACCCCAATGCCTTCTCTTCTCCCTTCTCCTCCACCCCATTCTAATTCCCATCATCATCCAGGAGCCTTCTACATACACACCTCAAAGTAAGTGTACTTTACTACCTGTTTTGTTGATTTTAGGCAATTTTTGGTGAGCTGGAACTAATTACCCAAAAACCCATTGAAACAATGGTTTCGGTTAACGAGCAACCTTCTAGAACGAATTGTGCTCGTTAACCAAGGGACCACTGTATCAATATAGTGATCAGGATACAGTAATTGAAAAAAGACATAGTTTATGGTGTGCTGTACAGTATCTGTCGTACAGGTACACCACCGTTTTTCCTGCACTCTTGGTTCCAAAGCCTTGTCGGATTATCCGCTTTGCCGGACCAACCAGGTTAGGTAATAATAACTCAACAATACATTTCTGACCCACTAATTATACACCTCCCGTGTATCTAAAGCACCATGGACTACTAGAAACTTAAACTTAACAAATATTAAATGTAAGTTAAATGTGAAAAATCCATAATTTTGAGCAACATTACAGAACACACTTTGTACTCTTGTGCAAACTATGTGATGTTTATACTCAAATTAATCACTATATTACAAGGATTCCAGCAATGTAATTTATATTCTGCTAAGTCTAGTTAGCTACATTTTATAAAATAAAAACTTTAAGCCTAAAACTAGCTTCACCCAGGCTGGGAGGGAGGGAGGGAAGTTAAGTGCCCCCTCATAATTTTGTCCGGACTAAAGGAGGTCCCCGACCATCAGTTGCCGGATAATCGGTGGTGTATCTGTACTGCATCAAATAGGCTGCCAGGTTTATGGGATCCTCTTTCACTCTTCAATAATCATACCCTTGTCCCAGGCATACGATTTTCTTTTTCCAGCAACTATTATGCTGTGTTTTGTCCTCTACACTGCAGGGGTTCCTAACTGTGGACCAGGGTGTATACTGTACTTTCAATATTTTTGTAGTCTGGTAAGAATGGACGGGGAGGGGCAGAACTGATTTGAGTACAACATTAAAATGCACAGTGCAGTTTCTCGTGACAGCATTGCATATCAAGTGATAAAACAGAAAATTATATATGCATATATAATTTTTAACTAGATCAAAAATATACTCAACTTGATTGACAAGTAGAGTGTAAAAACTTATATAGCTTATATTACTGTATATAATTATTAAAATATGTTGATACCTGTATACAGTATTTTATACCTTCATATGTACATTGATATGTGGGTTGTTTTTTTACTGGGGTATTAGTGGGTTGTCGGAATTTCATTGGTTATTATTATTATTATTTCCAAATAATTTTGAGGCCCGGTGGCCACTATTCTGCGGCCCAGTTCTGGTCAATACTGGTGGTTGGGAACCCCTGCTCCACATTATTTAAAGGCAAAATAGTGATATAAGTTTGTCAAAAGTCCCTACACTAACCTTATTTCTTGCCTCCAAGGTCAAGGCAAAAGTGCATCGTGGTAATTACTGGAATCCTTGCTGGAGATTCACTCCACACTCAAATTTATCTACTATTTGCAACTATTATGTCATGCTGAAATTTTTTTTGCTATAATCATACACAGCATCATCACTGGAGAGCTATTGCGAGAGTACAAAAAGTGTCCTAAAACCACAAATAAAGATAAAGTGGTACAAACTAACAGCAGACATGACAAAGACACTGTTGAACACGTGAAGTTTTGAACTTCTCATTAAAGCATTGTGATGAAACACATTGTTAGAGTCTAGTGTAGCCTCGATGAGTACATGGATGGGCTAGATCTAAAGTAAGGTCAGTTTCACAGAGGCTGAGTACATCAAATTTGTGTTATATACTGGTCACTGAAGGTTTTTTGGTGCAAAGGAATATGGCCGATGTAAAAGCTCTTGGTAGAATTTTTTTTTAACCAAATCCATTGTTTCAATGGGATATTGAGTAATTGGTTCCAGCTCACCGAAAAGTACATACAAAGAAAAAAAATGCAGTAAAGTACTTTGAGGTGTGTATGTAGAAGGTTCCTGGTTGATGATGCTGATGGGGATTAGAAGTGGGGGTGGAGGAGAAAGGAGAAGAGAAGTAAGTGGGGATGGAGGAGAAATCACCTTTCAGGGGACCCATGCTTGATGCAGTAATTTTACCAATAAAATTTTAAGTTCACTAGGTGTAATTCAAGATTATTTTATTTAAATCAACACTGCACTGCGCTATATATTATCAATTGTTAACTAAATTTCAGAATGACCAATAATTTTAATGTAAAAATGCAAAAATATTCAAGACACCAACAAAATCGATGTTCACTCCAATGTAAACAAAGCCAAACTGACACCCTGTGGATGAGTCAAGGGGCTGATGGGCACACAAAAAACTAATTCCCAGTACTGCATATATTATCAATATGTTAACTGAATTTTAAAATGATTAATAATTTTAACATAAAAAAATGCAAAAATATTAACCCTTAGGCCGCGGGTGACGTTCCAGAACGTTTGCCTATTTTCCCGCCTTTTAAATGTTGATTTTTTTCTCGATTTAACCCCGCGTGGGGGGTACTGCCAGCAGCACCCTAATCTGGGGCTTAAGGGTTAAAGAGCACAACTTTCTTGTTATTTACTCCACTGGAAACGAATATAAACAGAATAGATTACAGAATTGGCAGACTAGCCCATCAGCTGATTAGCTGATGCTCACAACAAAACGTGTTTGTCGTAAGTATTTTGTTAATCGAAGTTTTGTTCGTTAACCGAATTGGAGACCCTTATGGGAGGTAATTCGTTAATCGAACCGTTTGTTAACCGAGGGACCACTGTATTTTTTTTTTTTTTTTTTAAGTGTTCTACATGTGTTGGCACTGATGTAATTTTGTACAGATATACTGTATTCTTGACTTTTTTTGCTTTTTGTGTTGGATTTGCTTGTAGGTTGAGAAGCCTTTTGTGGTTGTTTCCATCCTCTCTGCTGCATCTGAAGGAGAGGAAGAGGAAGAATGTTTGCATGACATTGGTTATTGGGTATGGTTTCTTTAACTGCATGTTTATTACCTAACATTTACCAATTTTTTGGTAGGTTTGTTACCTATCTTTACACATATGATTTAGTGAATTGCGATAACAGTACACTGTGTGTTACCATTCTAAATATGATTAACCTATCAAATATTTTTAAATATTAATTAATCATATTTTTTTCCTTCTCATTGAATTTTCTACTTAGAGCTTTTTCCAACATTTTTCATTTACAATAGCTTTACCCAATCTGTTGATATATTTTTAGCTTAAATATTCTCATTAGTATTTATTTAATTTTTTTTCTTTTGTACTTCATCACTGATATACCTCAGTTCAGCTGTGGGAAGTTTATCTCATTTTACATGAATATTATATGAAGAAATGAAAAATTGTATCTTATTGTTAGTTGAATGTTATTCACCAGGTACATTATGTATTCAGAAATTACTCATACATTATAAGTAACGTTATATTGAATAATACTGTATCATCCTCTACATGTGTTAGTCAAATGAATTTGTTTGGAAAGTTTATTTGTCTAGTGCTGTAGTTACAAACTTTGTCTCCTGATTGTTGAATTGATTTTATTTTATATCTCAGGGTGGGGACAATGTACCTCCAGGTCATGAGGCAGTTTCTCTCATTGAAGCCCTCAATGGCCCATCTGTGGCTCCTCAGCAGCCCACTGCTCCACCAGCACATGAGATGTACGTCCAGTTGCCTCAGAATGCAACTGATGTGCCAGCACATGACTTGTACGTCCAGTTGCCTCAGAATGCAACTGATTCGCCAGCTGATTCTCACATTCGTAATGAAGCATCCAGGTAACTTAATATTGATTTCATTGCTTAAAGATTGGTGGTATATAACAAAAAAATTCAATGAAATGTGGATTCTGGGTGGTTGCTGCAAGATGGTTGATGACCAACAACAACAGTGTTGCTCAGTTTGGGTTCATTCCCCAGTTTGTGTTCTGTTTTGTGTCTATGTTCTGGACTGTATACGCTTTACAGAATTTGGGTAAATTTAAATTTTTTCCAAATTAATAAATCGCGATATAGAAGAAAAATTCACCATTGGATATTAAACTTAATGTTTTAAGTGGGTGACTCCCAGTAACTCTGATCGCACCACCTCACCACCGCAAGCAGCACTCAACATCATTTCTGGTGAGTTAAATTCGAGTGTTGTGTGCATCTTTTGTCATGTTACATCATGAATGAATCATTGTTTGTGTTTAAAACTGTTTCCCATGAACCCTCACCCAATGTAGAGGTTAGGTTCCTCGAAAACGGCGTGTTGGGCAAAATCACATTGGTCAAACTTGACTTCTTATGGGAAATATGGGGTGGCGGGATCGTGGCCGCGTATGCACAAATATGATAATATTAGAACTAACATACCATAAAAATTAGAAATATTAATGATAAGCATTATAAAATCATATTATTGTCCTCACTGATCCATGGTTAGATGATTGTAACATAACTATGATAACGATGATATCGTAAATGTTGTGAAGCCTTCTGATGATGCTGATTAATGAGGAAGACTTCGATGATGATGAAACTGGAATGATTTTTATTTCTTAAGCTGATGGATCATCAGGATCTTCGGCTTCAGGCTCCAGATCGGCGGATGATATTGATGGTTAGAGTTCATATAGTTCTGGTTCGGCAGACAATGTTGATGGTTGGGGTAACTGTGGCCTCGAGTAGAAGCCTTTTAATTTCTGTTGTTTGCTTTTTCGATGGAAATCTTCCAAAATTTCTCTGTATGGCGCACAAATATCATCAAGGGGCCTTTTGAACTTTAAACTTCTCTCCATTATTGGATCTATATAGAAACATTTCTCACCAAGTTCAATTGCTTGCAGGAGGAATTCAGAGGTTGCCTTTCGGTTTTATGGGTTCCACTTCTGCATCATCATCACTACTTTTGCTGCCATCTGCTATATGCTCTTCAAAACCCTCACCTCCAATTTCCTTTGCATATTTCACTATTTCTGCGATTTCTTGTCAACCGTTGGAAATCCCCTGAAATAGTGAACAATTTCAGGCCGAAGTTGGTGCCAGCAAGCGTTCATGGTGGAAGGCTTCACGACATCCCAAGACATTATTATAATGTCAAGGCAGAGTTTGATGTTAAATGCCTTCCAGAATTCCATCAGTGTTTCAAATGCACCAGCATCCATTGCTTCAGTTGCTCACCTATAGACATTGCTCATGTAATATGACTTAAATGTCTTGATGACACATTGATCCATTGGTTGTAGCCGGTGGCTCCCTTTCCCAACTGCGAAAATGCCGGCAACTTTAAAACTACCCACAGACATTCGAGGGTGTCATCCGCAAATAAACGAGAACCGCGAAGTAAAAATCCGCGAACTTGGGGGGCATACTGTACTCTCATGTGGCTAGGGAACTGAGTGTTAGGGTTGTTTCCTATTATTTGTTTTAGCCAGTATTTGTATATTATATTAGAAAGAACAATCATGAATGCAAATAATACATATTTTGGATTCTGTGATATGATGTATGAGGTCACTTACAAAAATGAAGCCTTTGAAGAAAGACACAACGAAGGGAAAGGAGGAGGCAGCGGGGAGAGAGAAGTAGAGGGAGAGGTAGTGGAAGGATGTCGAAGAATGAAAAGGCAATAGGGAGTGTGAAAAAGAGAGAAATGAGAGTAAACAGATATAACGAGACAAATCTCACAAGAAGAGGTTATTACATGTAGGTAGAATATTTATAGTAAGAGGAATGTAAAGAGAGGAAGTATGGTAGCGTGGCTCGAGGGTGTGGGGATGACTACGTATATTAACACAGGCTCAGTACAAGTGTAGTATATAAAACACAACTGTGTGTTACAGCTTTATTTTACTAGTTGCATTGGGGGAATTAATGGGGGAGATGCTTACACAAGGTATGCTAGACTATATGATGTTCGTTTAACCTCACAAGTCGAATGGGCACTTCACTAAGTCGATCGTTGGAAGGTTCGACATCACTGCACTTCTACCGCCTACACAGCCAGCACTTACTTTTACACGTTGTGTTGACAGCACTCTGTCGATGGACCCGGCGGAGACCTCGTTGCCTTTAGTGATGGACTTCTTTGATGAGCGGGATTGGGGACGTTGTTGCTGGCCCTCCTTGGTTATAAGACTCTCTGACGAGCGGAGCTCCAGCCCCTATATATTGGAGGAGCCGGAGGATGACCTCTCCTACTGAACTGGGTGTGTCTTGACCGGGTTGTTAGGTCAACAGGGGTGCAGGCTGATTAGCGGGTCCTTGAATTAACAAGGTCATGACGCCAGGTTGCGTGGCGGTGAGAATTCTGGTTCCCTTGTGATCTTGATCTCCCTTGGGTCAGGTCTGGACAGCAGTTTGCCCAGGTGTGGTCATGTCGCAAGTCAGTAATGCTTTCTAATTATTACCACCCGGGTGTGTCTTGGCCAGGTGTGGTTTCCTTAACACGGTTATATCGTAGGGTTACTCAAGATATGTACTTAGCAGCCGGGGTCAGGTCCCTTGGGTTCTGACCCAGGGTGTGTCAACTTGGTACTCGCTGTTATATGTGTTGTAATTCTCTGGTCTGTAAGCTGTGGTCTGATAATATAATCAATCGTTACACAGAAGGTGGTACATAATGTTTTCGGAAAAAGATTTGGGTAACTTTCAGTCAGTCAGATAAGGATAATTAAAGTAATTCTCTGGGCTGTAAGCTGTGGTCTGATAATCAATCGTTACACAGAAGGTGGTACATAATGTTTTCGGAAAAAGATTTGGGTAACTTTCAGTCAGTCAGATAAGGATAATTAAATACCAGCATCATGCTGGCATTTCATCATCTTTATCGAAGCTGGCAGCATCGATAAAGATGCGCCTACAGTACCACTTATCATGTTTCAGGAGATTAGTCTAATTTGCTTAGCTATTTTCTTGCTTGGTAACACACTCATCCCTCTATACAGTTTGTGAGTACAGCATGTAAGACAAACATACGGTATAGCAACATACCATTGATATTATTGTATGATAGGTTTTTAGTTCATGAAGCTAATATTGCATGAGGTTTGTTGTAAGATATTTCCATAAATATCAAACTATTTGTTTTGCACAGTCTTATTTTCTCGGGATTGTGGTTATTATTTGGTTCAAAAGTGTTATTATGATGTTTTAATATCAGTCTTGTAACTTGCATTGTTTGCTAATATCTTGTCTATTTTATTAAATTTATCCTTTTCATAAATTAAACATTTCAGGCTTTATAGTTAATACTTTAATATATTAAACTATTTAGATGTAGTAGGATAAAATAAATAATGGTTGGATACAATATTTATTACAAAGCAAACCTTTATATCAACGACAAAATTGATTTGTTTTAAACTGATAAATGTAATTACACAAGACTAAACTTATTTATCTGTTATACTTTATTTAGTGTCACAATAGTAATCAGGTCATAAGTGGAAGGAGCATCATATGTGAATCTGGGGCGGGTGAGGGCCAGTTATAACATTAGTACTTTGTCCACCCACCATTCTTAGCAATTACCTCATGCAGTCTGTTTAGGAGGGAGGCTACAGTAGTATACTGTACAGAATTTGTTGCCGATTTCTGCGAAAACCCTCCCACTCATCCTTCGTGTGTTGGAGGAGTTGCTGTGGTGTTTGGTTATCGTCTGTCTCCCATGAGCTAACGATGATTCCTCATACATTTCTACTGGGGTTGAATCACACCCTTTGCTCGGCCACTCCAGAAGTTGTATGTCTGGCTGTTCGTTGAACCATCTTCTGACGATTCTGGTTGTGTGGATGGGAGAATTATCCTGCAATATTAAAGTTAAATATAATTAGGAAAATAATAACTTGGACATTGAATTAATATATCAATTATACTCTTACTTTGTTTTGTTTACTAGTTATAATATTTATAATAGTCATAGTCAGCAATTTATAAATACAAATGTATAATTATATCCACTACAGACCATTAATTAAGAGGTATATGATATTGTGATTCATACCTGCATGAATATAAGTATTATGCGCTCGGTATGTGGGAGAGCATAGGCTCGGACAGAGGGTATCATCACTTCATCCAAAATCTCCAAATATTTTTCACTTAAATTTCCCTTCAATCTCAGCAAGTTCACCCATGCTGTATGCGTTTATCCATCCCCAAATGTTGACTCTCACATGTCCGTTCTTGCCACCTCGTTGATGTTCTGATGTTCATGTCTCATGTTGGGCCGCCGACAGTGGAGAGGACCATGGGTGGCGGAGGCAAATGTCTTCTCATCTAAGATCACCACCTTACCCCAAACGTCTATGCCTTCACCCTCATATTGTTGGGCAAACTGGAATCTGGCAGTATGATGACAATCTTCTAAATTTTCCTTAATTGCCAGAGTCCTGTGGTGTATCCCGACCTCGTGTAACTGGCTTCTCACAGTTCCTGCATAAACGTCAAGTTGAAGCCGTTCCCTAATGGTGGCTGCATTTATAAGTGGAGACGTCTCTGCTTCCACGATTCTTTGATCGTCCGCTGGAGTAGTCTTTCTCTGTCCGCCAGACTTAGATTGGTTTAGGGGGTTTCCACTTTCTTCCCATCTCCACCACCAATATCGCACTGTTGGTTTCGATATTCCTATCTCTCTTGCTAGGCCTGCTTTCATATGGTCAGCCTCTCTCAATGCAAAAATTTTACCCCATAACACCAGTGGTTCCTGCTGATGATTTATCTTCAAAGTTGCTGAGCTGAGTGTGGTGCGAGAATGCAAATAAGGTAATCAGATGGGATTATGTCAGCTTGTTTGAAACGTCGAACAACCTCTCCCTCTACTTCTCTCTCCCTGCCGCCTCCTCATTTCCCTTCTTTGTGTTTTTCTTCAAAGGCTTCATTTTTGTAAGTGACATCATATATCATATCACAGAATCCAAAATATGCATTGATAATTGTTTTTTCTATTATAATATACAAAATACTGGCAAAAACAATAGGAAACAACCCTATCAATCAGTGTCCTAGCCATATGAGAGTATGAGTTTGCTAGCCACATGAGAGTATGACATTGCCACATGAGCATGGAAGGCTTGGTAGGGGGTAACATTACACCTGAAGGCGACTTACATGCTTTGTACTCCCTATGAAATTTTGAAAAGTCCTATGCTTTTCCAGATCTTTAAATGCCATTAGCCAATCCTTTTTCTTTTCCAAAAAGATTCAATTTATGTTGTTTATATTTGACACGATCCAGAAATCCTCTCCATTTTTTATCCATATGGAAAGTTTTATGGTAATCTATTTTTAAAATTAATTCTTACATGCAAAGCAGAGTAGCCTGCTGAGAATTATTATTGCTGGCTTATAATATTGCAGATCACCTATGTTCATGCACATTTGGAACCATCATTGCAGGTTGTTGCTAATGTGCATTAACACACTTTTTGTCTTCTTTTTTTTTGTATAAGTAATGAAAGCATCCAATTAAATAATTTTTTTCCTTTATAGGTGTTTCATTGAGAGTATAACTGTTCGGTCTGGGACAGGCACTGTGGAAGACTCAACCACACAAACTGAGCGCCCTCCTAGCTCATGTGATTCAAATAACCCATCTACTGTAGTTACAGAGGTGAGTTTTATAGGTGTAAAAGATTCATAACATGCCATTGCATCTACTGAAGATTTAATTGTTTTGTTCATTACTTTGTTTCATATATGAGGTGCACAAAACTGAAGTAAGACAAGCGCTGTAAATGAAAAATGGAGAAAAACAGTTGAAGTTTGCAAACATTCAAATTACAATAACTTTTTAACCAGTAAAGATAATGAAGTGATTCAAGTGGCAAATTGTAGCATTGTTAGTATAGATTTAATTGATGCTAGTGAAAGACATAATACATATTGTTTGCAGTAAACAACATAAGTATAAGTGAAGGCCATGTTTACCAAATTAATAATTTAGGGGCAATGAATAACTTTTTTATGCTATAACAGTGAATGATGATGACAAAAATAATTATGGTCCACATTCATATGTACAGTAGCTAAAACAACTATCTGTGCATACTTTGTGGGAAACAATTTGAGACCATGGACGAAAAGTTTTGGTATATGAGGGTTGTCACTAGTCACACTTAAAATTTCAGAGCATATCAACCCCCACCTGCACATATAGTTGTTTTAGCTACTGTACAGGTATTTTGAATTAAAGCAAACAATATTGTGTTTTCCTGTTGTTTGCTTTATTAACCAAATGAAAGAAGAGAATAAACATTTCTTCGTGCACAGGAATTAGGGCACAGTCGTAGGAGGAGCAGCAGTCGCACTCCTGTCTCGTGAGTCCTTAGTGAAACGATTACTAAATGGTAATGCAATATTTTTATTTTATTTTATTTGTTAGCACTGTATTATTTTTATTTATTCTTCACATTTACGGAGGAATATATAGAACAAAATGCTGCAGGTGATAAAATGGTATACAGATTGAAAACCATGGGTACAGTACATGGAATCCGCAGATGAGAAATCCGTGGTTGGCAAGGTTCTACTGGCGACGTGCTTAAAGGGAAGTTCTATAATTACTTATAATGGTTACTTCACATGATATTAGATGCTCTTCACACTATTCATACATCATTTTCAGGTAGTGAGTGGTGAGGTAGGAAATAGACTGTCATAAACCACTCATAAAAATACTGGTGCGAGAGAATGAGGAGATTCATCCATCATGACAAACAAATAAAGACTATGGCAATGCATTGTTGTTGGAGTGAAAAAATTTCTTTTGGGCTCTCCATTAGCAAGTGGACTTCCTGTTAGCCTTTAAGACGTGTTAATACATAAATGATAATGATAATAAATTGGGGTAAATAACCACACAAAAATAGAGAGAAGCAAGTACATACAGTTGTCGCCTGTTTAAAACTGATTTACACGCCACAGTGACACTACCAATAGGAAAATGATGCGGCCAGCCAAACTCGCCAGTTTCAAAACTAATCAGGTTAACAATAACAGGTTTTCTGGTAAATTTGGTTTCCTGGAAGCTGGATAAATGATGAGATACCTGTAATGATATTGAACCTACTGTAGTTTGACTGGTAGTTGTTATTTTTGCATCAAGTACAGCAATATGAAGTCATCATAGAAGTAGTATTAAAAGTTGTAACTTTCAAACAAAATATATGGTAATGACGCTTGTGAGATGGTCAGGTGCAGCTTTGTTTTGTCCACCAGCCACAGAATAAACATAACACACAGATGCCTGACATATGTGTCCAGACAGTGTGGTTTTACTTGCAGATCTGCCACAAGATCTCGGATGAGTTTCACAATTTGTTATTCCTTCATTTTTGTACAAAATTATGATTCCTTGGACTTAGACATTGTGCAGAATATAATTTAGCTACCTTTGGTGGAAAACAGTTGTGTTCTTTTCTTCAATGTTCAGGAAATCTTTATTGTTAATAAGTTACTTTGATGTATTTGTAGATGCGCATGTCGGTACTCCTTGCTCAAGAATCAGATGACTTAGGGGGTTCCAAGAATGAAAATGCTGTAACTGCTCCAGCACCACCAATTAAAAAGAAAGCAAGTCGAAAGCAGTCACGTGAGAAACAGCAATATGGCTCCAAGGACAGCGTTAAAGTTGTTAATGAATTAAGTGGACCGCGAAGTATGGAAGTAAGAATTTTTTTTTTTTTTTTTATGACCAGTTCAACAAGTCTTAAAAATTATCTTTTAGTAATAATGTATTCCAATGTTTTAACAATTTGCAGGTATGAAATATTTATTGAAAACCTTTTTCCCAAAACACTAATTAAGAGTAAATAAGCTAAAAAAGGTATAGGATTTCCTGTTCATTAGAATATTGTGACTGTATTGGTTTTCTCCCAAAGCTTGTTGGAGATAAATGGTTACCCTGTATAGGTTTATGATTATTTTTGTGAAAATCCAAAAGTTGGTACTGTAGTAAATCAATTGTTGTCCAGGATAACATTCACTTTAAAGAATTTGCCTGTCTTCAATGACATTTCTTTTAGTTTTGGACTTTTCACTACTTGGCCTTTTACCACATATATTGAACTCCATCTTGTTTGTTAAGGGCTGGTATTTTACGAGCCTGTCTCATTGGTTTACCTTACTCTGATCATTCTCCCATGGGTATTCTCCCTCTGTATTTTACTAAGCATTTTATGTAGATTTCCTGATATTTTCTTGAATTTTTTCATGTTTTAACTCTTTACTTTAGGAAGTGATAACTGCAATACTAGAATAAGAATGGCTAAATTAGCATGAAGATTTTCAGCAATATTTGACATCTAAGACCATAAAAATGACCAATGAGAAGAGTTTTAAATGTGTAGCCTTGCTTTAACACACTGGTTGCAATTATAGGAATGCCTGCTTACTGCTGTTTGTGCAGTAAACATTAAAAATTAAAAACTCTTAAAAACTTGTAATGCAGTATTCTTATAAGATTAATGGATAAAAATGAAAATATTCAGCAGTCATGGTGGAGTGTTTAAGTGAGCATGTGGGGGCTTATCTACGACAGGGGAGGAGGTAGGAATTAAGTGTTGGCGAGGGCAGACTGCCACTGTTGGCAACGAACATGCATTTTCCATGATAACAAAGGCACCTGAGAGCCTTATAGAGGTGTGGGTAGTGTAATGAAATCTATTGGGATAAATGATTTGTTTTGTGTGCTATAATAGCATGCAGTACAGCTCCTCCCCGACTTACGACGGGGTTAGGGACCCAAATCAAGGTCGTAAGTCGAAAATGTTTAAATAATACATAGAAAATCTAAAATGCGTGTCTCTTTTTCTTCTCAGCACCACAAAACTCCCACTTTTAAGCTTGCCAGCTATTTTAAAGTGAATTACAAACAAAAATTTTGTCAGTATACAGCGCAATCACTGACGTTGGGACTCGAAAATACGTAATTTGACAATTTTGGTACTACTGAGGCGGTCGTATGTTCGGGTGGTCGTAAGTCGAGTAGGTCTTAAGTCGGGGAGGAGCTGTATATAAAAATGGCTGTTCTCATGTGAGGAATGCTATAGTTATATTAATGGCTTCATTTAATGGTTAAGAGCAAGTAAAGATTGCATACTGTTTGATATTTAGGACTATGAACCAAGCTGCCTTGGCTTTCTCAGACAGTAGACCCAGCAGAAACAAGAAGTCTACTAGATGAGGACAGATCTGAAGTTGATGTTGGACCAGGGGGTGAATGCTTGCAGCGACACCAGAACCCACGAGATGTTGAAAACCAACAGAAAGAGTTAAGGGCTCCACAAGCTGAGGCAGAGGTGGATGATGATGATGCAGAGGAGGGAGAACATGTGTTAGAAAAAGATGAAGAAGAACAGAGACACCAGTCCATTGTTGTGTTGGCAGACTCAACTGTTACTGAAAGTGATGAGAATGATATACCTCAAGTAGTTTCTGATTCTCCAGCTGTAACACCGAGGAAGGTACTGTATTTAATTTATAGATTTTAATTTTCTTCCCTTTTTAACCTTGATATTTCAGTAATCTATTATTGGGATCTGAGGTACACAAGCAATGGCAAGACAGGTGCAGCATGAACAAAAACTGGTCGCATTAAAAACTTAATTTTTGTCCATGAGTGAAACAAAGAAATGCAAACACAGTATAGTCTTCATTTACACGGTCAATTGAACCCGTGGAGGTCCGCGTAAAACGAAAAACGCGTAATCGAAATAACAGAACATATGGGATTAATTGAAATAGAGACTGGGCCGACCCCCAGACTACCCTTTTTCCGACACAATACGTATGTTGTAGTAAAAATAACATCTTAATTTTATGATGGTATGCACACACAATTAATATTTAAGAGAAATACAGTCACCGGTTAATGTCCATTCAAATAATGGACTCAACTCCTCCCCCCCCTCCTCTTCCCACGCTCCCTCCCTGGGTGAAAGCACTAGGTTTTTAGGTTTAGTAATAAATAATACCCCAGACTCTGTTTAAGATAATATAATTGACATTGCTGGATTCCTTGCAAGACTGTGAATAATTTGAATATAAATGTCATATATTTTGCACAAAAGATAAAATTTTTGCTCTCTCTAATAAAATTCTTAAATTAGATCTAAAATATTTATGTCTAATGCAAATTTTAGCTTGTTTATATTCAAATTAATCACTATCTTAATAGAATTCCAGCAATGTAAATTATATTCTGGCCGGGTAATTTCTATGAATTTTATGAGCTAAAAATAAATATTTTCAGTAAATAAACAAATTATTCTTCACCCAGACACTATCTGTCAATCAAAATACCCCACCTCCCGCTCCCCCCCCTCTTCCCACGCTCGCTGGCTCCTCCCTCCCTGAGAAATGTTTGGGAGAAAAGACTAGGCTTTTAGGTTTAGTAATAAATAATACCTCAAACTATGTTTAGGATAATATAATTGACATTGCTGGATTCCTTGCAAGACTGCAAATTATTTGAATATAAACGTCATATATTTTGCACAAAAGATAAGATTTTTGCTCTCTTTAATAAAATTCTTAAATTAGATCTAAAATTTGTATGTCTTATGCAAATTTTAGCTTGTTTATATTCAAATTAATCACTATCTTATAAGAATTCCAGCAATGTAAATTATGTTCTGGCCGGGTAATTTCTATGAATTTTATGAGCTAAAAACAAATATCTTCAGTAAATAAACAAATCATACTTCACCCAGACACAATACGTTACGTACGTTGTAGTAGAAATAACATCTTAATTTTATGATGGTATGCACACACAATTAATATTTAAGAGAAATATCAATAATATTAGGTTTTTTAACACTTACGTTAGTAGAAGAGATGGCTGGGTACACGGGGATTGGGGTTGGTTCTGAGGCAGAGGGCAGATTATTGGCCCTCACCTGTGTCACTTGTATCACCTGTATCACTATCCACCACAGAGGCTTGCAGGGCCTCTTTGTCAAACCCCTCAAAGTCAATATCCTCACTATCACTGACTTGGACTGGCTGTGGTGGGTGGCGGATGAAGAACTCGGTAATGTTTTGCTGACTGGGTGACCTTGTGCGCACCCTGCCCACGCCGCTTACCACGTAAATGATAGAATGAACTGCGTAAATAAAAATTGTAGGTCTGGCAAGGTGCAGCGTAAATGACCAGACGCGTAAACTAAATCCGCGTAAATCGAGACTATACTGTATTAGTTACGCGGTACATTCCATCATTTACGTGGGAAGCGGCGCAGGCAGGGTGCGCGCTAGGTCGCCCAGTCAACAAAACATTACCGAGTTCTTCACCCGCCACCCACCACAGCCAGCCCAAGTCAGTGATAGTGAGAATATGGACGGTGAAAAGGGTAGTCTGGCAGTCGGCCCAGTCTCTATTTCAATTAATCCCATATGTTCTGTTATTTCGTTTACACGTTTCGCATTATACGCGGACCTCTTTGGGTTTAATTGACCGCACAATTCGTTCCAGAGTGTCGTTCGTTAACCAAAAATTTCATTACCCGGTAACCGAATCCATTGTTTCAATGGGATTTTGGGTATTGGTTCCAGCTCACCGAAAATTACATACAAAGAAAAAAAAAATGCAGTAAAGTACACTTACTTTGAGGTGTGTATGTAGAAGGCTCATGGTTGATGATGCTGATGTGAATTTGAAGTGGGAGGTGGAGGAGGAGAAGTGGAAGGCTGAGGGGTAGCATCTTTCTCCCGCTGCCTTTTAAAGAAGAAACTGTAAATTTTTGGTTGTGGAGCATTTCTCCTGATCATTAGCTGGTTTTTGAAGGAGAGCACTTTGTCCTCAACAGTACACAAAATAGGTTCTGTTGTTTCCACATCAGGGTGCCTTGAAGCCAGTTTCCTGAACTTCTCCCAGTGGTGAACAACATCTTTTAAATCTGAAGAAGACATATGGTCATCACTTTCCCTTTCCTCCTCACCACTGTCAGCTTCTAACATCTCATCCAGTTGCTGCAAGTCTTCAGGAGTAAGTTCCTGCTCATGAGACATCACAAGTTCTTCCACGTCATCCTCCTCCACTTCGAGGCCCATTGACTGACCAATGGACACAATCTCCTTGTCCAACTCCGCTTCTTCCTCAAATCCCTCAAAATCATGGACTGCTGATGGCCACAGTGCTTTCCATGCAGAATTGAGGGCTCTAATGGAGACTTCTCACCATGATGACACAATCAATTTTACAGCCTCCAGGATGTTGAATTGTGTCTTCCAGAACTGTGCCAGTGTTAGTTCAGGATCAGTGGAAGTTGCCTGATAACACTTCCTGAACATTTTCTTCATGTACAGCTTCTTGAAATTGCTGATCACATTCTGGTCCATTGACTGTATAATTGATGTAGTGTTGGGAGGCAAAAACAACACTTTGACAAAGTCAATTCGAGCCTCCAAAGTGCCAGCAAGTTCAGAGTCATGACCAGGGGCATTATCCATAAGGAGAAGAGCCTTTAAAGGGAGTTTATTGGTGGTTAGTTAGCTCTTAACAGAAGGGCAAAACACCTCAACAGCCCAATTCATTAAAGAGCTGTCTTATCACCCATGCCTTATGGTTGGACTTCCAATAAACTCCAAGTTGTCCTCTTACCACCTTTGTTGCTTGAACACCCTGGGGTTCTCAGAGTGGTAGACAAGCATAGGCTTCAGTCGGAAATCCCCTGAAACATTGGCACCAAGCAATAGAGTGAGACGGTCCTTCATGGGTTTATGCCCAGGTAAAGAGGCTTCATCTCTGGAGATGAATGTCCTTTTGGGCATTTTCTTCCATAACAGCCCAGTTTTGTCCACATTGAACACTTGCTGTGGAAGATAATTTTCTTCCTCCACCAGTTCCTTAAAGTCCACTACAAATTTTGCTGCTCCTTCTTTATCTGCACTGGCAGCCTCACCATACCTAATAACACTGAAAATGTCACTTCTTTTCTTAAATTTTTCGAACCAACCCTTGCTGGCCCTAAACTCTTCAAACTCTGTGCCAGAAGAAGGAGGTTGCTCTTCCTTCAAATGTTCGTAAATTTCCCTGGTTCTTTCACAAATAAATTCAGTCGAAATTGAATCTCCTTTCATTTGTTTTTCCTTAATCCAAATGAGAAGTAACCTCTCTGTTTCTGCAATTAAGGATCTACCTTTAAACACTTTGGTAGATTTGTCTCACTTTCACTTCTTTGAACTTGTCTTTCTGTGCAAGAATTGTCGACACAGTTGATGCCGACATGCCATATTCTTTACTAAGCACATTTGTTCTAATGCCTTGTTCATGTTTCTTTATGATTTCCTGATACCTGGATTGAAATCACCTTTCTAACTTTCTTTGGACCCATGCTGGATTCAATAACAATTTCAACACTAAAATTTTAAGTTTAATTGCTGTAAATAGAGATTATTTTATTTAAATCAACACTGCACTGTGCTATATATTATCAATATGTTAAATAAATTTCAGAATGACCAATAATTGTACTGTAAATATGTAAAAATAGTTTATGTTCAAGAGAACCACAAGCAAGATGTTACCTCCACTGTCCAGAGATACAGACTGACTCCTGGGTGGGTGAGTCAAGTGGCTGATTGGCACACCAAAAACTAGTTTCTTGTACTGCAATTATGTTAAATAAGTGTTAAAATGAATTAAAATTTTAATATAAAACTTGGAAAATTATTGAATAGTACAACCTTCTTGATATTTACTCAAATGGGAACGAATTTAAGCCCTAGAACCGATTACTGTATTGGCGGACTAATATTCCAGCTGGTGAGCAAGCGGAAACATGTTGACATGATTTCGTACGACTGAGGCAGGTCATAAGTGCGGGTGGTCGTAAGTCGAGTAGGTCGTAAGTTGGGGAGGAGCTGTATTGCTATATGTATTTTATTTTTTTTTATTTTTTTTTTTTTCTGAAACTTTATTTGAGATGGATTGTTTCATTTCATAACACTAGTTCTTTGAAAGGTTATTTATTCCCTTCTTTTTTCTTTAATATAATTATTTTGTCTCTTCATTTCACAGACCCCGCGGAGTAACCGGAGTGCCGCTTCATCAGATACGTCAGTTCCAGCTTCCCCAGGTGGGGGAACATCAAATGTCACCCACCAGAGTGATTCTGTCTCTCTCCCTGGCACACCCTTAAGTAATGCCTCAGCCATAAGTAGGTCATCTGATGCATCTGTAAGCTCTGCCTCATCAACACGGGCTCTCCTATCTCATCCAATGGATGGTTCTCCTGCAAGTGTCGTCTAAATCAAATTATCTTGATTATGTATGAGTGGAGTTATGGTATGGTATGAGTTGGAAGAGGAACTTCCTTGGTGTTATTTTGATTTTGTGATATAACGTTCTTAAGCATTTAGATGTATGATGTGATTATGAAGTCATTAGTAATTTTAAAATATTACTCTGAATATTTGTTGTAACTGTTGGATTTAGTAAAAGAAGGACTTAAAAAGTATTAATTTGAGATATCAAATTTCTTCTCGCTGAATATCGACTATTTTTTATATAAAGTAGCACTGTGCACATATTAGAAATGTGTTGAAACATATAGGTATCAATAAGGTAGTTTTCACACCAGACTTAGACTTATTAGAAGTCAGAGAGCAATTTTAAAACCAAAGTGGTCACAGTATGCAAGTACAGTACAGTAAATTCCCTCTAATCCAGACTAATTGGGGGAAAGGCCTGTCCAGTTTGGCAGAAATTCTGGGATGGGCTGGGGGTCTGTATTGCAAAGTGGAAAATTCCAGTGAGTGGGGGGATTTCAGAGTCAAGCTGCTTAAGAACACTGAACCTACTAACTCTTGGTACAGCTGTACTCAGCGAGTCACCAAGCAACTGGTGTTACTGTCTCAGCGGTGGCACACAGCTTCATTCAAGATTAGATTCACATTTTCTGTCTTCTAGACTAGAATTCAAGCCTTTTCCTCCTTTGTCAGGTATGTTCCAACCATCTTGATGTACTATACACAGAAATATTGTTTAGGACAAGTAGGCGATACACATGAAATTTGGGGGCCGAGTCATGAAGTGACACAATATACTATACTCACACTTGCTGTTCAGGGTACACTTAGGTGGCCAGCTGCTGCCTCATCCCTTACATCACTACCTGTCACCAGACGTACAATAAATCAAATTTGTGGTACATACAGGCTAATTTACACAAATATTTTTGCCACATGTCATTGAGCACAAAAACATGGCCCTTTTGCATTTTTTTTTTTACAGACTCGCACAGAATTTATTCTGGATCATTATGATACCAAACTCATCTTTCGAACACAATTGGAACAGATAGTATGGACAAAGGTTTATACACTTTCACTAGCTGTAAGTATTTTCATTCGTGGGAGAATGAGAAGAGAATTATACAAAGTAGAAGAGTGTTTCTAATGTATACAATATTACTTCTCTATAATGTACTTGTGAATAAAAAATAGAAACACATAGTACATGTTAACAATAAAGTAATGTACATTACTTATTAATTATTCACTTATCATGAGGTGAGGAGGCTGGTGGTGATTTTATGACATTCACCAAAGGTGAAGTGGAGATTGTTTTCTCTGGTTATTTAATTGACTGCATATGCAGTACTGTACACTTATTTACATTTCTTAGACTCTTCACTTTAGTGCTCCTCAGAGACAGCTACTGGGTTGCCTTCCTGTGCCACCACAATAGCAGCCCCCACTTATGCAAACTTTCCCCTGTACTAACTGGATTTTGGTTATGTTTTTGGGGTTGGGGATACATGTGTTTGGTGCAAGGGGATCTGGATGAAGAGATTCTGGGTTAGAGGGAGTTTACTATACAGTAAAATATTGTGCAGTTAACAAATTTTAAGTTTCGGGTTCATAATAGTTCGTGGTAATAATAAAGTACAGTATATCTTTATTCATCCCTAATCTCCCTATATATACAATCATTCCATGTATGAAAATCAAGATTCATACCTTGAAATAAATTTAAATAACTTTTCAGTGATTTATTGATTGAGGTGTAATAAGCAAAACAAGTACTGTACAGTACCTTCTTTTATTCAAAGAAGTGAAGTATAGATCTATGTCTAACTCTGGTAAAGTCAGGCATTATCAAATAATTTATAATTTTAATGGTCATAGGACACGTGTATGGTAACTATATGCATTATAACCAGATGGAAGGGTTTCCTTTTTAGGACATAGCTTATGTTAATCCAGGCATAATGGTAGAATTTAACTGTTAGAAATTATACAGATAATCACACATGCCTCATTTCACTCGTATATTCATGTACGTATTAGAAAATATATTGTTTTGTAAAAATAAGGGTAATTCTGCTCTGAACACTGGCTACCTTAGTTTACTCCCTACCAAGGTTGTATACATATGCCCCTTCAGGTATGAATGATATGTAATACGATGGATACAGTATATTGTTTCTACCATATAGTTTCCTTTCACTTAATTTTTTTTTTTTATTCCTATCACATTTTCCTCTACCATTCCCTGCAGTTTTTGCATTCACTCTGTTTTTCTCTTTTTAACTTTCTTTCTATCAGAACTAGTGTGTGTGGTCAGCATGCTCGCCTTACAAGTGAGCGGACCCCTGTCGATCCCAGGGCAAGGTGAAACGATGGGCAAGTTTCTTTATGCTATTTGCCTCTTGTCTACTCAGCAGTAATTGGGAACCTGGATGTCAATCGATTTCCGGATCGTGTTCCAGGGTAATGGCTAGCCAGTGCAGTTGGCGAGTTGTCTGGTCTTCTCGGACTATTCCTTGACACTGGGTCATGCAACTCATTAACTTAGGGTGTGGTTCTTGTATTGGCAACAGCTTCTACACTATAAACAAATTCTCGCCTAGGTGGCCTTAGTGCCTTGCCGAATTATACCAGATTTCAACTTATCGAAGCACTCCCCCTCCCAAAATACAACAATAAAAAATTATCGGTCTATACAGTATACATATACAGAGAACCCTCGCTTTACGCGGTTTCACTTTACGCGTTTCTACATTTACGCGGTACCCTGCCAGAACCGGAATTCCCACTTTACGCGGTGCATCTACTCATTATACGCGGGTGAAGTATAATTTTTTTATTTAGCTCATAAAATTCATACAAATTATCCGGCCAGAATATAATTTACATTGCTGGAATTCTTACAATTTGATGATCATTTTGAATATAAGCATCATAGATTTTGCATTAGACATACAAATTTTAGATCTAATGCAAGTATTTTGTTTACTCAGAGCAAATATGTTATCTTTTGTGTAAAATATATGAAGCGTATATTCAAAACATTCCAGGTCTTGCAAGGAATCCAACAATGTCAATTATATTATCCTAACTTTAGTCTGAGGTATTATTTATTACTAAAAAGGTAAATATTCTGGTTTCTCCCACACATTTCTCTGGTAGGGAGGGTTGGTGGGGTGGGGGGGGGAGGGAGGGACCGACCATCTGGCGTGGTTGGAAGAGGGGGGGGGAGGCAAGGTGGGGTACTTTGAGTGACAGATAGTGTAGTGAAGAATATATATATTTTTTTATTAACTGAAGATATTTGTTTTAGCTCATAAAATTCATACAAATTACCGGGCCAGAATATAATTTACATTGCTGGAATTCTTACAATTTGATGATCATTTTGAATATAAACATCATAGATTTTGCATTAGACATACAAATTTTAGATCTACTCTAAGTATTTTGTTTACTCTGAGTAAATATGTTATCTTTTGTGCAAAATATGACATTTATATTCAAAATATTCCTGGTCTTACAAGGAATCCAGCAATGTCAATTATATTATCCTAACTTTAGTTTGAAGTATTATTTATTACTATACCTTAAAATCTAGTGGTTTTTCCCCCAAACATTTCTCAGAGAGGGAAGAGCCAGGAGTGTGAGAAAAGGGGGAGGGAGTTGAGTCCATTATTTGAATGGACATTAACTTGGTGACTATTTCTCTATTTATTTTAAGTATTAATTGTGTGCATGTACCACCATAAAATTAAGATGTTATTTTTACTAGAACATAGGTATTGTGTCGGAAAAAGTGGAGTTTGGGGGTCGGGCCAGTCTCTATTGGAATTAATCCCATATGTTATGTTGTTCACTTTACGCGGGCCTCCGTGGGTTCAATTGACCGCGTAAAGTGAGGGTTCACTGTACATGTAATTTTTAATTTTCAAAAAGTAACATACCAGCACTGCAGACAAAGAATGAAGCATTGTAGTAGGCTAGAGGCATGGTAGGTAACACAAGGGTATGGTAGGTGATGGAGGGGAAACACTACATAAACAACAAGCAGTTCGGCACTTATGTATACTACTGTAATTTGATCACATACAAAATAAAGAATAATTTTTGACAAATTATTGTTTTCTCTACATATAATTCAAGTCCAAGTATGTAAATAAATACATAATTTATATCACTAAGGATATTTTAGTCCACCCTAGTAAAACTGTTTTCTTTATTACAGAGCAAAAGTGTAAAAATTAAAATACTCTAATGAGGCTTACAAGGTATAATAAACTATAAAATAAGAAAAATGAAGAGCGGACATAAGTGGCCTTAGAGCGCTCACGCATGCATCACATGTTCTAAAACAAAATAGATTGTGCTGCCAGGCGTATGATGATACAGGCATTTCTTATATCTATCAAAACATATTATGGATATATAGTTACTGTACTATGTTACTGGTTTATGTTCTTAACCTCTGTGTTTCATTAGTTGTGTATGTTATCTAGTGAATTTAGTCAATATTGTACAGTACAAGTACACTGCAATATTCCACATACAAGTAAGTATAAATACAAAGTTCACAATGTGATGTTTGGACATCGTCCAATTCGGTTAACGTCACGTTTCCAAGAACGTATCTAGGACGTTAAGCGATGCATGACTGTATTAGGAAATAATGATCTGGCAGGTAATTAAAGTAAACTTTATTGAGCATACAATTTTTCATTAAATATGGAGGCATAAATTACAGTACCGTCTTATGGGGAAATAAGTGGATAAATAAATCAAAATTTAGAAACTACTGTATATTATCTTCATTCCTTTCTAGCTTTATAAGCAAGCAAATAGATTTATATACCACTTCAGTATGAGGCTAATTCTCTATGGAACCTTCATGAATAATTGCACGAGCTAGGTTATTTGAAAGTGCCAATCTTATGTCTCTCTCTTTTTCTATAAATGCCGAGCTTGCTACTTCATTTTCCAGAGGGCCCTGCTTGCCTCTGAAAGAAAAAAAAAGTTGTCTTAGCACTCTCATGGTCTTGGACGCTACGGCAACATCCCCAAATTTTCACTATGTTCACAGTCTTGGACTCACTGGTTGTATTCTCAAGATAAAAATAATCATACAAAAAACTATCCACCATGGATACAGTACAGGTTGTAGCAGGAAGATCCATGGTAAATGTATCATACCTCTGGCACCCTCTATGTCTCTGCCCACAGGATAAGTTTGTCAAAAATTAGTCTGGTCTACAACCATGAGTGAGGAGGGTTGCTATCTCACATGGACATTTAAATCCCATCACACACCATCCGCTGGATTACGTGTGTGTGTGTCTGTGAGAGTGACAATTGCCGACTGTGTATATGGTGGACAACTGTTGGAATATTTTCCACAGTGTAGTGATTATTGTGATTACAATTTTAGACGTGAATCTTTGAAATTGAGAATTGCAAACCCGTGAACGACAAGGGTCTACTGTACTGTATTATTATTATTTTTTTTTTTTAATTATTTATAATTTTTATACATTTAGTACATTCACCAGAAGTTACAGACTTTTTCGGACAAGTGGTCCCCCCTTTTAGTCCAGGTCTTCGAGGCTTCACTGTATAGACATTATTGAAATACCATAAATGACAATGTGCAGTAGGAAAAATTGCTTTGGTGAAAAAGAAAAGAAAAATTTGCAGCCAGGCCAATACCCCCGGTTTAGGCCAAGACGTGAATGTTAAGATTCCGATCTTTTTCGTCCTTGTTCATTATTATTTTTGAGGTTATTTTACCTAATTTCTTATTATACTATGAACAACTAAATGTAGTAGTATCATAGTTTGGAAAGAGAGAAAAAAAAAGCATAATCTACAGTAACTATCATCATAATAAATTAAAATATTTAACACAATAAACTCATAAGCTAACAGTGAAAACAAGTTATGGTTAGAAAGAGGAAATAAAAAGACCAACACCTGTAACATGATGAGTGACATCATACTGGGCAAAGCAGTCAGCAGTTATATCCTGGGTGATCTGTGCCTGTTTATTAACCTTATAAAGTACTGCACAGATAAGAGTCTCATTCCATTCAGAGAATGTGACTTGGTACTCTTCCTTATCACAAATAATTTACACTTTTGTATGCCAACAGCATTTACACATATTAAAACAATAAGCCTCTCAAACAGCTTGGAACTCTACTGACCAGAACACTTTCAAGGATATTTTGTACGTTGTACAATCCTGATGCAAGTGTACCCCGAAAACTGACGTCCCATTGATCGGCGCTTCACATAACAGACGATTACATAAAGGGGAAATACTACGCGAGTTTCGTTGATATCCTGGAGATCCGACAGTCAGCAGAGCTGTTTTGAATTTAACGGGTGGTGGCGTGGTGCAAATTCTTGCCACCAGAGGCCTCTGCTCACTGCTCTGACTCATTCCTGCCATCTTTGCTCTTGTTTACACTTACTATGTGTTTCCGAGTTCATGCTTTTTTGTTACAGTATTTTATGTATCACCAGAACCACCAGCACTCGCACCACCCTTCTCGGCATGGAATCGGTCATACAGGACCCTGGCTTTGTCAAAGATAAACTTCTGGCCGAGAGGGATTCGCAGCTACCTTGGTATTATAAATATCCCTCTTTTTCTTCTTGACTCATTGATGTCATATTTACGGCCACACGAGGCAAAGGTTTAGCCACTCCTAAGTTTGTCCAGCAGTTGTATCTTCTCCACGAGGGTCATGACCTTTTCTCTCTTCGCCTGTTTGGGCAACTTCCCGCAGCCGGATGAAGATGGTTGAGGGCGTTTAGGAGCCATCACAAACACAAGGAGCACAGTTGTTAAGAGAGAAGAGTAGCACATGCAAGAGTGTTTATCCCGGACTGAGGCGGAGTGCATGCACAGCCCAGCCTCCTGGGACAACAGACACCTTACGGGAAGCCACAAAAGTCACACGCTCCCTGTCTCGACCACGAACATGCCGCCAACTTTAAAAGTACCCGCAGACATTCTTGGGTACATCCAGGGTGTCACACGAATAATCAAAGGCCGCAAATTAAAAAAACATGAATTTTAAGGGCATGTTGTAAGTCTCAATTTATGCTTTACATTGCTTATTTAAGGCTTATTATGCTTGCTTTTTATGTCTGCTTTTTTTTCCTGCTTGACAGTGTGCAGTACAGAGATTTATGAAGGGTAGATGGGAGTTTTTGGAGGGTGGCTGGTCCCTAATCCCCTGAACTTATGTTCTTATGGGATTAATTGCTTCGATAACCCGTTGATTCACTAATATAACCAACGACTTTTCCTGGTCCCTATATGTTTCGGTAATCAGGGTACGTATGTAACTAAAAATGTCACAAAGAAACATACATCCCAAAAAATACTGATTCTTCTGTTCCTGTACATACCTTTTACAAGTGTGATTGTGGAGATTGTGGAGGCAATACATGAGCTCATATGTTTGTTCTGCTGATATCACTGGTTCCTCACTTTTCAATAGAGGCAGAGCATCCAGAAGTAATACTGGCCAAAAGCTGAAAAAGGGATTAAATAAAAATGATGTTAATAAATATTTCATTTAATGAGTCTGCTATTTATTAATGTCTTATTTCTCTCCCACATTTGGTTTATATAGATCAAAGAGTATGAAAACATTTAAGAAAAGGGGGAACTACTAAGGAGCGTGGAAAGTGACAAAAAAGGGCTAAGGTAGCAAGTAGAAACAGTGTATCCATGCAGACTTTCTCATTTCATCAACTTGCATATGTAGTATACAATGAAATTTAACATGGACACATGCAAAATTCTTTTTATCAATTTACTGTGCATTGATATATGAACTGTCAGGTTTACATTCTCAATTATGAAGTACGTCCACTGTTCATTGTACAGAATCACTCTTCAAATGATTCCTGTACACCTCATTAACTCCCTTATTTCCATTAATTTCCTTTCTCATCAGAAAGTGGTATTCCACCTTTATCCAAAACTTAATATTTTTTTATTATAAGGAACTGAAAATTTTTTCAATTTCTGTTTATTGTAGAATATCAGTGAGTGCAAAACTTCTTCATTTACACTGTGTTTGATAGAGGCTAAACCAGTCCGGAGCTGCATACTGTATTTAATTCCTACGCCCCGGAGGACGTTCCGGAACATCCATCTAGGGTGCCCCTGTTGATGTTCCTAAACGCACGCCTTTTTGCAGCATTGTTTGAATGACCAGGGCGGGTTATCAAGTTCCAGTGTGACTATTTGCATGTCAAGCCACACGCTCGGCCAGAGGGAAGCTTCCTGAATATAAGTACTGTACCTGTACCTACTTTTTTTTTTTTTTTCATTTTATCATGTTGTATCAAAGTAATATTGCTAAAAGTAGAGTAATATTACTGGAAAATAATGTTATGATTATGTTTTAAAGTATTTATTTGTAGAATTATTATTTTTTCAATAATTATTTACATGCATTACTTGCTTTACCAAACACAAAGACAGCCAGACAGCCTGGTGACAGACTGTGTGTTGCTGAGCACTTTTTATGAAAAATAATGCAAATAAAATATTCTAAAAGAATTATTTATAGGAAATAAGTATTATGATCATTAAATATATGCATTACTGGCCATCCCGGACACAAAGGCAAGCGGAAAATGGCCGCTAAGTGCCTAGTGACTACGAGCCTCACCATCAAAACAACACTGTCCCCTTATCTCCCTCGCCACTGCTGCCCCAGGGAAGTTTCTAAAGGGTCAATATATAGTTTTTCTTACTTCTTTTTTATTGTTTTATCATTTAAAAAGGTTAAAAATTATTTTTGGAAAAGTTGATTTTCTTCAATTTATCCCACGTGGGGGATACGGCCAGCGGCACCCTAGCCCGGGGCGTAGGGGTTAAGAATATGATTGTGTGGGAATTACTAAATATATTATTAAAAGGAGGATGTTAGATTTCACTTTCACCAGAAAAGTGTTCAATGATCAACTCAACATCACCAAACCTTACTGCCATACTAACTGATAAAAATGATTTAACAATTAAACCGAACTATTTAAAATCCGATGCTGGGACATAGCAAAAAAACAAAAAATAATAAAAAAATAAAAACAATAAATAAATAAATAAATAAATAAAAAATAAAAATTCAGCTTAATCAATGAGTTTTAGAAGTCAAGTTAGTTTACTGTCAACTCATGCTACTGCTAAGTCATTTTTCTCACTAAATATGTGGCAGTAAAGTTCTGTGCTTTTCTCAATTGTTATATTTTTTATAAAATCTACTCTTTTAATTATATCAAAATATCATCTAAGTGATACTGTAGACTGCTTACCATTATCTGGTGACCTTTAAAAAAAATTGTGTACATGTGCTTGAAACAACACAGCAGTGAAAGTGTATCAGTACCTAATTTGGGTCACTTTTGTGTTAGAAGACCAATTTCATCAATAAATTTGTACAGGGTAGCGAGGGATGTGATTTTAAGGCTCAAAGGTTTCATAAATTTCAGTTGTGCAATGGTATCTGTTAAGATAACAGTTACGTCCAGACCACAAACAATCTGTGGCCCATGTACTTCTAAAACAGCATCCATAAAAATCCAAAATTTAGACATTGTTTGGCCTTAAGGATTTTTTATATTCTACTGTACCGAAACAAATATACCTGTACTCAAATACATGAAAACTCACTATTCAGGTGCCAGCTTGGATGAAATAAGTGACACAAGAAGTGTTGCTGCATCTTGGAAGTTACCATCTTGATACATCATATGGAATTCTCTGTATTTGCCTACAGGAAATATTAAGAATAAATTAATCATACACAAAAAATAACCAGTTAAATTTGACAATTTGGCTTTTAGTCCAAGTCTTTTCATACTGAGTGCAGGGTGTCCGGAATCAAAGGCAAACACATATATTTTCCTTTCACTCACTGTTTCACTCTTTCAGCTGTACTCTGTGTGTTCTGCTATGATATGTTCCTTCCACAACAAGGTCCCAAACATTATGTACATCAGGATTACCAGTCTCTTTCATACAAGCTAGTATCACCCATTAGCAGCACATCCTTCACCAAAAACTTAGGTACCATGCCCTCCACTCAACCACAAGTCTGTACAGTATGCAGTACAACTAATTTTTGGATGTCCTTCTAGTATGCCCTCTCCTTCCCACTGTCTATCTCCAAATTGGACATACAGTACTTTTTATTGATCTTTCACTTCCCATTCTCTCTAGGTTCATGCCAACTGAGCAAACCCTAATCAACTTCCAGTCAGACACCTCTATTATTTCTCTATCTCCACCATGTTCCTGTATTACTTAAATCTGTCATTTTTAATTTCCTCTTCTTGCATCCAGAATCCATGCTTCACACTGATATACTGTACTGTAATTATGTAAGCTCATTGATTTACTTGTACAGTTGGCTCCACTCCTGCATTTAACACTTATCATTGCCATTCCTCTCTCTCCTTGAGGTGTGAACTTGAACTCTTGAAGTGTGAATTCAAAGCATAAGCTAGTAAATGGGAGGAAGAGCGGAGGAGTGTGTTGAGGTAGGTGTCTTTTTGTGGGGGAGAGATAGGGTACTGGGAGTGAGGAGGGAAATTGTATATCAATCGAGAGAGATTACAATGCAGGATAATGCTTTAACAATAGCGATGGGGGTTTCCTCAGTTGAGTGTAATCATATAGTGCTAGCCAAATGTAAAAAATAAAGTTCTAATGGGATGAGAGGGAATGAATTCATGTTCTAAGTAAGGTGTTCCTTTGCAAAAGGGGTGCATTAAGAACAAATGGTTTATGGATATGTTTGAATCTATATCTTGTAGAAGCAGAAAAGTTTTGTTTATTCCCTTGACTACGAGATGGAATTTCCCCAACCGAATAAAATAATTTGTAGGTAACCAGAATAAAATAGATTAGAAGACATCAGACTGAAGGGATTAATTATCAAACCATACAATCAGGAAGTGGGCAACACATATTTATTGTAATACAAACTTGATGTGAATAAAAATAGTTCAGTTGGCAGCAGTCCTGTTTCGAATCAGCAAACCACATACCTGTAGTTCAGTTGTGCTAAACAATGAGGTAAAACGTGCAAATTGTGGTGCAAAGCAATATAGCTGTTGCTTAAAGGTCTGAAATAAGTTTCTTATATATTGCCAACTGCAGGAAACCCTAAACTCCCACTCTCCCTGCCTCCAACACCCAACTCCTACTCTGGGTTTAATCAAATCACTGCAGATACCATAATTCATAGAGTACAAAAATATTGTTCCCCTCATTTCGATGAAGTAATTATGATGATAATGCAAATACAAGTGATACTCAGTACTTCAAGCAACAGTCATGAACTTATGAAGTAAATCACATTATCTGGTCAATGTATCACAGAGGCAGACTCATGCCAGAATGGTATTTGAACTTTTGGGCCACAGGGTGGAGGGAGAGTAGATGTTTGGGCCATTGAACCAAAAATTTCTTGACTAAATTATAATCCCCTTAATACTCCTGGGAGCCTTTCAGTCAGGAACCTTCATTATGTTAGGTTATATGTTGTTATTTATATTACTTTGACCCATGGCCTAAACGTCCTAACCGCCCTGGCCCAAATGTCTGGGTCAAACGTCTTACATCCTGCCAGAAAATAGAGGTAGTTGAGAAGTAGTATAAGGTGCAACAATTAAAACACTCAGAATGTGTGAAAAATTACATTTATTCTAGCTTGCACCGAATAATGTGAAAGAGTAGCAAAAAACTAATAAATCTCACACCCTGGTTGCTTAAAATACTGCAAGTAATATCTCCATTAGCTGGAATTCCTCTTAACCGGAACTCTCCAATAGCAGGAATCGTAATTTTCTCGTAAAATCATTCTCAAAGCCGGAATTTCCCGGAAAATTCTAAATTTGGGGAAGATTTTCTGGAAAATTTTGAGAACACTTTCCAGGTACCCGAAAAATTCCGGGGATGGGGGATTTTTTTTTCCAGGTTTAAGAGATGAAAATCAGGCATTTTCCGGAAATTCCAAGAACATTTTTCGAGTACAGTAATCCCTCGAAGATCCGGACCCGGTAAATCCGGATTTCAGAAGATTAAAAAAATAAATAAATTGAGGGTTCTGGGCTAAGAAGCCTCCCTAAGAAGCATTCCCAAAACAGGGTGAAGGTAGTTTTAGGCTTGAAGTTTCTATCTTATAAAATGTCACAGACTAAACTAAGTAGAATATAACTTGCATTGTTGGAATCCTTGCACATAAGAGAATAATTTGAATATAGACATCATATATTTTGCACAAGAGATAAATATTTTAGTCCCTTAGTGTAATACATTTGAGTACAAAGTGAGTACAGTATAATATGTTGCTCAAAATTATGGCTTTTTCACAGGAAAAGGTGTGTTTAACTAACCCCAGTGGTCAGAATAATATATACTGTACTGTATTTTTGGTGTTTTTTATATCATCATTTATAGTTTTTATACATTTAGTACATTCACTGGAAGACTCGGAAAATCGTCTTTTTCCGACAACTGGTCCCCCCTTTTTGTCCGGATCTTCGAGGATTCACTGTACCCGTAAAATTCTGGGGGTGGGGGACTTTTTCCGGCTTTGAGAAATGAAATAATGCATCATTCTGGAAAATTCAGAGAAAATTCTGGTACCCGGAAAAATCAGGAGATGAGAGATTTCCTTTTAGGTTCGAGAGATGATGTAATGCTCAATTTCTGGAACTTCTGAGAAAAGTTTCCCGGTACCTAGAAATTCCAAGAAAAGTTTTCGAGTACCCAGAAAATTCCAAGGATGAGGGATTTTTTTTTTCCAGATTTGAGAAAGTCGTCTCATTACCCATAATTCTCTCATTTCCGGAAGTGCTCTGTACCAATTGTTCCAGTTTACGAAGATATTACTATTTGTATTCTCACCATAATTACCTCGTGGAAATGAGAGAACACAACCTTACTTTACCCAGTAAATTGTTTGCAATGATTGACTATCAGAGTAGGAGTTGGGTGGTGGAGGCGGGGATTGAGATGGAGGGGGAGGGGAGTGGGTAGTTGAGGATTCCACAAGCAACTCTGTCCAGGCCTGCCGTCACATCCAGTGCACGGCATGGAAACTGTATTTTTTAATACCTTTAGGTACCAGTAATATTGCTTTGCATCATACTGTAAATTGCACATTTGATAATAATAATAATACATTACAGTAAAACCCAGTTAATTTGTACTAGTTGGGGAAAATCCAGTTCAGATTAAGGAATAATCTGAGTTTCCGGAGGGGGATTACTAATCCAGAGTAAATCTAGATTAACTGAGAAATTCCGGATGGAAAATCAGCCATCTGCTGCACACAATTCCACTCAGCAGCTGCTTTTTTTACAAGCCAGTTGCAATTCTACAGCCCTTGTGTGTAAATTACTTATCTCTTGCAGACCACTTTGTTTAATAATTTCCATGGCTTCCAGAGGCAAGACAATGTCAAAATACAAATATTGTACAGTATTGACGAAAAATCTGGATTACCATCTGGCTGCTTATGAAAGCCATCCAATGGATTTGTTTGCAAGCCAGTTGCACTTCTACAGACAATGTGTGTGCGTTAGTTTTTTTTTTTTACGGGAATTAGCCCACCCGGGTACAGGTCAAACGACCCACAACGGAGCCTGGGGGCGAGAAAAAATAAGAACGGAAAGAAATTGTAAATATAAACAAAAAAGGTTATACTGTATTAATCTACACCACGAAGATGCTGGACAACCAGCTTTTTAAAGTGAGACAGATTGTAAGAGCAAGGAAACACAGAAGAAGGCAAAGCATTCCACAGTTTGGCTGTGTGAGGAAAGAAGGAGGTACTATAACGGGTTATTCTCGTGTGGCCGACATCCCATGGACTATTTGTGACCTTGTTTAATAATTATCATGGCTTCCCAAGATTAGACAAAGTCAAAAGCAAGCCAAAAGAAGGTTAGGAAGGAGTTTAGCTTGAAGGATAATTTAGAAGTATATGAGTCAGATAGGCCTTCTTTTATGCCTACACCAATCCTCACCCCTGATCCTCCATTGGTGCTGCTGGAGGGGGAAGACAGTGACACTTCAGTGCTGTGTAAATAGTGTAATGTAGACGGTAGACTACAATAAGCAAATTAGAAATAAACTTCCATCCTCCATTCTACCTCCACTACCACCTCTACCACCATCAACAGCATCACCAACTTTGTGGTATGTATAAGAATTATATATATTATACTGCAGGTTAATGATTCAAGAGATTCAAAAGTGTTTATTTATTTTGGCCACCATGTGGAAGATCTGGACTACTTCATGTTAATCCAGACTAAATCCGAATTAACAGAAATTAGTCCGGAGCAGTTTGCCAATCCGGATAAAGCATAAATTCAGATTAAGAGTCAAGATTAACTGGGTTTTACTGTAATAATAATACTAATACAAGTAGTAATAATGTGTTCTCTTTAACCTCAGTGTTTGGCACAACTAAACTACAGGGGTCCCCGATTTACGAATGCCAGCCAATACAAACGGGTTTAAACTTGAAATTTACAATATTTTATTTACCTGATGACTTATTTTTTACTTTCATTTACTGCATTTTGTCATACTTCTTTTGTCTTAAATTAAGTGATTTTAGATGGACGTATTTAAGGACTTAGGCTATGATATAGTGGGATTTTAAACATTGTTATGTAAGTACGGTATGCACACGGCATGTGTTCTGACTTACGTACAAATCCGACTTAAGAGCATCCTCAGGAACGGAACCCAATCGTGGTTTGCTGATTCTATACCGGAGAGTTACCAACTGAACTCTTTTTATTCACATAAAAATTTGTATTACAATAAATATGTGGTGCCTACTTCCCGATTGTTTTGATTGGTAATAATTAATCCTTTCACTACGATGTCTTCTTTTCTATTTTATTCTGCCTACTGCTAGACAGTTTATTCAGCTAGTGAAGTTCCATCTCACAGTCAAGGGATTAAACATAACTTGCTGCTTCTACAAGATGTAGATTCAAAAGTGGAACACCTTACTTAGAATATGAATTCATCCCCCGTTATCCTACTGTAACTACAGTATTTTCATCTGGCTAGTGCAGGATGATTACACTCAGCTGAGGAAACCCCCATTGTCAAAGAGTTATTCTACATTGTAATCTCTCCCAACTGATATACACTTTCCCTCATCACCTAGTACTCCGCCTCACCCCAACAAAAGACACCTACCCCGACACACTTCAGAGTTTGGGGTTCATACCTCAGGGAAAGAGAGAATTGGCAATGCTAAGTGGTAAACTCAGGAGTATGCCTATCTTTGCTTCCTTTGATACTACAGGCATCCCCCATGTTACTGAATCCCTGGTTATGGAATTTTGTAATTATGATCCAAATTTCAGGCTAAGGAAAAAACCATGCCCTTACAGATTTTTGTTTTCAATGAAAAAAATAAAAGAATCGATTTTTAGCCCACATTGTAAAAATTATTTTGTGTGGATTCTCTGTGGTAGCCACAAGGCAGTTGGAAGGGGACTCGCCTCCCCATTTGCCAGGAACCACCACAACAATGGCACTGCTCAATTAGAATTCTTTCCCCAGCTTGTGTTCAGTTATGAGTCTGTGTTCAGGACTGTATTCGCCCTTATGGAATTAAGGTTAATTTATTAAGATTTTCCAAAGAAAAAATTCCCAACAGAACAAAAAATTTCACTGAAATTATAAAATTTATTTAGTGCAGATTCTGGTGGTAGCTACAAGATGGCTGCCACGCGTCTCACCTCACCAACTGGTAGCAGCCACAACAACAATGGTGCTGATCAGTTTGAAATCTTTCCCCAGTCTGTGTTCAGTTATGTGTCTGTGTTACTGTGTACCCTTGTTCAAGAAGAATGGAAAAAGAACATGAGGTTCAAGTGAAAGCAGTGATGAGAAATGACCCCAAAAAGGAATTGCATTCAACAATAAATACGATGTTTTAAAGAGGTAACTCCCAGTAACTCCAATCGCACCACCTAACCTCACCACCTGCAGCACTCAACATTGTTTCTGAAAAGTAAAATTGAAGTGTTTTGTTCATGTACTATCATGTTACATCATGAATGATTCACTGTATGTGGTTAAAACTGTCTAATTTCATACATATATGTACTTGTGTCATATTTTTGGGCCTCAAAAAATTTCTGTAGGGACACATCTCAACTTTTATAGTGGAAGTCATTGCAATAAATGGTTTTGCGTTTAGGAAAGATTCTCAAGAACGGAACACTTCGGTAACCCGGGGTCTCTCTCTCTCTCTCTTCCATAAATTCTCATTATACTGTACTGTTTTTTAGCTCTGCTATTCTGTGTTTAATCACTCAACATTCCACATGCTAATATATCCACTCCCAAATATTTAAAACACTCCACTTTTTCCAATAAGTCTTTATTCAAGTTAACATATTTTCATCAATTTCATTCATTTAAATCCACTCTCACCTTTTTTCTAGTACATACTTGTCCATTCTCTCCTAATATTTGTAATTCTCTCCCCAAAAAATGAGCTGACAGCAATAAAAAAATTTCCATTCACATATGTTCACAGCTGTTGGGTCTGACTTTAATCGCAGGAGATGGAAGGTAATTGAATTATTGAATTACAAATTTAAAATTATGGTATGTACTGCATGAGGCACTGTCATCTGATCATCAGAATTTTATCAACATAGTTTGTATTCAAATTTGGTAAGCCAGATGGCAAAGTGTAAAAAATAAAAGGAAAAATTTTAACCCCTTCTCACTGATTGCTGCAATTAAGATGATTTTATTCAGCTCAGGGAAATGTTTAAAGAGCGTGGACAGATAATAATCTTATGCACCTGTTCTAGATGAGGAATACAGTGTCATGTTAAGTGGCTCTATTTAAGAAAAATTGCAAAAAAAAAAAAAAAAAAAAAATGTGGTTCTGCTCAGGGGCACCAGAAATATGAAGCACTACAAATACAATATAAATATATTATCAATGCACATTTTACATACATGATTATTGTTAATACAAACCCAAGAAAGTGAGTGTGTCCGAGAGCAGCATTGCTGGGCCAAGGTGGTCCAACAGCTGGGAGGATTCAAACCTGCCTTCAGCTACATATTTATGTAATATCTGAAAGAAGAATACTAAATTTTCAAAGACTAATCTCTTCTTCAGCAAAATCCCAATCTATTCATCATCACTATTTTATGACCATTTGTCCCACACTTGTGTGGGCTAGTAGTGATTATACAATGGTGCCTCTTCATGCTAAACAGTCTCTTGCAGCCTCTCTCATCAGGTTCTTGAGGTCAATTCTCACAACTCCCCATGTCATTCTTGGCCTATCCTTAGCTCTCCTCCCATTCACATACAAACTCATGTATTTGTTGAACATTGGAAATCTATTTCATTGACACATTCCAGGGATATCCCTAATGCTGAGGTTTTCAAACCTTGTTAAGGGCATATGATTACCTGTACAAACAGCACACTTAAAGTCAGCAACATCCTGCAGTCTGCCATTTACACCACTTCACTTCTTATTGACCCACCTTCCACACTCACTACACATTACTGAATTATTGTACTGCCGACACCCTTCTTACAGACAACACATGGCCATTTTCTACTACTACAAGTCCTTCACCCACACCACTAACCACTGCCTACTGTACTACTCACATAGTGCCTTGTCAAATGCTTTTCTAAATCTACAATAAAAAGTTCTGTACAACTGTCAATTTTAATCTGGTAGCTTGATCTAGGGATTGTAAGGTATCTGTCGGCTTTTCCTAAAGAAAAATGCTTATAATACACGTGTTCCTGCTTTTATTAAAAACTTTAACTGAATGAACAAATGGAAAAGGCAAAAAATGCTCCATGTTACTGGTTGGTAATGGGGTATATTGAAATCAACACAAAAAATGCTTCATGCTACTGGTTGGTAATGGGGTACAGTCAGTTCTGTTACAATGTGATAGTTGTGTTCTTGTAAAACCTCGCATTGTAGAAATTCGCGCAATAGAAATAACAGGGCTTATGGAGAAAATAGGGTTAGGTGCAGATTACTCGAAATCGAAAAAAAATTAGTAGTTAGTCTAACACAAAGGATAGCAGTCTAAATTAATGTTACAATCATATGTAATAATGAAATCATACAGTAAATGTAACACTTTACCTTGAAAAAACATGAATATAACTTGATGGGGGGAGAAGGGTGATTTTGAGGCTGATAACATCAAGCTTCTCTTTAAGTGTTATAACCTTTCTTTTGTGATCACCACCAGGAATGCGATCACCAGAACGCTTCTTGGAGATATTCTTCTTTTTCATGTTCACAGTTAATACCACAAAATTGGAGAAATGGTAAGCAAAAATCACTGAAGACATTTCAAAACAACCCACATGTTTCAACTGATCGTGTGATGGAAACAGAGAGCACTGGTGTAAAATGCTGTTAGTCCGCACTGCGAAACATTATTTTTATTTATTTTTTTCATACAGTATTTATGGGAACAGCTAAATTTGCAAAAAAAAGTACGAAATTTATAGAGTCCCTATCAAATAACACTTCACAAACAAAACACATGAATCAATTGAACATGTGATGTCGAACGTGAACTGTAAACACTGCATAACCCCGCGCCAAGCGACAGTACACTTAAAACGTTTGAGTGGAATCGCCTTACAGCCAACACGCGTTCACGTTTTACAAATATCGCTCTTCTATTCATCAATCGCGTTATAGCCAATTCGCGTTGACAAAACACGCATTGTAGCAGAAATGACTGTACATTGAAATGTCAGCATTGAGTATAAAAATTAGTTAACACAACAGATAATACTGTACTTCTGGGGGCTCATTAAGAAATTACTATTTTATTTAAAGTTAGCAATAAGGGTAATGTTTGATTACCTCAGGGAGTGTGACCCTACCTTGCCAACTAAGTGGGCATTTGCAAGTACTGTACAGTATTACACATATTACATAGTTCCCACTCCACAAAAGTGGGTTGGCAACAGCAAGGGCACCTAGCCATAAAACTAGCCTGATGGCCACAGACACACCATGCCACAGGGTAATTGTGGGATATTACTGCAAAATGGTGATGAAGAAGCACTTGGGCTACTAGCAAGTCATTTCCAATCAGATACATTGGGCAACTCATAACTTTAGAGAGAGAATGAGTCCAGTATAGCTATTTGCAATTTATTTTAACAAATGTAATGCAGTAAACATAATATATCATACAGACCTGGTGAGCAAGATGGGAAGTGAAGGCAGCATCTCGTGACCGTACTCCCCACCAGATGGCAGAACCTAAACGGCCTTGAGATAATGCACGACGACCCATAATACGACACACACCGACAACTATATAAAAATGTAAAAATAATGATCAGTGTTGCAGTATCATTGGGTTAGTTAAGTTACATTTCACTAATTTTTATTTATTTTTTTAAGATGGTTTATACATGTTTCACCAAAAATTAAAACCATGAATAGAACATGGCAGTGAATATTTTAATTCTAAATAAAAAGCCAGTTGACTTAGAAAACTAGAAATACTTACCCGGTATTATCTACAGATCAGGGCCGTTAGGACAGTGCGTGTGTGTACAGTATGTGTGCATGCATCCGTGAGTGTGTACAGGCCCTTTTTGAAGTTGCCCTGATCTTAAATTGGCTGGAGGCAAGTCTTCATGCTTTAAAATCCACAGGAGGATCTTTCTGCCAAGTATAAAGTGACTGGAATTGATTTCAGGACACAGTATTGTCATGTTGGCTTTTTTGACAATCTCATGAGTCACAAATACTTTGCCTAATATCCAAGAAGCTGCCACAGTAGTGCAACACCTTAAACTTGTGAATTTGTGACCACGCCTTTTTTTCATATTTAGCTACAGGGTGCGTACCCAGAAATTTTAAGTAGAACCTGTTGACAAAGTTGGTGAATTAAGGAATCAAGCAAATCTGACTTTGCATTTGAAATGGTCAAAATTAAATTACCACACAGTATTGTTTTCAGTCTAACCAAATCTGTGAACACAATTTGCCTGAATGACTGTTTCTATTTCGATATTGGGGAGCAGTTGCCTCCCTGCCCATATGCCTATGCCCACTAACCTTACATGTCCATTGGTCCTTGGTGAGGAGTGGGTTCTAACCCCCTGAACCCTCCCCTTTTTAAGAGGAAAGGTACAGTAATTAAAAATTAAATGAAGCTAATCAATTAATTGTGGAACTTCTAATTGTTAGCCCATATTTCAAAATTTAAGTACAGTACACCCGGATAATTCGCGGTCCTCAATTATAATTAATGGTTTATTGAAAGAGCATGGCAACCAGAAGGCTGAAAATATACAGTTACATAATTGGGGAATGGGTCACTTGATTGACAAATAAAGTAAGTGATACAAATATGATATACTGTATAATAACTAAGTGGGGTACAGTACAGGGCATTTCAACGTAGTGACAGTGCAAAAAGGTAAAATTGGCTGGGAGTGAATTCATACACTGATTGATTACGAGTTGTTGATAATTCTTATAATGGTTGGGACCGGGCTGTTCTTATAGCATGTGTTTGTTTGTTTGAGTGTGTGTAAAAGAAATAATTGTCCTAAGGGCAAACACATAAAAGATAATATACATTTCTTTGTACACAAATAAAAATGTAACCCCCCCCCCGGTCATCACATGTTATTCGCGGATTTGGCGATTCGCGGCCATTTTCAGAACCTAACCCACAAATTTGAAGGGCCTACTGTACTTTACTTAATTAACTTAACAGTTAATCAGTAAAAAGTTTAGATAATTTAATCAACTCAACACTGATTTACTGTAAACTTTACATTATTTAGTAACTGATTTGTTGTTTCTAAGTAATAACAAATACTGTGAGTTCTATAGGGAATTTCCACTTCATAGCTATGCACCACTAAACTATCAAAATCACAAAATTACATCCCATTGATAAGTATTATAACTTTTGAATATCAAGCAAGACATGATTCTTGAGGATCAAAGATATAACAACAATGGCTGACTTGTATCTTGCAAGTTATATAAAATTGGTTGCAACTCACTTATGCTGTCAAAGTTTCTGTCACTGGCCATCTGTATGATCTTGTGTACACAAGAGTCATCAGTGAGGGGAAGCCTCTGCAGTACCATTTGGGACATGGCAATACCTGAGGCCCCACAATGGTCCAGGTACAAAATGCCAACTTGCCACAAGCTGGAGTGACTCACCAGAACACTTGCATAATCCAACAAAAGAGATTCACGCAGTTCTGGTAAGAACCTGGATTCAAATATGGAGAAAAAAAATAGAAATTACTGTAAATAAGATGATCATAAATCTTTTGTTTTTCAACTGGTTTCCAAATACAGTATGAATCATTTTTTTTAAGCTGCAGAGTAAAAACTTTATATAAAGAAGAGTTTTTTGTCATGAATTAAGTATTGTACATGATGAAATATTATAAGTACAGTAATAAAAGCATAAAATGAAACTTACTTTTGACCTGTTTTCTGTCCCATGGTATGACACAATAAGTCAGTGACGTGGGCAGTAAACCAAGTGTTGTCAAGGACCTGCTGACACTCTTTGATCACCTAAAACATATTTGAATATATATGTTAAGATAGGTCAGAGCATTTCAATTTGTGTAAAATAAGACAGTTCCAGTCCCCGTAAAACTGAAATCAAGAGTATAGTATAAAGCTATGACATGTATTGTACCAATATAAAAATCACAACAGGTAAACAACATTACCTGATGAGTATCAGCCTCCATAGCAGCAAGCAACACATTATCCAATGGTGTTGTTCTCTGTTCTCCACCTATGGATGTAATAGCATCCTGCGCAGCATTGTGCAAGCGGAAGAGCTTGACTGTTGGGCAGGTAAACAACAAAGTGGATACCATCAAATGATACCATGTGTCCATCAAGTCAATCAGGCTGTTAATAGTTTGCTGGTTTCCACAAAGTATCTGAAACAATGGAAAACATGGCTTTGGCAAATGAGTTTTATTTACAAAAGTAAGTTTTGACTGTCTAAATGAATCAACACAATGAACAATTTATGTTATGTAGCATTTCTTGAAGAAATAGAAGACCTAGCTCTTTCTTTACAAAATTTCAGCTGCACTATTTATACAGTACATAGGTTATAGCTCATTAGAGTGAGCAAAACATGGTCCAGATGAACTAGTACTCTATTACCAAGGAGAAAAAAGGTGTTTTCAAAATAAATTACCTCTTTACTGTGATCAATTATGTTAGAACCATCAAAACTTAAACCATAGCCGAGGGCACACAAGGTAACATTGTCTAGTTGTTTAGAGGAGAGATTCACTACACAGTTGTGATTGGCATCCTTAGTCCAATAACTATTTCTAATAAGGAGTGCCAATTTGTGGTCTATCTGAACTTGAAGATCAGAACACTCACATCTTACTTCAACGTCCCCCCCACTGCCATACATGTATGGTGTAATCAAGACCCACAAGCCTAATAACCCAGCAAGACCCATCATTAGTGCAGTTGTCAATCTCTTATAAATTATCTAAATGGTTAGTTTCTTTACTAAATCCCCTAGTTGGCAACATTTCTAACTCTAATATCAAGAATAATATGGATTTGGTTGATAAACTCAATAACTTACATATTAATTATGATTTTAAACTGGTCAGTTTTGATGTAACATCACTCTTTACAAAGATCCCAGTTGATGATTTACTAGAGTTCCTCATAGATTCCCTGGATAATATTTCATTGCCCGTCTCGAAAGACGACTTCATCGAACTCATCAAACTATGTATTAAGGATTGTAAATTTGAATTCAATGGAGATTATGCTAAAAAATTTGGTATGGCAATGAGTAATCCACTCTCTCCTGTATTAAGCAACCTATATATGGAATTCTTTGAAAAGAAACTATTAAGTAATATTTTACCACCTTCAACAGTCTGGTTTAGATATGTAGATGATGTATTATGTCTCTGGCCAAGTACGGTAATGAGGACCTAAAAGCTTTCCTGCCACAACTTAACAACTTAGCCCCCTCGATCAAATTCACTGTGGAATTAGAGCATGACTGTAAATTGCCATTTCTAGACTGTCTGATACACAGAATAGGTAACACCTTTAAGTTCAGTATTTATAGAAAACCTACTAATGTGTGTTCATACATTCATTACTATTCTGCCCATCATAATAGAGTCAAACAGTCAGTATTTTCAACAATGTTTTTACGTGCTTTGAGAATTTGCAGCCCGGAATTCATTGATGAGGAATATAAATATATCTATAATATTGGCTCAAACCTTAAATACCCTAGATCTTTCATAGACAAATGCCTGAACATTACTAAGAAATCTTTTTATAGAACTGATCCCAAGCCCACCCATGACCATAAGAATCTCTTTGTATTACCATTTCACAAAAATTTCTCTCAAATTCCTTTACATCTAAAAACCTGGAACGTCAATGTGGCATTTAAAAACTCATGCACTGTTAAACAAATGTTAATCAAGAACTCCACCCAACAACACAATTGGTTGCATTTATAAAGTTCCTTGCAAGGAATGTAATATGTTTTACTTAGGCCAGACAGGTAAAGATCTTGTAACTAGACTAAAACAACATAAATATAGTGTTAGGACAGGCCAGGAATCCAATGCTCTGTTTGTTCATCTGAGGGATAATAAGCATTGCATTGACTGGGATAATGCCTCCTCAATATTACCTTGTAATTCAATTGACAGTAGGAACATTATAGAATCTAGTCTCATTAAACATACCGAAGCAGTCAACATGAATTTGAGTAATGGCATGTACAAACTGGACAATTTTGTAATTAAGAAGATTTGTAACCAGGTGAGAAGGTTGGGTCACCTTACCCTCTGACCTGACTACCGACCGTTGCGGTGCTTTTTAAAGATTAGTAGGGTCATTACCTAATACCTGACCATTGTGGACCTGGTCTCACCCTCCTCTGTATATATACACCTTGTTTTGTACTTCTCCTTAGTCTGTACTCACCCCTGAAGATGTGAATTACACGAAAGCGCTTGGGAACTTCGTGTTTTCTTCTTTCCTTGTGGTTATCAGCTATATACCTGGATATACAGTGATATATATATATATATATATATATATATATATATATATATATATATATATATATATATATATATATATATATATATATATATATATATATATCTATATATATTTTTTTTTAAGAGCTTACCTTACAAACAGTTTGTAATTGGTGACACGTAGTAAAGTGTCCTTCTTGCAAGCGGCGCTCACACTCACTCTGCCAATGCTGCCAGCGAACTGTAAACTCTGCCACTGAAACTCCACCATACACCTGTACAACACAAATTATTAAGACATGTCTTAAAATTCAAAATTAAGATAGAAGTTGAAATTGTTTCATTACTATCAAAAGAGGTATTTTTATGTACAGTATGTGGTCAGGCAGTAACCCCAAGCATACTTAAGGGAGCTAAGGGTTTGATTGCCTTGTTCTGAATCCAACTTTGGGGCATAGCTTTTTAGTTATGCATTACACTTCAACACTGTACTGTATTCTCTCTATACAGTGTTATCTCCAATAGCCGGAACAATTGGTGCAGAGAACTTCCGGGAATGAGAGATTTCCGGGTAACGAGACGACTCTCTCAAAGTTGGAAAAAATCCCTCATCCCCGGAAATTTCCGGATAACAGAAAAATGTTTTCAGAAGTTTCAGAAATAGCCCATTATATCATCTCTCGAACCTGGAAAAAATCCCTCATCCTCAGAATTTTCCAGGTAACGAAAAAAAATTATCGGAATTTCCAGAAAATGCGCCTGATTTTTATCTCTCAAACCCGGAAAAAATCCCCTATCCCTGGAATTTTCTGAAAATTTCCAGGTACGGTACTGGAAAAATTTTCTCTGAATTTTTACGGAAAATGTACCCCACGGAAAATCGTTCCCAAAGCCGAAATTTTCCAGAAAATTACGGCTTTGGGAAAGATTTTCCGAGAAAATTTCAATTCCGGCTATCGGTGAGTTCCGGGTTTGAGGGATTCCGGCTAACGGAGATATTAGTTGTATTATGAAACGGTGTTTTGTAATTCTGGTAATTCTTGAAGAAAGGTCTAACCACGAATTAAAAATTTCATGCCAAGGTTTGCTTCAAGCAATGAATGTAAGCTTGATGGCATAAATGCATCCTTTCCTAGCTTTTCACAGGGTTTTTGGAAAGAAAAGGTTGTGCAGAGCATATCCATGCAAATTGTATGCAGTTTTACATAGTTTAGTAAACAGGTGAAAAATATTTCAGGCCCCACCTCAACCTAATGCTTTCACTCTTAACTTAAATTCAAGCATAAATTCCAGCTTTGGTCTGTGCAGGACATATGTGAATGCAAAGTATGTGAAATAGTACACAAGCAAATGTACGAATGAATGAGACCCCTTCATTCTGTAAACATATATGGGTACTGGAGATAAAACAGATGGGCATCATACATCTGAATCTTACTCTTAGGATCTCCCAATAAATCTTACAATGCACAGTGCTACAAGCTGACCTTACAAATTTGTGTCACAGAAAAACAGATTTCTTTAACACTTAATGTACTCAACTCTATTTAAATGATGTGGCTTAGAAAGAAAGAAAAAGTAATATAAAACTTTAAAATAAGAAAAATGAAGAGCATGGGTGTGTATATGTAGGAAGTGAATGTATGTAGAGGCAGTGGGTTACTGGGTTAAAACTAAGTGGCCGCGCTTCCTCCTGAAGTGACGTCATGGTATACACAGGGCCAGTGTGGCAGCCACACAACTCTGAGTCAGCTGGTTGATTAACTGAATTGTGCCGCATCACCCAGAGGATGGTTTGAATGTGGAAGGAGCTATTTTTTGTACAGTCCCGGTCAAAAGTCCTGTGCCGGGCAGTTTTGGCTAACCTGGTTATGTGGCAACGTCGGAGACACGCACGCATGAACACACATGATGGAACTACCAGGCCCATAATTTAAGCATCGCTCTGTGGTTTAAAGGGCGTGTATCATGCCTAGATTGCCGTGTTGCCAACAATGTCAGGAACAAACCAATGGATACCGTTAATAATTATTTCAACCTAAATTGAATGGTAAGAACCAATGTATTTGCAAGCACAGACGAAACGCCTCTCCACACACACCGCGCTACACCATCTGCTAGGCACCTTGATCATGTGAGCAATCCATTCTATGGTGTACCTATATGCACATTCTCTTTTAACTGCACCATATATCGATGATAAGAGTTGTCTTATGTGAGTCATGAGCACAGGTATAAAAATGCTATATAGATAATTAATTTCAAGTCATAGCAGAGAGGGTCCCTGATAGGAGATAGGGTTGGTGATGGTTCCAGACAGCAGGGTGGCAGGAGTAAGGTGCGCAAGTGAATTTTTCCTCTTGTTCCTACTTATCATCAGTGTCACATTTCATTGACAATCTTACTACCAACTTTAGTATAATCAGTTGCCACATTTGAGGTAGTAACTTTACATATTGCAGGGTACTATGATAATTTGAAAGAAAACAGAAAACACAAAGTGGACACACACACTACTACTACTTACAACTTTGCTGTCACTCTGAATCGAGTATGATCATCATCCAAATGATACAAGTTGTTCGGGATGTCACCTTCGTTGGTGACCTCTGAGGTGACTAGAGAGACTGATACAAGACCGGCAGGGTCGTCCACAGATGTTACACATGTGGAGGGTTACATCTAGTGTGGGAGGGGCGGCAGCAGCGTCTTTCCGGTGCCAACGCTTGTCTGCCTCGGTGTGCAGTCAGGCTAAATCGAAAGTATTGACACCTTGTGTGGTGCACCTCCATGCATTACGGTGTGGAGTAATCATCTCCCAGGTGAGGGGGTCGATTTTCAGTTGCCAGCCAGCGTTGGCAGTCTACTGTCATCCATGAGGGTAACATGGCCAGTCCAACATAGTTGTTCATGGGTAATGGTAGCCTTGATGCTCCTACAGTTGGTGTCAGCGAGAATATTGGCATTTGTTCTCTTGTCTTCCCAGCGAACTCAGAGGATGGAACGTAGACTATGGTGGTGAAAGTTTTCAAGTGCCTTGAGGTGCCTCTGTATGTGACCCATGTCTCGCTGCCATATAGCAAGGTGGGGAAGACCACTGCTCAATATACGTGCAACTTTGTAGATATCTTCAGCTCCCTTCAGCTGAAGACACAGGTGCGGAGTCTGCCAAGGCATGAGATGCACATCTGATCTCATGTTGAATCTCTTCATCAATGTCTGCACTGGTGGACAGGTGAGAGCCGAGATACTGAAAGTGGGTAACATTAGAGGGTAGTACCATTAAGCTGGATGGATGGTGGAGGTGTGGCTGAACCAGGGGCAGGCTGAGAGAGAATCTGAGTCTTTCGTACATTCACCTCAAGGCCGTAGTGTGCATAAGCATCTCGTAGGTGTTCAGGATCTCCTATAGGTCGAGTTCAGTGTGAACAACAAGGGTGATGTCGTCTGCATACTGAAGTTCAGTAATGGAAGCTGAGGACACCTTTGTTCCTGCCTGGAATCATCTTATGTTGAAGAGACCATTCATCCGGTAATGGATGTCCACCCCACTGGCTAAACTGGCACGAGTAAGGAAGGCAGCCAAGAAAATGGAAAAAGAGAGTTGGTGCCAGTACACATCCTTGTTTTACCCCCGTTTGGATGGGGAAGAACTCAGACTGGGTGCCACTGTGTAGGACATTGCTGTTCATGATATCATGAAGTTGCTTCACAATGGCAATGAATTTTGGTGGGCAGCCAAAGCAGCCATGTACAGGTCATGACACTGTTCTCTGCACTTTTCTTGTATCTGGCGGGCAGCAAAGATCATGTCAGTGGTACCACGTGATGATCTAATGACACATTGAGATTCTGGGAGAAAGTTTTCTGCCCCAGGAAGAAATCTGTTTAGGAGAACTCAGGAGACAATCTTGCCAGCTACGGACAGCAGCAAGATCCCGCCGTAGTTGCCACAGTCTGACCGGTCTCCCTTGTTCGTTCTTATAAATATTGACGATGGAGGCGTCTTTAAGAGCGTGAGGATTTTCTCCTTTTCCCATATATTCTCTAGGAGAGAGTGGAGACAGCTAGTAAGCAGAGGTCCTCCTGCTTTATACGCCACAGCTGGGATTCCATCAAGCCTTGAGGCATTTTTTTTTTTTTTCATCTGTGTGAATGGCAGTAGCTACCTCATCCAGGGATGGAGGATAGCTGAGATGGGTCAGCTCTGGATGCTGAGGGACCTGCTGGGTAGTCAGGACATCCACATTAGTGTTTCAGTTGAGCAGCGAATGGTGGTGCTCTTTCCAGGGCTGAAGGAGGCCTTCTTCATCTTAATTACTGTAGGGAGTTAACATCGGATGAGCGGAGGGGGGCTGCACCATGAGTGATTGGCCCATAAAATGTTTTAGTGGAATTGAAAAATTAGCGCATCTTGTGTTGATCTGCAAATTTTTGCATTTCATATGACTTAGTTTTAAACTAGTCGTTCTTTAGTTTGCGAAATTCGCGCTGAGCCACCACTTTCTTCTTGCGGAAGGTGTCAGCTTTGGTCCGAGACTGAGGGTTGTTCTGGCAGTCAGTTAAGGGAAGCGCCCGGCTTAGATTGATGAAAAAAAAAAATTTCACGAGCAAAGGTGTTGCCTATGGCCGTATGTGGAAGGAGTTTTATGGCAATATTTGTAATATTTATGCAATGACGTATGGTTTCCCCCCGCCCCCAGCCTTCCTACGTCCCCTTGGGTAGACATATGAATGATCGTGGTAAAATATTTTCCCCCAAAAATATGAAATAAATAGCACAAAAAAAACTTTAGAAATTAATTTCAGTCAACTCTCTTCCTCTCTGGCAAGGATAGGGAGGTAGAAACACACGTCATCAGTTGGTCCTGGACCTTGTCAAGTAGAGGTGTGAACTCTGCTGCACCGAACATCTTACCTCACTTGTATTGCTGTACCATGCTTCTCTCCTCGAATATCAGGATGGCATGTGATTCAAAACATAAAAGACAACTAAAGGAAGCACGTGCCAAGAGCATTGCTAAAACCAAGGGGATAAAAAAAGAAAATGTTCGCTAAAACTAACGACAGTAACAACCGTCTCAGGGGACACCTGAGGCAGCCCAGCCCCAGCCTTCCATCCACCCCCTCTACCTCACATAAAGAATATAACTGGAGTTTAGTTGGAGATGTAAAAAAACAAACAAGATATTACAAGTAAAATTGGCTCAGAATGAGCACTTACACAGGGGAGAAAGGGTGAGAAGCTTTATTGGCCTGTATCTCAAGATGAACTTTTTAACACTCAAATTGACAATTCTCTGCCAGTTTTTGACCGATTTCAATGAAACAAACACTCAGCACAGGAAGAACCTTTCTTCAACATAAGTACAGATTCCATTTTTTTTCAATCTTGTAAGATTTATTTTTGGTTGAATATTTAATCTTGATATTTTGAAAAAAAAATTCAACCAAACTTGAAATATAAAATACGTGTTATTGTATTTTATGATATGCTATGTATCAATTTTATTGTTTATAACAACAATAAATATGACAGCTCATCCTCATTGCGCGCAGTATTCAAACTTACGATTGTAGCTGATTTTGGAGGACTCTTTATTATTATTATTTAATTTTGGTGCTGGTTAGTTGAATCTGCCGGTTGCCCGGATACCAGAGCAAGGGCTCTGAACTTGCTGTAAACCAAATCACAAACCTTGTATCATTTAACCTGCATACATATACAGTACAGTACACTGTATGTGTGTGAACCAGTCATATGCAGGTCCAATTTTTCAAAGACCTGACAAATTATGATATGTTGCATGCACTTTAAGTGTATATGCATTATTTTGTAAGCATTTCTGTAAATTTTTTAATTTGTTAAAAGCTCAACTGGACTGAAAGCAGAGCTGGATTAAAGGGGGGCCCAGGGGGCACTTGCCCCAGGCCCCCCCTACTCAAAGGGACTCTCTGGTGTAGAACAAGAAAGAAAAGTTCATATTATTTCATTTGAACACTATGAGATAGCATTAACAGACAGGACCACAATCAAAAGTGCCCCGGGCCCACCAAGACCTTAATCTGCCCCTGACTGTAAATCATGTCCAGTATTCATATTATTTCATAATGTTAGCATTTATGGCATAAGGATCCACTACTGAATTACTTTGTAAAATATATCTATCTATTTTTTGAATTTTTCGGGTACTTAATCATATGCCCATTTTTTTAAGGAAGAGGGCAAATGCAAGTGTGGCAACAAGTTTTATTTCATTAATTGACATGTTCTTAAGGATAAGCCACTGAGAAACAAAAGTTAGCAGTTTTTAAAGTAGGTTACAAATGCTTACTAACTAGTACTCAGCAATCAAATTAGTATATTATTGGGTGCATTTGTCAATGTTGAAACAACCCTTTAGTGGGATAGTTAGGATCTTACCATCCTGACATCCTAAGAATCAGAAAATCAGCACCTGCTTGGTCACTGCATCACAGGAGAGAAAAAAAAGAGGAATGTCTGTATACCTGATAGACTGGCATCTTCCGCAGGAGTTCATCCATTGAGAGAAAAGGGTCAGTGTCAGCATTGGAGTGATTTGATAGCATCTGGCGAGCACCCTCCATACGTCCCTGAAGTACTGCTCCATACACCTGAAATGACAAATAATAACGCAGAAAATTTTTCCATCAAAGAATGACTTACAGTAGTAGAATGGAATGGGTTCCTTGAATGTTAGCACATACCTATCACATCTCTTCAATCTCCAAGCACAACAGAGCTGCAACAAGCAGAGATGCAACAAACTTGTTTATATGTACAGTATGTACAGAGGGGCCATTCACCGAGTTCTCTGTACTGTATATACTGTACACACCTATAATGTACTTAAAATGTATACTGCATATTATAATCATCATTTCAAAGTACTGTATTGCTCTCAATTGTTGTAGGCTGTGTCAAACATAGGTTGGATGCTCATATGAGCAATAGGGGTTGGGTGTAAACGGGACTGCCCAGTATGGGCCAATAGGCCCGCTGCAGTTTCCTCCATTCTTATGTTGTTCTTATGCTAATTATGGATGCAAAGGGAAATTCAACTACTGTATGTCAAAATGAAGTGCCCACACAGGGTCAGGTGCAGATACAGTGTGTGCAGATTGTAAAGGTTGTTCTGTGTATTTGAGACATGAATATAAGAGTCTGGAGAGGGTAAATAAAATAAAATATTTTTTTTAATTAAGTTAAGAATGAAGTACTGCACTGTACACATAAAATGTACCCAAAAATTTACTTACAGCCTCCCAGTATGCAGGATGCAGGTGTGGGTGATCAGATTCCATTGCTTCATTCTTCTTCTCAATACACTGCGTAAAGTGCACACGTATCCACATAACGAGCTGTCCCAATACCAGTCCACCTATTCAATTAAATGATATATGCTGATCATTAATCCTCCCTTGAAAAACTAAGCCATTTCATACAAAATTCTAAGCATTAGGATAATGAATGATATTTTACATAAAACAAAGTTTGGGGTAAATCTCAAGTTATGATTTTTTTTTTTTTTTTTTATTATCTTTAGAAATCTAAACTCATCAAGCTGTAATAAGGTTGTTGTTTTTATTGCATTAGTCCAATTCAACTTCCACCAGTTACTGTCTCTGTGTTGTGTCAGGGATGGGCAGGAAATTCTTAAGTGGTATGTAGTGTTTGGAGTCAAGTTGCAGTCCGGTAAGAGAGGATTTTGGGTGAGGATTCTGCAATAGTGATTTTGGGAGGGATGGTGGCTGCAACATAATATATAGAGACAATTTTGTTTCTGTAAACAGAGTGGATTCAGATAGACAGAGTTTTGTGCCAGAGACTTCCAAATGGGATGCTGTTGAATTTTACAGATGAGAGGGGTTCTTATTTAGTGATGGACATGTTTGAGTCTTTGTGCTCAAGAGAGTTAGGGTAACAGTAAGCTGCTGTTCCATTTGTATCGCTCTGGAGGAAGGAAGTTGAACATGTAGTTACAAGGGTGGTTCTTTTGTTGGGCTAATGCCACAAATTAGGTACAGTCAGCCAAAGATGCACCGACCCCACCCTGGATCTCGTGCTCGTAATTTTACCTGGCAATACTTGGTAAAGTAAGGCTGTATGTAAAGGTTATTGTGATTGGTGGATCTACTTTTGGCTGTATCACTGTCAGGATAAATATTAAACAATCCAAAGGTAGAATTATTATAATAATAAACTATTCATTGTTATTTAAGGTCATAAGAAGTTTCCAAATGTTCTTATATTTGCATAAATAATGAAGAAAATTTGATCTGAGAATCTTGTTTCAGTCCTCGTTCCTCGTTGTAGTTGAGTTGCCAATTCATTAATATAATTTCTTCATTATTTAAGCAAATATACAAACATTTGGAATCTTCTTATGACCTTAAATAACAATGAATAGTTTATTATTATAATAATTCTACCTTTGGATTGTTTAATATTTATCCTGACAGTGATACAGCCAAAAGTAGATCCACCAATCACAATAACCTTTACATACAGCCTTACTTTACCAAGTATTGCCAGGTAAAATTACGAGCACGAGATCAAGGGTGGGGTCGGTGCATCTTTGGCTGACTGTACCTCTCATGTCAGGGTATTCCGGTATGGGCAATATCTTTGGTTAATATTTGTGGAGCTTACCATAATTTTGAGTGTTCTTTTATTTTTACTTTTTGCTATTGAATTTGATGTAGCTGGGGCCCAGCTGCAACTGGGAATATTTATTAAGGTTTGAATAAACTGTTTATATTCTGTAATGAATGTTTCCTTTTGAGGACCAAAGTGGTTAGTGAGAACTTCGTGTGTGCTGAGTTTACACATGGGTTTTGTATTTGTATGGAGGGGGTGAAAGTAACCATTTGTGTGGCGGGTGTAAGTAACTTGTAGGTCCAGCATGATGCCAAAAATTTGTGGGTGCCTACTGGGGGTTGAAGAATGAAAAATACTTTTTCCATATGCAAACACTTTGGTTATGTAGTCAGGAAGGGGAAAATGTTTTAATAGCTAGTGGGCTGAAATACTTTTAAAAAAATGCTGAAGAAGTTGTCTGAGCCAGTTCTTGAGTTTGTGATGGCAGATACAGACACGATTTGACTTACTCTTACTCATTTTAATTGAGAAGTACGGTATACAGGAGGTCCCCGGGTTACAAATGTCCGACTTACGAACGTCCGCCGATACGAATGAGGTCCCATAAGGTCAATTATTTTAAGAATCTAACATAGGTACAACTGGTTCCTAATGTTAACGTACAAGAAATAGTTTGCGTGGCATGTCAGCGAGGTGGAATGGTGGGTGGGAAGTAATGCGTCTCCCAGCCTTGAGGGAGCATCAGTACGCCTTACCCTCACCTGAGTAATGTGTGTGATCAAGTGAAAACCATTGTTCTTTGCTTATTAACTCTCCTTTCGGCCCTCATCATGGCTCCCAAATGCAAACGTGATGCAAGTGATAGTAGTGCATCCAAGAAAAGGAAAGCAATTACAATGGAAGTGAATGTTGATGTAATTAAATGTTCTGGAAAAGGCAAAACACCCTCGGTCATCGATAAAGCATTGAGCTTCAGTTGGTCAACAATCAGAACAATTTTGAAAGAAAAACACAAAACGCTTGAACATGTAATGGGATCTAAATAAATGCACTCAACTGTGATAACAAAACAAAGTGGAAAGATTGTTAGTGATATGGGTAGAAGATCAAAATCATCGGCATTTGCCTCTAAGTCAAGCCTTGGTTCTGGAACGAGTGAGAAGCTTGTATGCTGGCTTGAAGGCTGAACATGGTGGCGAAAGTGATGGGGAAGATTTTGTTGCTAGTATGGGCTGGTTTAATCGGTTCAAAGTAAGGGCAAATTTACATAACATTAAAGTGCGAGGTGATTCTAGATGTATAAAAGGACTTAGGCTATGATATAGTGCACATAGGGTATGTTCCGACTTACATACATTTCTGACTTCAGAATGTCCTCAGGAAAGGAACTCGTTTGTAACCCGGGGACCTCCTGTATTGCATAACTACTAAAACAGATATATTTCCTAATGCACAAATTAATATTGTATCATGGTATAAATGTAACTCCTGTCATACAGAGAAAAATGTCTTAATACAGTACAATGATTGTCTCTATATTTTCTTCCTTCCACATACACATGGTGAGTCAAAGGTGCAAAGCTATGTCAATGGTGGACTTTTCATGTCACCAGTACATAATTTACAGGAGCCTTCAAATTTAAAAACTGGGGCACTCAAAACTCTGTTAAGGTCATGCAGTACAGTATTTCTAAAATCTATATGTGCCCATGTTCTCAAAATCATAAATTACTTTTACAATATAATTACAGTATGTATACTGTATTACATCTTACCAGTGACATCAGCACAATTCTTGGTTTAACATTTATGATACTATACAGTACGTTGAAAACCAACATGAACTCAACTGTCAAATCAGTGTCCCTAGAATATAGTGCCTTTAGTTTTTGCAGATACCCCACCCACTCATAATTTCAAACATTATACTACATGTCTTTACCATTCACCCATGCATGAAGCACATGCCCCTGTATGATATGGTCCAAATCAAAACATAGTGCCTCATGTCTTGCTCAGCTTTAACAGTTACAGTATGTCTTTTTCCCTCTCCCAATGCTACTACTTTGGACAATGTACACAAAATGAAGTAGCACCTGGCTTTATGTCAATGAAGAGAATCTCTATGAGGCTAAGAATGAGCTCCATCTTGTATAGTAATTGTCCACAAGCTTTTATTTCTTCCTGGTCTTCACACTCCTGGGACATATTTACATCTTCAACACAAGCCTGGATCATTGATCTGAAATTCAAATAAAACAAAAATCTTTTTATTTAAACAAATATTCCAGAATTTCTTGCAATTCTTAAAGTACTGTACACTTGTAAATAATATTTCAAATTCAAAACAGCAGAGTAATGAGTTTTCATTGAATACTAGCAGCATCGAGTAACTTATTTTCTATTCCCCGAGAGTAATGAATCTGAGTTAATTTTATTCAGTCTTCATTTATTTGAAAATCCATACATTAAGTGATCAAATAGATACCTCAAGCAAGGAGATTTGCTTGGGCATCAGTGAAAGCTCAGGATACAAATGAAAATTATTTTCTAGTGTACATCATTTTAACTCTGTACTCAGAAGGAGGGCAGCCAGTTTAAGAATTTCTATATGTCTGAACTTATTTTTTATCCAAATGGTGAAAAAGTGAGTAAAGTATAAGTTCCAGCTCATATTTTGATGATATTACCAGGAATTCTATTTACAGGACAGAAATAAGAAGGTTCTTCCAACCTGTATTCTCTGCATTTTTTAACTAATAGAGGTTTACACTCATCAGGTTCAGCTTCTTTTACAGCAGCTTGCAAGGAGAGATAGGTGCCCACAGACTCGTTGATCAATTTTCGTGCTTGTCGACTCCAAAGCCATGAGAAGGACTCCACCTGATACATCTTGACAGGACCCTCTGTTTTTGATTGAGTTTCTGTGGGAAAGTATTGTGTAAGAAAAAAGAAAAATGTACCATTTATACGTATATAAACATAGTACAGTCTCTCCTCGACTTACGAGGGGTTTCGTCCCGACGGCCAGGTCGTAAGTTGAAAAGGCAAAAATAATACATAGAAATTCTAAAATGGGTCTCTTTTTCTTCTCAGCACCACGAGAACTCTCACTATTACTCTTGCCAGCCATTTTAAAGTGAATTACAAACGAAAATTTTGTCAGTACACATCGCGATCACTAATGCCGGGACTCGAAAATTAGTAATGTGAAACATATTTTAAACGACCATGGCCGTCGTATGTCCGGGTTGTCGTAAGTCGAATATGTCGTAAGTTGAGGAGAGACTGTATGCCGTAAATTGCGGCGTATAAGTCGACCCAGCGTACCGGTATAAGTCAAACTCAAGATTTTTAGTTCAAAATTCAGGTTTAGTTCTATACTTGCCAGATAGGTAAGTTGACCCCCTAAGGCCCAAACATAGGCGAAAGTGTGTAATAAGGCCACGCCACTTACATCAATACACTTACCATAATACCTTTCAATATTTGATATACTGTACAGTCTCTCCTCGACTTACGACGGGGTTCCGTCCCGACAACCAGGTCGTAAGTCGAATTGGTCGTAAGACGAAAATATTATACGTATTATTAATGAATTGTACAATGAACCCTCACTTTACGCGGTTAATTCAACCAACGGCAGCCCGCGTAAAGTGAGAAACGCCTAAAGTGAACAACATAACATATGGGATTAATTGAAATAGAGACCAGGCCGACCCCCAAACTCCACTTTTTCCCGACACAATACATACGTTTTACTAAAAATAACCTCCTAACTTTATGATGGTACTCGCCCACACATAATATAGAAGGGAACAGTCAATAAGAGAAGAATAAACTGAAGGTTAGGTTAGAAAAAAAACAAGGCTGGGGTTAACACTTACGTTAGTAGAAGAGATGGGTCGGCGTAGGGGAATGGAGGCTGGTTCCGAGGCAGAGGGCAGGCTACTGGCCCTCAGGTGAGTCTTCATCGGTGTCATCCACACTTACTAGTGCCTCCCTGACAAATCCCTCAAAGTCATCATTACTGTCTCTACCTCTGTCACTATCACTGGCTTGGGCTGGCTGTGTAGGGTTGCGGGCGAAGAACTCTGTTATGCTTTGCTGACGGCTGGTGTTTATGTTGTCGTGATAAACCTTGAAGTAGGGCTCCATAGTCTGCAACAGCTGGGTAGTGAAGATTTCATACCTGTTTGCGTCAGGGTCGTCGAAAAGGAGGAGCTTGGCTTTCTCGATACACTCGATGGCACCCCTAACATTACTATGGGATAAGAGGCGTTCTTCTTGGGATGACGCACCACCTGCCTCTTCACTGACGTCATCATCATCTACCATCTCGTCGGTAGTCACATGAGGATCCCTTATCACCTCCAGGATGTCGTCGTTGGTGGTCTCGGAGAAGCCTGCAGCTGTAACACTCTGCGCAGCTTCTCTGGCAAGGTCCACTGCTACTGCAACAGTCTGAACCTCACCAGTCACAGATTTACTCTGCCTAACGCCCGGAATGCCTTGCAACACATGTCTCCATGCGTGACGAACAGTTGCTACAGACAGCTGATCCCATGCCTCCACCAAGAAGTCCACAGGTTTCTTGACGTTGAATGTTCTCCAGAATTGTTTTAAAAGTACTTCTTGCTCTGCCAACTGTTGATCCTCGTCGTCTTCGCTCTCGATATCGGTGTTGGTGTCACTCAGGTTACGCAACTCTTCCTTGGTGTTGGTGTAGTCGTTCAGGAGCTTGAATTTTTTAGTAGAGAATGCAGCTTTTACATTACAGATTAACTCTTGGTCCATGGGCTGTAATATAGACGTAGTGTTGGGAGGAAGGAAGACCACTTTTACGTTGGGGTGACGATCTAACAGTAGGGGCGAGTGTCCTGTTGCGTTGTCCAGCAGCAACAAAATCTTGAATGGCACATTCTGTTGCTCACAGAATTTCTTCACATCGGGAACGAAACAGTCATCAAACCAGGAGAGGGACAATGTAGAGAACATCCACGCCTTACGTGCGGTCAGCCAGTGGACATTTAGCTTGGTCATGTCCATGCTCTTGTAGGCGTGCGGCTTGCGTGCTGTGTGGATCACCGATAACTTGAGCTTACAGGCACCGGAGGCATTGGTGGTAAACAGGACGGTGATGCGCTCCTTCTGCAACTTCCGGCCCCGACACTTGCTGGCATTCTTCACAACGAAGGTCTTGGAAGGTAGTTTTTTCCAAAAAAGACCAGATTCGTCCATGTTAAACACCTGGTCGTCGGTGTACTGTCCTTCCTCCATAATCTCACGTAAAAACGGAGGAAATTCCCTAGCCGCAACACGGTCAGCACTAGCTTCTTCACCACCAATGTTGATATTGGTGATCTTGTTTCTCTTCTTAAACCTCTGTAACCACCCAGAGGAAGCATTAAAGGGTTTGGGCTCTGTAATTCCCATCTTTCGTGACACTGCAGCATACAGTTCACGTGCGTACTCCTTAACTGAGCGCCTGACGCACCAAGTAGCTCACAAGTAATTTTTCTGTCTTGAGAAGCATCTGGTTGTGGCAATACTTGATCATAGAAGCACCTGTAGACTTTGTGATGTTCATGTGCTCCTTTATCTTGGCTGCATCCTTCTTAATTGTCCTGATCGTAGACTCGTTAACACCATGCTGGTGAACGAGATCAACCTGTCTTGTTCCTTTCTCCAACTCTTGTATGATCTAATACTTAATTTCCTAGCTTAAGGACCGTCGTGTCTTCTTTGGCTTAGGGCGGCTGGGTCCAGGTAAGGAAAGGTTTCTTTCTGGGGGCGGTGGTCCGGCGGAAGCCATTTTACAGAACAATGGATTCACGTATACACGGTGTGGCCTGGAGGGATGAAACTGCCGCGGCTAGGTCAAGCGTCGTCTTTCCTCCCTCCCTCCCGCGGGTGGACACGTCATATTACTTTAAACCAATCACAGCTAGCAGCAGAGGGAGGTAAGGATGCATGGCCCAATTACAGCCCGATACGTCATATGACGTCACTGACAACGCAACAAAGACACACACTGCGCAACCTACTCGCACCACTTACACAACATGGCGGGAGGTTTGGATCCAAAAATGGCGCGGCTCGCCAGCCGCTCTCCGCATAAAGGGGTACACACACCGCGGAAAGTGAGCATTCCGGTTTCGGCAGGGTACCGCGTAAACGTGAAAACGCGTAAAGCGAGGGTTGACTGTATTGTTCATTTTGCATATATAAAGATTAATTCAATCAAATACATATTCAGTAATAAACAATAATGAATCTTTTGTACATATTCTTGAAAAGATAAATGACCATGGTATCCTTAAATGCGCATGTATTTTTTGGCGTTCCCAATCTATCTCTTTTTTTCTTAACCATTAGTGGTTAGCTACTTCTATCTTTCCATTTATTAACATTAAATAACGTTACTTAAAACATATATATTCATTTTTTTACATTAATTTTACTACAGCTACAACTAGGGTCTTATTTTCTTCATTTTCTCGTGTAGAACTATTGTCCCGGACTCCCGGCTGTAAACACAAACGAAAACACTGGTGTCCCATCTCCTCTTGTGTGGCCATATTATAATTCATTTATATTGTATAAGGGGCATTCAGAATCATTATTTAAAGAATATACAGCTACTCCCCGACTTAGGACGGGGTTAGAGACCGACATCCAGGTCGTAAGTCGAAATGGTCGTAAGTCGGAAATGCTTAAATAATACACCTGTACATAGAAAATCTAAAATGGGAGTCTCTTTTTCTTCTCAGCACCACAAAACACTCACTTTTAAGCTTGACAGCCATTTTTAAGTGAATTACAAATGAAAATTTTGTCTCTGTACCGACTTTGGGAATTGAAAATACGTAATTTGACCAAATTTTGGTACAACTGAGGCAGGTCGTAAGTGCGGGTGGAAGTAAGTCGAGTAGGTCGTAAGTCGGGGTGGAGCTGTAGTTTGCAATTTTCATTAATTGTATTGTTTTGGGGGGAAAAGAAGGTAAAAAGCCACACAAAAGATATGAAAAGGTCACACTTGGGAACACATCTCATTATTATTGCTTTATTTTTATGGTAATTAATGATTCGCGATACGACGATTCACCTTACACTGCAATATTGGAGGAAACATTAACGTCGTTATTCAAGGCTTTACTGTAATTCTAGGTTGACTTATCATTGGAGCACTCCTGTGTCTCTTTATTCTCCATATCCCCTCCTCTGCTCTCTTTTTTGTGAATTGTTTCACCTTTCCATTCCAGTGTAGGAAGTCTGCCCCTATCCAATTTGCTTGCTATACAGTACTGTATTGCTTCTGTACACCTTTATTAGTCTCTCCTGCATCCTTCTCACTTGTCTGTAACACCTCACTGAATCTTTTCATCCATTCTTCCACTTTACATTTTGCACTGTTTGCCTTCTCTGCCATTCCAACACCACATAACCATCTTTACTTCTTACATCTTCCATTCTGGTAATCCTAAATGCAACCCTAAGGTTACTCATAAAATTGTAGCTTGAATTGTAAAACATTTAACTTGATTTCAGACCCATTTCACTACCATGAATTATGATATTGGTAACATACAGTAAAATCTTTTAATAAGAGATATTCTTTTGTCTGGTATAATTTTTATTATATTTTGGTCGTAAATACGAATGAAATAAGGATGTAAACTGAATTGGGTCCTAAATTATCTAAGGTTTCAAATACAAAAAGTTGTTGGTCGAACCGTTGTTATTTGAGGCTTCCCTGTATACTATAGGTATATTATAATACAATGATCCCTCGGTTAACAAACTACCTTCCATAAGAATCTTCAATTCAGTTAGCGAACAAAAATTCGGTAAACGAAATTTTTACAAAATCATGTCAACATGTTTTCGCTTGCTCACCAGCTGGAATATTAGTCCGCCAATACAGTAATCGGTTCTTGGGCTTAAATTCGTTCCCATTTGAATAAATATCCAGAAGGTTGCACTATTCAATAATTTTCCAAGTTTTATATTAAATTTGTTAGTCTTTTAATACTTATTTAACATAATTGCAGTACAGGAAACTAGTTTTTGGTGCGCCAATCAGCCAATTGACTCACCCAGCAAGGTGTCAGTTTGTATCTCTGGTCAGTGGAGGTAACATCTTGCTTGTGGCTCTCTTGAACATTAACTATTTTTATGTTTTTACAGTACAATTATTAAGGATCGGTGGTAGATGCGGTACCGTTCTTGCCTCGCAAGCGAGATGTCCCGGGTTCGATTCCCGGGCCGGTGGAAGTTGTTTGGACTTACTTCCTAGCCCCCATTAGTCCCTGTTCACCTAGCAGTAAAGTAGGTACCTGGTGTAAGTCGAAAGTTGCGAATTCGTATTCAGGGACAAGTTGTTGGAGCTTCCAATAACTTGAGGACATAAACCACTGACTCTTCAGGCTTCTACGCCCTTGACTCTTCAGGCTTCTACGCCCTTAACTCATGAGACATAAAGGCAAGCATGAACTTAACATGCTTCCCTGTTGGGCGCTGTAAATGCTTCTGTGCCTCACCTTACACAATGATGTAGGGGAGTGCAAAAAAACAAAAAACAAAAACAAAAAAATACAATTATTGGTCATTCTGAAGTTTATTTTACATATTGACAATATATACGGTAGTGCAGTGCTGTGTTGATTTAAAGAAAATAATCTTGAATTACACCTAGTGAACTTAAAATTTTATGGGTGAAATGACAGCATGAAGCATGGGGTGATTTCTCTACCACCCCCACTTCCTTCTCTTCTCCCTTCTCCTCCACCCCCACTTCTAATTCCCATCATCGTCGTCATCATCATCATCATCATCATCATCATCAACAACCACCAGGAACCTTCTACATACACACCTCAAAGTAAGTGTACTTTACTGCATTTATTTTTACTTTGTATGTAATTTTCAGCGAGCTGGAACCAATTACCCAACATCCCATTGAAACAATGGTTTCAGTTAACAAAATTTTCGTAACGAATTGTGTTCGTTAACTGAGGGACCACTGTAGCCTAGTATAGTATACAGTACAGTACTCTCAATTTAATGGAATCCGATATAACGAACTCGATATAGAGGAAGGAAACTTTTCTGCTATTTTTCACTCGATTTAGTGTACTAGTTCACTAAATTGAGATCAATTCCGTTCATACGCGCACGAAAATCAGGCTGGGTACTGACAAACTTGACTCGTTTTGATTCTTCCGGTGTGAACAGGAATGAGACAATTTGACTCGAGTCAAATGACTCAACTTGACTCGTTTGGTGTATATAAATGCAGCCAAAGACAGGAGCTTCCTGGAGGAATGAGGCACTATAGGTAGGAAGAAGCATGAATGTTTTGTTTTGTCTTACCTTTCTCAGCCTCACTGTGAGCTTTATGTGGAAACACCATAAGGGTACTGATACCTCCAATCACACCATGCATGTCTTTGGCAATCACTGGATCTTTGATACTCTGTAAAGAAAAGAAAATAAACATATAAAATTGGGATGACAATAGTACTGTACACATACAGTAAATAAATGAAGTGAAGGTACTGTACTGTATACATTTTCCAGACTACCTAAGTTTCTTTACATTAACCTGCATCAGATTAACCAATAGCCATGCTCTATCTCCCTTTGTACAAATCAATATACTGTAGAGTTCTATGGTTAAACTTTTCCAAATTTTTACCACCTGCAATTTTTTTTCAGAAAATGAAAAAACTAACCCACGAGACCTCACCTAACCTAAAAGGTAAAGGAGACCGCTAACACCAGAAAGACCATGGAATTGCATCAAATTTTCAGGAGATGTTGTTTCGATGATACCTAGTAATAAAATCGAGGCGACAATATTTTAGTATTATATTCTTTTTCGTCCATCCTTTGATCATAAATTACCTGTTAGTGGGCAGGGCATGAAAGAAGAGGGGAATAATGGGGTAAAAACACTGCAAACACTATAATATGGTAATTTCATGTCTCTACATGCTTTGTAGGTGAAGAAATAAAACATTTGCCATACTCTAATTATGGCGCCGTTGGACCTCCCATAGTGATCATGTTTTAGTTCACATCGTCTGTTATACGGAAGCATCCATGGTATATATTTGTTTACATGTCCATAAACAAATAGCAATCTTATTGGGCACACGATTTATATTGGACTTAAATTATGTATTTATTCTAGAGATGTTGTTTGGCTGATAGTAAGAAAAAAAAAGAAAGAAAAAGACAATACTCAAGTTAAGAAGTTTAGTGACATTAGGTAAGGCTAGGTAAGGATCTAATACAGTAGGTTCTGTGTATTATTACTTCCGTTTTCGTGTTCAGTATCATTCAAATAGTATCTCCAGATATTTTGGTTAAATTCCATAAGTAATTTCTGGTGCTAACAGTCTCCTCAGTACCAGATTACCCAATAGGCACAGTAGGCACGTGCCTAGGGGCCCCGAAGGTCAATAGTTTTCAGTATGATGAACGCAGAGAGAATACCGGGGACTTGTTTTCTCATGAATAATAACAGATAGTTCACAATAAAAAATAAAATAATTATTTTAATTGTCTACCTATATTTATTTGCAGCTTAATGACCCCCCCCCCCCCTTAGTCTTCTGTGTTGCTAAACTACTTTGAGAGGATTGATACCAGAGTCAATTCCTCTATTCTCAAAGTTTTAGAATTTATTCCAAAACTCAAAATAATCGGCCATCACCAGTGCTGCCACTCTTGAAGTTTTCCACCTAGATCTGGGGGTTTTAATGCTTTCCTCTTATAAAGAACAAGAAAAGACCAACAATGCATCAAGATCGTTTGAATGCATTTCTGTGTATAGAAAATGAGTTTGTTAAAAATCTAGATTTTTCTTCACTGATCAGAGAAGGTTTGTTGCTTCAAAGGTGAGAAAGGTGAAAATGTGAGATACATAATATAAAAAATGTAAATGTTTCTAACAAACATGGGGTCTATTACGTTTCTATTACGTTTACTATTACTTTTACCTTAGCTACTGTCTATTACTATTACTCAGCTGTCTTTCAGTCTGTAATATGCTTGTGCATTTAAATGATCTTTACACATAATTGTTCTTTTCTTGTAAAATAAACAACCGGTATATGTAGTCAATAGCGAATCATTAGGTAAGTTTAAGACTAAAATAGATAGGTATTATTCTCTTATTAGGGACAAATAGAGGTGTATTATTTTTTTTCCACTTATCTATACAGTATTTGTATTTAGGATGGGCTTAGGTGTAGCTGTATTTTTTTTTTTTTACAGGAATTAGCCCACCCGGATACAGGTCGAACGACCCACAGAACTTTTTCAATAAACCGTTAATTATATTATTACAGTATTTATTTTATTATTACAACGGGGCCTAGGGAATAACAGACTGAACTAATGGGCCCCAGTGTCCTTTATTCAGTCTGTAATATTCTTATGTTCTTATCTATAACTATTATATTACTATTACTCAGTCATCTATTACTTTCAGAATTACTTTTGTTCATGAAAAATGTAGTGACTTCAAGAAATGTGCAATCGCAAAAAGCTTTGACTAAGACTAAAAAAATATAGCATTCATTTTATGGGTGTTTTGTTATTTTTTTCTTGGGGTAAACTACTGATTGGCAATAAAAATGTATTTATTGTGAGGAAATTTTGAAAACCTAACAATTTAAGAAGCTTATCTGTTATTGAAAAGTAATATACTTGATCTATTATTTTACTTCTACTTCTATAACCATTATAGCCCCAAAAATTTTTGATATATTACTACAAGTATTACAATTACAGTACTCCATAGACCCTGTAATAGTCTAGTGTATTACTATTTTGTACATATTACCTCATGTCTGGTTTCTGGTGTAAATAAATTCTGTACCCTGTAATTTTTCATATTTTTAAATGGAATTCTTAATTCTCTGTACTTTTGTGACATGATAATTCCACCATTTGTAATAAAATATTTGAAAATAAAAAATTGTAAATGTAAAAAAAAATTAATAATTAAGCCAAAATAGAACCTGGTTGATATTTCATTTATCTTCAAATCTGGAATTATTTTTTTTATAAAACAAAGTTTAAAGGAGCCCCTAGAGTCTTAGTGCCTAGGGGCTCCCGATGCTATTAATCCGGCTCTGGGTCTCCTCCACCTTTACCACCCAGAATACTGCAATAATTTCTATTCCTTTAAAATACAAAAGAATTCTTCTGTACAAAAGAACCAATCCCAATCTAAACATGGCACTGGTGGCAAAGTCATATTTTGCTGCCTTCTTCTTCCCATTTTGCATGTCAAAACCAATACCTCACAAAACTCAAATACAGTACTGTACTGTACTGTACTGTACTGTACTGTACTAGTTTCGGGGCATGTGCCTAAATTGTATACTGTACCAGTGTTTTGGGAATAATTACCGAGTAGGTGAGTACAATGACCAGATTAGGTTAGTTTTTTTAGTCTTGTTTTTATTTCCACATTTTCCTTCAGCTTCGAAACCCTACCTATCTTTAGTGGGACGAGGTAAGAAGGGTCATATTTAACAGTATGAGTATTGGTACAGTTTTGGCAATGAATATTTTGCCATGACTGGCTAAGTTCCTACTACTGTATAGTTATTTTACCGTGGGTGTGCTCTGATTGGCTAACCGTTCATTACCAGCAAACAACACAAGAACTGGATTTGACCGTGACTCTGGCGGAATTTGGCATTTACTGCATTACGCCGTGTAGCTATAAACATACCTATCCAGGAGTTGTTTGAATTTGTTAATTTTTTCCATATATATCCTTATCATTATAAAAGAGATAATATTTACTAGAATCTAATAAAACCTGACCTAGCCAACCAAAGAAAGCTACCTAACCTTACCTAACTTCCTAGCCGGAGGGGGTGGGGGGTGGGGGAAGCGGACCCCCGTCATATTAAACGGAAAGTACTTAGCCAATCAGAGTGCACTCACAGCAAAATAGCGTTAGTAGAAACTTAGCCGGTGACAGCAAAATATCCACTATGCAAAGTTTTAGTTTTGGTCATCTAGGGAATCTTAGGAATCAGCAGTTTAGACATTTCTAAGAAACTTTTCTTCTATGACGTTTTCCTCACAAATGACCTGACCTAACTGTGGGCCACCCCCTTCTCTCAGCATATGTAAGTAGTGTCCTAAAATTGTCTAAATTACGGATTCCTAAAGTCAAATTCAAAAGATTTCCCGGATGACCAAAACTAAAATAATACCTAGTTATTAGTGGAATAATTACCCACAATCCTCCTGCATATTTTGTATGTGTGTTGAGGTAAGAAAACCTCATCAAGTATTACCTTACCTTACTTTTAGTCATTAAATAGGTATTATTTTGGTATTATTATCGCTTCGGTCATCCAGGGAATCTTAGAAATTTAGGTTAGGTTAGATAATAGTTCCTGGGTTCTGTGCTAGGTTAGGTTAGGTTAAGTTACATTAGGTTAGGTTAGGTTGGTTAGGTTAGATGGTAATATTGAAGTATACAGCAACCACAGAATTCCGGAAATTCACTACACTCAATCGATAGAATTTTTTTCCTATGATCATTTTCTTATATTACACTTCCGTCGCAAATTGATAATAAGGAAGTTATTGAATTTAAAAAAAAAGAATAAAATCAGAGCACTGCTGCCCTTACGCTGTTGCTCAAGTTGTCTGTGTTCGTACGTTCGCTTACCTCCCGCGCATGTGCGGGAGGGAGGGTATTGAGTCGCGCACGCGTGGAGGGGGAGTGGGGGCAGCAGCCAATAAAAGAAAAAAAAGAAAAATGCAACATTTGATTCAACCAATTAGCGTTCAATATTCGGCGTGGGTGGTAGGATGCGGGACATTTTTAATCAGTTGCAACTTGACGCCATTATGAGCTGGGTGTGATTTTAATTATTGTAAGTTTATTGTATTATTTCATTAAAAAAATAAGGATACTTTAGAGAACAGAGGAACCCACGATGTATTCTGGTCCCTGACGAGGAGTAAGGTAAGAAATACTATAACAGCTATTTATATTCTCGTGTGGAGGCTGACCACGCGACTCTAGGGTTGTTACATAGCTCTTGGGGGTCTGTGGTGTCTCAGGGCAGAGCCCCCGGTTAGGGGGTTGGGTAAGTTTTAGTTTGGTTATATTGTGTAAGTTCGCAAGCACAGAGTACCGGGAATTCAGAACACGCAATCGATAGAACTATGATGGGGGGGGGTCTAATTCAAAATGAGTGATTCCAATAAAAACGAATGTCAGATTTGAACCAATCGCATCAAAAACCACCAGAAATTTTTTGGGGTGACATTATAGTCTTACACCGATCTTTCTTTCACTGTTAATAATATGTATTTCGTAATGTTTAGACAATTCTAAGACCCTTTTCTTCTATGATATTTCCGCCGGAAATTATGGATAACCGAGATATTAATTTTTCAATATTATTAGATATGCTCAGTCACAAGTATCGGCATTTGTCGTTTACGTCTCGCGGAGGTCTGATCCCCTCTCAGCAAGTGCTCCTTACCTCCGTCTTCGCTTCTTGAACATCAACAGCACATGTGCAGGAGGTTGTGTGGGAGTTTCTTTTTGGTTATAGCGATAGGAGACTTTATTTTTGGGCAAGAGTTTTTGTCTTAGCCAATGAACAATGCGTGGATGCGTCGGGAGCGGAGATTTGAATTTTCAGTACCAGATATGGCTGAAGAGGTGGAAGAGCTGTGCCGACATTGTGATAAAGATCATTTTATGTCAATTGCCGAATTTCATCAGAAAAATAGTGAGGCATTTTTTTTTTTATAAAACACAAGTGTATTACCAAACAACGTTCTTTGTACAAGATGTGGTGGCATGATCAAAGGTTAGGTTAGGTGGTTTTGTTGGTTGGTTGGTATTTTATTTGTGTGAATTACTCGAAAAAATCAAACTTTTTCCGTTAAGATTGTTGGGTGGGGGGGGATATCTCAAAGACTAGTGATTTCCAGCGAAAATTAATATAAAATTCGTTCGAAACTCATCAAATACCATAAGAACAACATATTTATATCAAAAGAAAGACCGGTGCCAGATGTAAACAAATCATGGTGACACTTGTGACTGAAGAAATCTAATAATATTGAAAATATATCTCAGTTATCTTTAATTTCCGGAGGAAATATAGAAGAAAAATGCCTTAGAATTGTCTAAACTCCAAACATTATGAAATACATGTTAATAAGAGAGAAAGACCAGTGTAAGACCATATTTTTTATCATATTGTTTGGTTGCTGTAATCTGCAATTTTACCAGGATACGTTAGGTTAGTTTGGATACCTAAATACAGGGTTGACCAAAACGGTTAGTTATGATATCTTTGGGATGCGGTCCGACTAATTACCCAAATGTACCCAAATATAGCCGGAATGAAGTCAAATAATGGTCCTAGATGAATAAATCGGACTGCCAATCACTTCTCGACTACTATTTGGTGTAAGAAAGTCACAAAAAATTGGAAAACTTACTTTATTCTGAGTTAATAGATCGCATGAATGTACCAACGGAGCGAGGAATTACCCAAATGTACCCAAATGTAGCCGCACTGAAGTCAAATGATGGTCGTACAAGCGTAATTCGGGCTGTGAATCACTTCTCGATTATTATTTGGTGTCATAAAGTAAAAAAAAATTGGTAAACTTAATTTAATCTGAGTTGTGTTGTGTTAGGTTAGGTTAGATTAGATTAGATTAGGTTAGGTACATGCACTTGATCTATTAACTCAGATTAAAGTAAGTTTTCCAATTTTTTTGTGACTTTCTGACACCAAATACTAGTCGAGAAGTGATTGGCAGTCCGATTTATTCATCTAGGACCATTATTTGACTTCATTCCGGCTATATTTGGCTACATTTGGGTATTAGTCGGACCCTTGGGATGCCCGAAACTAATATTTCACCGTTAAATAAACTAACTATCAGCTTATTTCATAAATATAGCTAATATAAACGCTATAGGAATATACAAGCAAAAGCGATTACTATAACAAAAATAGTTTCATCAGTTTACTACCAATTTTGGCCTGTGAAAAATATTCCCATTTTAACTCCATGAAATATACAGGAACTTTATAACTGTTATATTTACCACTACAATATCTTTATTTATGAAAACAAATATCTTAAATATAAAACAGAACTCAAATTGTGTAGTAATTACCCATCTCCCGCTGTTTTTCGAAACCATGTTCATGATGTGTTTGTTATTGAACCAGAACTACCTCTGCCATACTCAGCGGCACTACTGTCTGTACTCTAGTGTCTCTCATAACGCCCTTCATTGCTAGACACTGCCATTATTAGGTTGGCAATATATACACAATACAGAGCACCTACCTCAAGTAAGGCAGACTTAAGTATATCTGCAGTAAAATTGTTAAAGTCATGAAAAGAAATTAGTGATTTTTTTTTTACCTGAATCCAGACTAATAAGTAAGAGAGAATCATTCACCGCTTTAAATACAGTGAAAATTAACTAAGAATATTGTAGTGGCTCCATTTATAAGTCTCTAGTTGCGCAATGAATATCATTTGAATACCCCCGGTTATGAGTACCAAATTTATTACTTATTTGGTCTTATTTGGAGTATTATATTTTCCTGGTGATCTTGTCACCCTGGCTACAAATGCTGGACATGGTATTGTTTTTGGTCCTGTGTGTGCGTCCTAAATAACATGATAAGTTTGATAAACATATAGGTACACATGAGCAGAACGAACATAACGAAATATTTCTTCGCATAGAGATGTATGGAACGGTTTACCAAACTGTGGAATCGAGAACAGTATTGGGCTTCAAAGTAGCTCAAGAGTCTAGATTCTTGAGTCTAGACCAGTGGTTCTCAACCTTGTTGCCCCATGCACCCCTTTCACCATGTCTGAATGTCATTCCCCCTCCTTTCCAAGATTGTCTGCCTCAAAAAGTGCATTCCAAATAATATGCATAGAATACTGAAAATACTTTATTTTTTCCTTATTAGTACATATACATTTACAATTTTACATGGTTTATTTTTATAGTGGAGTTTTACAAATTAAATGCCAATTGAAAATGTTGATGGATTTATAAAACTTGAATAAAAGTAAAATAGTTTTTTATATTTATAATGAATTACTTAACAGACCAAACTGAAGCATAATGCAATAAACAAAAAGTTCAATAGAATACCAGGATATTGTAAATTTGTAATTAATTTTATTCAGATGAAGATTACAGTCAATGAGAAACCTGTGATTGTTTTTTCTTCGCCAATTCTGGGATACGCGGAGGAGTGCTTGAAAGGGCACAACGCAGGTCATTTTCTACCTCTAATCTACTACGTTGCTTCGTTTTAATTTGCAACAGAGTTGAAAAGCCTGACTCACAAAGATATGTCGACACAAACGGAAGCAATGCACGGATAGCTCTTTCTGCCACTTTTGGGTAGGAATCGCACATCAAGGGCCAAAATTCTGTGATTGATTTCTCATCGAACATATCTCTTGCTCCCGAATCAGTTTCCCCCCCCCCCTGAAAACCTGAATTCCCCCCCTGGGGGGAATTCACCCCTGGTTGAGAACCCCTGCTGTAGAGTGTCTAAACAAAATTATGAAGAACAATTGGGAGTTTCCTAAACAGGTCACTGTTCTCCTGCCTTCGGCATAACTACCTGTAGTGGGTGGCCATTAGGTAAATAAGGTAACAGACAGGTAAATGACAAACTGATAGAGCGAATCGGGCAAAAGTGAACCAAATGTTGCCATTGTAATGGAGTTTTCCGAGTTAATGAAAAGTATATGTTTTTTTGGATATTAAATATAACGATGAAGTGAAACAGTCTTAAGCGGCGACTACAAATTCACAATAACAGCTATAATGTGTGTTTGTAATACAAACACACATTATAGCTGTTACATACAAACTTTGTATGAGACACCACCCAAGCAGCTGGAGCCCATGACAAGTTTAAGAGGCGCGCGTTACCGCTGTACCCTTGTTTATCTCTTCCCAGTCGAGATATTACTTCTCGTATTTTTTTCAATTAATTTAAGTTTAACTTTCTTCGTATAAATGTTCCTACACCCGTCTCTCTCCCTCCCCAACAATATTTTAAAGAATATCACTAATAAAACAAAAGGATATTCTTCATATAAGTCTTGTGTTTTCCCTCAATGTCAATACAAATCCTCATAAACTTTAATTAGGTTTTGAAAAATAAAAGATCTATAATTTTACTTTTATAATAATATACTTATAATATTTAAATATATAAGTTTAAAATACATTATATACGTACATAAAATAAACGAACATTAAACAGTGTTAGGTTGCTCGTTTGTTCCCAGCTGTCCGTCCTTCCAGTACAGGCATTGAACGGGTGAGGTACGTTAGAACAGAGTCATTATTTTATCATGAATCATCTTGAGTATCTATCATTGTATGCGTTGAAATATAATTTCTTTAACTTTCTTCAATACTTAAGTTTACAAGTAGTTAGGTATAGTGATGATATCATTGAGTTAAACATTGGAAATTTGTTTTCAGGTGAACGCCGTAACTGGCAGAAGCATCCATCATGGTGAGTTTTGTTTACGTTATGGGAAGTAATTTGGAAGTTTTTACATTCATGATGACTTAAATACGCTATTTCGAAGAATAATGTGATAAAAACTTATACTCTGATGCATAATTTTAAACGTTTCTTTGAATGGTGGTGGTAAGAAATTTAAGACACTATTTCATTTCAGCCTAAGCAAATTATGGAGATCAAGGATTTCCTCCTGACAGCACGGAGGAAGGATGCCAAATGTAAGTACCTATGTGCTTTGCAATTATTACAGGGTTAAATTTAGGTATTATTTAACTTGTTACCACTACACGAATCTTGGGAAGTTTATAAGTTGTAATCATTAGTTTGAAAATTTTAAGACACTTCTTCAATCACATTTCTGGCCCAAATTACGTTTAAGCGAGATATATAACGTTATATATGAAAATTTACTTTTCACTTGTTGCCTTTAAACGAATTTCGTTAAATTTATCACTGTAATCGGTCATTTTGATAATTCTAAGTTTTCTAACACTTTTTACCTTGATTTTTATAGCAAATCTCGAGATTCTGAGATGGGGGGTTGCGCCTATCTCAAACTGTTGATTTGCACCATAAATAAAGGTCGAATTCGTTCATACATCAAAAACCGGGTCCGACTAATTACCCAAATGTAGCCGCAATGAAGTCAAATAATGGTCCTACATGAATAAATCGGACTACCAAATACATCTCGACTAGTATTTGGTGTCACAAAGTCACAAAAAATTGGAAAACTTAATTTAATCTGAGTTAATAGATCGCGTGCATGTACCGAGGGAGCAAGTAATTACCCAAATGTAGCCACAATGAAGTCAAATGATGGTCATACAAGCGTAAATCGGGCTATGAATCACTTCTTGATTAGTATTTGGTGTCATAAAGTCACAAAAAATTGGTACACTTAATTTAATCTGAGTTAATAGATTGAGTGCATGTACCAGTTAAGCTGTGAACAGTGGTTACTTGGCTCCCTTATCATCAGGATTTTGAGATGTGTGCAGTCCTGTAAGAAAGCTTATTAATCACCACTTTCACCAGTGTATACAAGTCCACATCCTTGTCTATTGAACCTCCACAGGGACATAACACATCCCTGTCTAACACCCACATTTATTTCCCATTTACTCTTACTGTTGCCCTGCTGTTCTCATAGAAAGCTTTTACTGCATTTAGTAGCCTTCCTCCCACCCCTTACACTTTTAATGCCTCCCACAATGTTATTGTCACCTTATCATATGCCTTTTCCAAATGTAGTAAAATTATTAAAACCATCTAAGTAATAAAAACAAAAACAAAATTATTAAAGCCAAGAAAAGGGGGATAGATTGGAAATATATATATATATATATATATATATATATATATATATATATATATATATATATATATATATATATATATATATATATATATATATATATATATATATATATATATATATATATATATATACTGTACATAGGTATTGAGGGTATACAAGCAAGGGTAAACAGTATGTCACCTCGACTAAGGATAGCCAACAAAGCCATCTTGAATTTATTTTCATTGGGTTCTATTATATGTATATAAATTTTTCAGCTGTCAAGATTAAGAAGAATCCGGATAATGTTAAATTCAAGGTTCGATGCTCCAGATACCTATACACACTGGTAATTCATGATCGAGAGAAGGCTGAGAAGCTGAAACAGTCCCTTCCTCCTGGTGAGTATAAGAAGTGCTATTGATGTACACTACTGTATATGATTACAATACTGGGCCCAGGTTCACTAACATGACCGTAACTTTGATCGTATCTCTCCCCTTATCTCGAGAAGCTATGGTGACGGTACGATCTTGGTAATAGGCGCTTCACTAAGGGTTGATAGAGGGGGTTGTGATATACTGTATTTGCTTTGTTATTTGCTAAACCAATCACCATGCCCAGAACAAATACTTAAAGAAATATTAGCCAATCACAAGTTACTCACTCCAGCTAATGAGGCATCAAGTGACACGAATGAGAAGAACAACGGAAGGACAAGTTTCAAAGAAGTGTTGGCTGAATTTCTCTTGAAATTTTCGTTAATAAATAATATACTACTACACCTTCACCACCATTGTATTACCTTAATATTAAATATCCTAATACAAAAATAGCTACCCTAACTGAGTTAGTTAAGCTGCATATCTATATGACATTCAGTGACTACAGTACTTGCACGAGTCAATATCTGCGACTGTTGTCGGTTTTGGGGCCGAAGACACACTACAACAGCTGGTTACCCGCGTTTGAGGAATTTCACCAAGTATTCATAGTTATGCATTATTGTGGTATCTTTACACTTCAGAAATGGAGATACAAGGCGGTTATTGTATGGCGTTTCAGATGCACTGAATAGATAATGCATTAGCTATTCTGTCTGCGCAGATCCTGCTGCTGACTTCTGCGCATGACACTTTCAGAGGGAAAAGCTAACACCTCGATCAGGCGTTAGCGTTTGCAGCAGGCAGAGGCGCCCGAATAGCTAACAACCAATCAGCGAGGTTCTCCCACTGAAAAACGCAGATCATAGCCGCTTATGGAGAATATTTTGAATAATATTGAAGTGTTGGGGGCATGTAAGGCAATAAAAAAAACTGATATAATAATAAAATAATTCTATATACACTTGTATATTGGATAGGAATTAAATCAAGCGTATGACGGTGAAAGGATTGCGCCTAGTTAAAACCAGTTTTGGCTCTGCCCATTTTTAAGTGGGCGCTGTTCGATTTCATTAGCCGTTGGTGACTTTGGTGTAACAATATTGATAATTACTCAAATATGATTAAGAATTCAATATCATTACTCATAAGATACTTTTAATAAGGGTAAAACATTTGATTAAAGTCCTGTAAGTGCAAAAGTTAAGACTTAAATGAACCTGAAATTTGTTGTATTGCATGTGTAAATATGCAAACACCTAGCCGCGAGAGAAGCGTACAGCAGGAGTTCAGCTGATAAGTTTCACATAAAATCCAGGAAATTTTTTCCAGTTTGCTGTCTTGTGATCAGCAGTAAGAAAATAATTTTTCCTTTAAGCAAGACCCGTGAGACGTGGAAGTAAATGTGTTAGTCATTTAAAAGTGAACTTTGACAGTGAAGCCCTTTAATACCACAAGAAATTCATACACATTTATTTTTTAACTGGGTTTCACTAAATATGTGCTAACTTAAGTGGACAGAATGTGTGTATTAGAGCATTATTCCTGGAAATCTATAATCTCTGGTATCAACATTGAAAAATGGAGTAATATTATTCATGGTGTTATTTAGGATATTCTTTGATATCTTTTGACTTTTACAGTACAGTACATTTATTATAGCAGTACAGTAAGTTCTCCTATAATGTGATGAATGTATTAGAGAACACATATTTTACAACACCGATGCGAATTGGATATGATGCGATTGAGTAAATGTACTGTAACTGTTGCGCAAGTTGGAATTAGCAGCTGTGTGCCTGCCTCATTGTAGTGTCACCCAAAGCAAGATGCTGGTGGATGCTTTTAGTTGCTGTTTTCTATCACTTGGCAATGTAGACTAATACTGTAATAAGCATTTTCCCCCCTTTTCATGCTTTTATTCTTATTGAATGATATCAAACTAAAACATAATAATTATAAAATAAAAAATAAACAATAATATAATAATGTAAAGAAAATTGTCAGTCATGTTGGTATTTTTTAATTAACTAACCCCTTAATTCCTATTCAATCTATGGTTATAATAATGTGATTTTTATCAGGAACAACAACTGTCACATTCCAGAACACTTTGTATTCCTACAAATACTATAGATCCAATTTATTCTGTAGAAATGTTTACTCAGCACCATGAACTAAAAATATTTTTCTTTTTCAGGTCTTCAGGTCAAGGAGTCTAAGTAACTTAAGTAAAATAAAGAAAAAAATTACTTGTGGTCTGATTACTCCCATGTAAGCTGAATTGAAAAGTACAGTATTCCAGAATTGGATAAAGATGTTCTGATCCTCCTACAAAAGGTGAGGGGAGTAAGAAATTTAGAGGAATAACACTTTAAGTAGGATAGGAGAGACATTAAGGGAAGTGGGAGGAAAAAATCTTAATATCAAGTACGTGTTTTAATGAATGTAGAGAAAGGATTTGGCGACACAATGCCAGATCTACTTTGAATATAATACGGGTGTTAAAATTTTGTTGCCTGTTAGCAGATGAAATATTTAACCCTGTGTGGCAAAAAAAAAAGGAAAGAAAAGTCCAGCTCATTCTCTTTTCTACCATTTAAAGTATCACTAAACTCTATCACACTATTATTTATTGCCATCAGCATCCACTTCACCATTTTAAGAGAGTAGAGCACTAATGTGCTCTTTACTCAAAGCTAGCTACCTTTTCCTTCATTATTATATGGGGAGAAAAGTTGGGGACATGGAAAATAGATTGGTGTGCACTTGCTTTTGTGTTTCAAAGGGTAACCGAGTAGCCTGCATGTTTCCTTCCCTCACACAAGTGCCTTCTTTGGGGAGAATTGTGACAACTTTACACTAAGTGTTGCCATTTTGTAAACTTTGTGGTGTGAACTGTACTGTGTATTGAAGGTGCTGGTTGCTCAAGTTCTCCTATTGTTAAGCCCCGTCCACACGATCGGGCACTCGCTTAATGCCCGTTGTTCGGGCAAAATTGACAGGCAAACCAACAGAGTGCCCGTGGTCGAGCGAAATCACCAGATAAGGCCGTCTGCCTGGTGGTTTGACCGTTTGCTGCCGGGTATGGATGGACGACCCTGCCAGACAAAGGAAGTTAACCTTGGAACCCCCGGCTGCCAGTTTTTCAGTCTTGCCACAAGTCACCACTGGAAAATGTCTGTTCCTCTGTCTGCCACAGACCAAGGAAACATTCATTGGTCTAGAGAAGAGACCATGGTGTTGATTGAACTCTATCGTCAGCACCCTTGTCTATGGAATGTCAAAGTGGACATGTACAGGGACAAACGTGCAGCGGCACCGAAACAGATTACAGAGGACATGAATAGAAGCGGGACTACAGTTACCACAAGTGATGTGAAGAGAAAAATTGAATCACTTCGAAATCAGCATAGACGGGAACTAAGAAAGATGCAAAAATTAAAAAAGTCTGGAGCTGGAACTGAGGACATTTATATTCCCACATTATGGTGCTTTGATGCACTGCATTTCCTCATTGATGGTGATACAATTTGACAATCTGTGTCAAACATGGATACTCACACTACAGAAGATATGTCTGAGGTACGTATGCAAGTGTTCTCTCTCTCTCTTTGGGATGACTGTTATCACATATCTGTACACTCACTCAACACAACTAGCCAGCCTTCTGGAGGGGGATAGGGAAGGAGAGAGGAGGTGCACCGGCCTCTCCCCCAGCGAGGATTTTAATGAGGTGGGAATCATAACGGTAACAGTTATTTAGTTTTGTTCGAGAATGAGTCATATGTGCATTGTTCATGTAAATACCTTTTGAGAGTATAAAGAAACATGTTTCTGAACAGATTAACGAAAATCTCTAAATAAAGTATAAAATATAAACGAGTGCACAGGTCTAGCCTTTGTCGGCAACTCCAGGCACTAAAATGTTTGTCGATAATTTGACCATTGTAGAATCTTCATTATAGTAAAGTTAATTATTTTTCATTTTGGAAAAAAAAATCACATTCACAATTGTCCTGAACAAATCCCATCCATAGAGCGTAAACTGTAAAGTATACATTTCGGAGTATAAATAAAAAAAATATCAACTTCTAAACAAATACTATTGTCATACATAGTAAATACTGTACATGTCATCATGTATACATAATTATTGCCATACATAGTAAGTACTGTACATGTCATCATGTCTACAGAATTTCAGATACATCATAAGTTTCATATAAACCACAATGCCATACTGCTGCTTTGATTTAACTGTCCTGCGACACACCATGGTGATCGTACTGCAGCAGCTACTGCCGACCACCTACTAGCTACCAGCAGCAGTGTGTGACTGCTGCCAACCAGTACCTCCGTGTGTACGACGACACATAGGCTTTTCCCGGTATACGGGCAAGTCCGCCGGGCACTGTTCGATCGTGTGGACGTGGCTTTAGTCTATTGCCTCCACATGACCTTTGTGGGGATTAGCCCACCTGTGCACAGGTCACCGACCCTTAAATAATAAAACAAAATAAAAACGGCTCAAGAATGAGAAATGATATACTATATGTTGTGTTGTCAAAGTAAGAGAAACAATTGAGAACCTGTAATGAGGCAGAAAGTCGATGAGGGCAAGGATACTCGAAAGTGGTAAAAAATTATGACCTGCAGGGTGGTTGCAAGTGATATGAGACTAAGGAGCTGTGACCTACCTACAATATCTGAGCGTTGACTTGGTAAATGACATTGATCTACCTCACGGTCTGACAACCAAGCCCAACACAGCTGCTCATTGAATAGCAACACTAGCCTGTCTGCTGTTATAGTCGACACATAATGGAAGACACTGATGACATTGTCTACGTGCCAAAATCGAAGAGAAAAATACCTAATTTCCCTGACCATTAATATTGACTTATAAACTGAGGTATCGTCATGGCAAAATTATTATTACAATATTATTATTCTTTATCCAGTAATTATATAAATCCACCCTTCAGAAGCTTTTACTTCACACATAGTGCCCTGCCTCTTAAAAAAATAGTGATGTAGGTAAAGTCAGGTAAAAATTTATCAAATGTTCAACATATAAAGATCCAGCAAATCCCTGTACTTTCTTTCCCTGCTCAGAGCATAGCCAAACACAAATAATATAATAATGGTTGCCCCTTGTGACGAGGATGGCCGGCCCAAGGGCCACCTAGGCGTGAATTTGTTTAAGGTGTAGAAGCTGTCCCCCAACACAACAACCACACCCTGAGTTAACGAGTTGCTTGACTCGGTGTCAAGGAATAGTCCAAGAAGACCGGACAACTTGCCAACTGTACTGGCTAACCATTACCTCGGAATACGATCCGCAAATCGATTAACATCCAGGTCCTCGATACTGCTGGGTAAACAGAGGCAAATGGCATAGGTAAACTTGCCCATAGTTTCACCATGCCCTGGGATAGAAACCAGGTTCACTCGCTTGCGAGGCGAGCATGTTTACCATTACACCACAGGTCACCACACACACACATGCTGTTAACTAACTCCATGAACACCATCATAATTTAATCTGTCAGTGGTATCATCTGCATGGAGTGCAGTTGCCTATGGATACAGTGATTTGTGGTTATTTGGGCAGTTATTCACATTATTCTTGCTTCTAGTATATACTTTCACATGCAACTATATTTCAGTTTATACTTTCAATGTAACTATATTTCATTTTATACTTTCAAGCTAAGGGAGTTTATTCTAAAAAAAATTTCTGATTTGTCTGGCATGTTTTTTTTCTTGATGTTAAAGCGCTTTGGGGCAATAGAAACTGAACATTTGGCTGTTCAGCGCTGGGACATTAATTCGCCAACACCAAAAAATGTCGTGATTATCGATGCACACAAAGCGAAACAAATTTCTTGTTTTCAGTTCCTGTAACATCAAAAATGGGCCAACAGAGTACACATTTCATTAAAATGATGCTTACCCATGTTTTTAACTAATGTAAAGATAATTCTGATGAGATCACCTCTTGGGGTAGCTTTTTACATTTGTTCCCAAAATAAGCAATTTTTTTTACATTCACTTGGATAATTTTTTTTCAAGTTTAGGGTCATTTTAAAGTATTTCATAGAGAACAACTTTCCCTTAAACTTATTTTAAAACTGTCCACGGGCATAGGCTTCAATTAAAGGGGTCAACTGTGTATGGAGAAAAGTGAAAAAAATTATAATCAACCCCTCGATTGATAAAATGACCTCCAATATCAACAAAATTATGTATCTAGAACTAACCACATAGAAAGCTAATTTTGGTGTCTAGCTATTGGGTTTTGGTTACAGGAAATCGATTGGAACAAAAAATCAGACAAATTAGAACATTCCTTATTAGCATTACAGTACAGTACTTTAAAATGGCTGTCTCAACAACTGCCATAATGAACCCTGGTATCTGCATATATATATATATATATGAACGAGGTTAAATGCATTGTAATATCGGCACCAACAACAACTGAAATTAACCAAATCGTTCATATTCTAGAAAGTTCATAGGCAACAGGAACATTTGGTCCATAAAATCTAATCATCCTCATTCTCTTCCTCGTCCTTGCAAACATCACTGCTGTCTGCATTCAGGTGTCCTTTATCATCGCTTACTTCCTCAGCCTCGGTTGACGCTTTCTCATCATGAAGCAACTCTTTTTGGCATGGCATCACCCTTAAACAATTTTAAAGAAAGCCTACCATCACGAAGGATCCATCCATGCTCAAGTGGGTCCCAGGGATCAGTCAGGTTGAAACTGCAACCATCCATGTGCGATTGGGCTGGTGCGCTGAATTTCTGCTTCACAGAGCAATTGTGGTAATCCTGAGTCTTCAATTAAGTATCCAAGTCATGCAAAAAGTTGATGACTAAGTGGAATGGACCTTGTGAAATGAATAGATCATCAAATTTAGGCCTCCTCCTCTTGGATTCTCATAGGCAGCTTAGAGATAGCCAAGTCATATGCAACATTGATATACTTTTCACCACAAACTTTCTGAGATTGGAGCATTGTGTGCCGAGCAACATCAAGTTTGGCGTGAGGGAATTTGATGTTCTTCATATAACCGATTTTCTGGATTGGCAAGGGGTCAACGGTCGTCAAAGAATTCCAGCTTCTCCACACTGGGGTAGCAATATTGTGCATACATATCAGAACCCAGGGTAGGTCCTTGTGTTCTGAAGGCTGTACAGGCTCATATAGCTGAAATTTGAATTTGGTGGCGAATGGCTGACTTCTGTATGGAGTCCGTGTATTCTCATCTGCTGTAAAGACACCGTCTTCTTTTCTTTCTTGCTGGCTCGTTTCCATCACCTTCAGGAGTCCCACTTACACTATTGTAGGATGATGTGTTTCACATTCTGGGTTTACACTATTGTGGGATGATATGTTTCACATTCTGGGTTACAATTCCCACATTTACCGTGCGGCCTCTCAAAAGTAGATGTAGTCTCATCGTAGTTGTCTCAGATAATTGTGTAGCAAGACCAGACTCTATGCAAATTCCATCTGGGGTAATAAGATCTTTACAAGTAATCTCCTCTGCCATCTCCATAACAATTTTGCCCTCTTGGGTACAAAATGCTGCATTCCCAAGTCTATGCATGATTTTGCAGATATTCTTGCTGCTGGTCAAGCTTTTCACACCCTCTCCAGTGCAGAGGTGCTTTGCTGGTTTCACGTACCCTTTGGTGGTATTGAATAGCAGGTCGTCACTGAGCGACTTGTTTCCCGTTTGTTTGGATTGGTAGAGTCTTGGCTGATGACATCTAGTATGAAATTGATACATTTTTTTGCAGTTGGTGTCTGTTCTTTCTGGAAGTGCTGTGTGTTCACAGCAAGGGGGAGTGGGTTGGCATTCTTTTTAACTTCAATCAGGACACGTCTCAAAAGTTGTGCAGCCTCAGCCAGGAGAATATCTGCCTGCCTGTTACCACATCCCCTTTTTTGCCACCAAGATAGCATCTTTCTCTGTCACTTGGGCGGAAAAGATGATGAGACTCGATCAATTACTGGGGTGTATGGGCTTACGGAAGAGAGGTTGTCACAAATGGGTCAGAACTTTGTTTATGAAGGTTCTGTACCACCGATATTTTGATCAGTGCAAATACATCCCTAGCCAATAAAGGGCAGTTGCCCTTCACGTAATGGTCTAAAGCCACATTGAGATTCTGGGAGGAAGTTTTCCACCTCAGGAAGAAGTCTGTTTAGGAGGACTCGAGTGTTATTATTGCCAGCTACGGACTGCAGCAAGATCCCGTGGTAGTTGCCACAGTTTGACAGGTCTCCCTTGTTCTTATAAATATTGACAATGAAGGTGTCTTCAAGTGCTTGGAGGATTTCCTCCTTTTCCCATATACAGTACTGTACAGTATTCTCAAGACACACGCACACACCTATGCTCTTCATTTTCCTGTTTTTTTTAGGTTTATATTAAATTTTGTTTATTTCTTAGCTACATTAGAGTATTTTAATATTTCTTCTTTTGCTTTGTAATAAAGAAAATGGTTTTACTAGGGTGGACTATGATATCCTTGGTTATAGAAGTTACATGTTTATTTACATACTCGAACTTGAATTGTGTGTTGAGAAAACTATTATTTTTGTTAAAATTTATTCTTTATTTTGTATGTGACGAAATTACAGTATACTGTAGTATACATATGTGCCGCACTGTTTACTGTTTATGTAGTGTTTCCCTTCCATCACCTGCATCACCTACCATTTGCCCTGAGTTACCTGCAGTGCTGGTAAGCAGTGGTGGCTCGTGATAAAATGCTTAAGGGGTACTGCAATTCTTTAAAATTTGCAACACAGAAAAAAAATTATTTACCTTGGGGTTCAGTTTGTGAGTTGATGTTCATGGTGTGAATACTCGGGGGTTTGGGCATTACAGGTACAGTACTTGAAAATAAACTCTATGCAGCGGCTCTTTGATGTAGCAAAGTGATTACAGTAGTTACTTTTTCATTAAAGACCTTTATTTTTGTGATAATTTTATTTTCAATGGATAATGCTAAAGTAGATAATCTCATTCACCACGGTATTCTGCAAGAAAGTTTCAATTCTTTTCAAGGTTGAAAAGCACCTTTCTGCCTCAGCTGGTGTCATTGGTGTTATCATTATCTTGATAAGCTTTGCAGTTTGAGAATGTTGACGTAGGTAGTTTTCATTAATAATTTCTAACAAATCTGAGACTGATTTACACAAATCTTCTCTTGTATAGAGTACACAAAGTTCAGTTCCCAATTTGTCTTTTTCAAGTACGAGATAAGCTTCAACTGCTTGTTCAATTTCATTTCTGGGAAATTACAAGCATACGTTGGAAAGTTGTTTATCAAAAGTAGCCTACTTACTTCCAAATGATTAACAAAACTAACTCTTTCTTTACATTGCATCATATTACATCACAGACTTCTTTTGCAGCTGCTGATTCATCTCCTGAGCATTTTCCTCATTTTGTCTCTGAAGCCACGCCCTTGACTGCATCACATTGTTGAGTTGAACACATTTAAGGAGACAATAGCCTTTACTGCATCAATGTTTCTAGACTGAACCCGAGAGAATAAGACATCTATGTGAGGCATTACTTTGGAGAAAAATTCTAGCCAAAATTCAAATTCTGGATCATTCAAAGTTCTCTTGATACCTGCTGCTGTATATCCAGTATCTCTTGAATTTCATGCCTCCAATGTATTGCAATATTCAAATATTGCAGCTTTCATTTCTTGTACTGCATCGCCTGTTCTGCTTTTAAAATTCCAGCGTGTTGTAGATGGTTTTGGAATTCTATGGTTAGCAACATTTTCCAATGCAGCCATTCTCTGTGGAGGTCTTGAAAAAATACTGGTACAGTATTCCCTTAAAACTTGCCGTTTTAAAGCTTGCGTCCCTCGGAAACTCACGGATTGCCATGGAAAATAAATCAGGCTGTGTGCCAGGGATCAAGAGGAGTCAACACTACAAGACAGTATACAGATCTAATAGCCTACTGTACTGGCAAAGCCAAATCACTGGTTATATGCAATCATGTTTCTCACTATTACTTTCTAGACCTACGGTATTATCCAACATTTGTTGGTATTAATAAAATTTACCTAATTTAATACAAAAGGATATAATTATACGTATAGGTACCTACAGTATACACATTACAAATACTTATCAGTACTGGGCATGTTCACAAGGAACTGTCCAGTACAGGGATTGTGTACATCCTGTGCACCAGATCAGCTGACGTTTCAGAGGTATTGTCTTTGCATTGTCACTACCACATTAGGTCCACTGTGTGCACCTAATGTCCATAGTGTTTCATGTTAATGTTTATTAATGTTATTTCATATTTATTATATTGTCTTATGCATACATAATGTTGTTATACATGTGCATAAAGCTATTTGTACACTATGTATTTTGCACACTCCTGGGACTGGCATGAGAAACTCACAGATTTTGCTTTCCCACGAGGTCCATTTTACCTAACCCCAGTGAGCTTTAAGGGAATACTGTATTCCTGATAGGCTGTTGAAAACAATTTTGACTCTCTTATTTTGGGATGTTGCCCGATCCAAAATCAAGTTAAGTTGGTGTGCATAGCAATGAATAAAATGTGCATTGTTAAGTTTAATTTTTATTTTTGCCTATATGTATATCTATTCACTCCACTTAAAGCAGCTGCACCATCATATGTTTGTGCAATTAACTTGTCTGGGCTATTGCCAATCAGAGTATGAAGTTCATTAAGCAGCATACTAGCCAAGGCTTCTGCTGTTTGATCGACTGGGTTGAAAAATCTCCAAAATCTTACAACTGGTTTTCCTTGTACTTCATACCTTAACACAATTACCATTTGTGCTTTATCATAAATGTCAAGGGTTTCATCACACATTGCTGCCAGACATTCTGCATCATTTACTTCTTCCTTGATCTTTTCTTGATATATGATGAACATAGATTCTAGCAGTTCATTTTGTTTGGTTTTTGATGTTTCCTTTGAAAACTGTTGCTGTATTTAAATGAGCTTTTAAACTAGACTCCAGTTCACAGGTAAAATCTAGCAAATCCCAAAATACTCCTGTGTTTATCGAGCTTGTGGTGTCATGTACTCTGAGAGGGAGGTTAAACTTTCAAAAAAAATTTACACAATCAATGAGTTTTGATAGAACATCTCTCTTTTTCTCACTTGTTCATTATTCTTCACAACATTTTGTATGCTGTATCAATTTTTACTACAATATTCAATTTACCCAAGAATGAATAATCAATCATATTATTCATTTGTTGAGCATATTGTTTAAGTTTTCTTATTTTCTGTTGCAAATGCTTCAAATCAGTCACACCAGTTTTTGTCCAGGTTGAGTCCCTACCATAAAGCAAACAAGGATAGCAAAATAATGCATTCAATTCCTCACAGTCACAGATCCAGTCACATTTTTCATAAACATCGACATTGAACTGACATGAGTATTCCTTACTCCTACTTGTGCTACTCTGTTGAATATTCAAGTTTGATATAGGTCTTCCTCTTCTTTCGATTTTAATTTTCTCACTTAATATCAGTTGAGTGAAGTTAATGCTTTGCAAATACATACAGGGTACTTAACTTTTTTAACCTGGATTTTGCTCAAACCAAATTACTGTACAGATATTATACTTCATATCAGAACCTGTATTATATTTTAGATCATATTTTAAATTTTTTATATTTCAGACAAGCACGGCTCAAGGTCTGTCTACTGTGAAGTTGAAGCGCTGTTATTACGGTATACCCCTCCACCGCACGTATCAGACAGGTCACTGGACTGCAAAGATTGCAGCCCAAATTTCAGTGTAGCATGGGCGCTAAATGCGTAAAAAGAACGTACAGTTGCTAACTTGCTGTGATTATGAACTAAATTTAGGTGTATTATTATTATGAAAATTTTGTCAATATATAATGAAGACAACATTCTAACTGAATCTTTATAAAAAAAACTTGATGAAATTTTTTAATTCTGGTATAGAAGTATGTAGATGTATCAGACGTCTGGCAGTTTTGGAGGGGTGGCTGCAGTCCTGCAGCCCTTATGGATGAGCCGCCACTGCTGGTAAGTGTTACTTTTTGAAAATTATTAATTACATGTACCTGCATACATTTATGGGCCGGTAAATTTTTTTTTTTAATTATGTAGGGATATTTCGGCAAGGCAGAAAGTCAGATCAGCAACTTGGAACTTGATCAAAAATTTTGAGATGCCATATGGCAGCAGGGTCTACCATTAGACAACACATTATGCTTCCAATATCTTCCCAGATAGTAGTACCTCCCTGTTTGGTAGCTGCCTACTACCTGATGGCATGGTCTCTTACAGCCTCTCTCATTTTGCTTTTATCTTTGAAATATTTTCTCGACCGCTCCCCCATGTCCTTCTGGTCCTACCTCCACTTGCCCAATCCATTTCAGCCGACCTTTACGAAAAACCTCAATAACTCGTATTTTTATTTTTATTTAGGGGGTTTCCTTATTATCTTTTATTCTTACTCTTTTCAACTTTCATGGGATAAGAGTCATAATATTACCAGTTTAAGTGAGAATATAGATCTAAAGTCAGGGTAGGGGATAAAATATCAAATTCCAGCATACAGTAAAACCCACATAATTCTAAATTATGAGGTTTTACAAAATATGAGGGACACCTTTTCCCGAGGGGAGAAAAAACAAACAAACTGTACCTCTTCATAATCTGCCCCAAGCAAAATTTAAATGTTTCTAAGTACAGTACCTCTGCACCAGATTTAGGTGCTTGGTCCATGGTTGTCAGATATAATGGCTCAACACTGGGCAATGATGGAAAAACAATTGGAAGAAAACTTGTGCGGTAGACCAGAGTGTCGCTTGGTGTGTATAGTACCTGTACTGTACTTTGTTTACACCAGAGATGGGAGATTGGCGGTTGCATCCCATGGAGACACATTTCGGGGATTAGCCCACCCGGGCACTTGTCACCGACCCTCATCGGGGCCTGGGGGGCAAAAAATAATAATAATTTGAACCATAAATAAATACAGAAATGGAAGAAATAAAAGAAATCAAGAGAAAGAAATGATATACAGTTAACCCTCACTTTACGCGGTCCCACATTCCGCGTTTCCACGTTTACGCGGTGCCCTGCCGGAACCCAGGATGCTCACATTCCGCGGTGCGTGTACCCCTTTACGCGGAGAGCGGCTGGCGAGCCGCGCCATTTTTGGATCCAAACCTCCCGCCATCCGCCATGTTGTGTAAGCTGCGCGAACATGGTGCGCACAAGGTCACCCAGTCATCAAAACATTACCAGTTCTTCACCCGCCACCCACCACAGCCGGCCCAAGTCAGTGATAGTGATAATTATGGTGAGGATATGGACTTATATGGACTTTGGGGAGTTTGACAAAGAGGCCCTGCAAGCCTCTGTGGTGGATAGTGATACAATTGATACAAGTGACACAGGTGAGGGCCAATAATCTGCCCTCTGCCTCGGAACCAACCGCCCATCCCCGTGTGCCCAGCCATTTTTTCTACTAATGTAAGTGTTAAAAAACCTAATCTTATTGATATTTCTCTTAATTATTAATTGTGTGTGCATACCATCATAAAGTTAAGATAATATTTTTACTACAACATAGTTGTGTGTCGTCAAAAAGTGGAGTTTGGGGATCGGCCCGGACTCCATTTCAATTAATCCCATATGTTATGTTATTCACTTTACGCGTTTCTCACTTTACGCGGGACCCTCTGGGTTACATTAACCGCGTAAAGTGAGGGTTAACTGTATAGTATATGTTGTGTTGTCAAAGTAAGAGAAACAATTGAGACCCTGCAATTGTGTGTAAATGAGGCAGAAAGTCAGTTCAGCAACCTGGGAATTGGTCAAAATTTTTGTGATACCATATGGCAGCACAGTCTACCATTAGACAACACATTATGCTTCCAATATCTTCCCAGGCGGTAGTACCTCCCTGTTTGATAGCCGCCTACTACATGCATATACTGTATTGTAATATTTCAAAATTTTACCATGTACTGTATTACAAAATTTGTATATATTTCATAACAGTACAACATTTCAAATTATGATTTATTTCAAATAAGAGGAGTATGAATTCTTTTTTTTTTTACTGTAGGATGATCTGAGTACCCCGTAACCTTTAGCATGAGAGTCCAATGGGAGGTGATTTGATTTTTGTAGTTGATGCAGGTTAGCTGTGGTGAATAAGGATATTTGTTGGGACGGTGAAGTGGTAGACTGTGGATTACCTATCCATGAGAACATAATGTTCATTCAGTGGTGCTTTTTTGTTATTATTGAGGTACACTATAGAAGAGCTACCTACCGTAATCCAGTCTAGCTTTATAAATAGGCAAAAATCGACTGTGCTTACTAACACACAAAAAAATTTTAAGTGAACAATCAACCCAATTCCCATACAGGAATGAAGTTAATTCATCATGTTCCAGTTCTCAATCAAGGAGTTACAACACTTTTGCGATAAACAGCGCCTCTTGTTAGTTACAGTAGTGTTTGAGTAACTATACACATTAACCCCTTCCTTTCCACATACTCTAATGAATCCTTTAACATGTACTTTTGTCATCACATTTGTATACACCAACTTGGTCATGCAGTAAAGAAGGGTTCAATAGATTGTTACTGTTTTCAGTGCACAGGAAAAACTTGGAGAAAAAGAAAACTTTTGTGAGTATATTCAAACTTGTAAAAAATTCGGCAAGGCATGCTTGGTAAGGAACAGTTTAAAGTGCAATACTTGAACTTCTATTCATACAAAAATATATTGTGGAAGGAATTAAACCCAAATTACAACACAGGCACACCAGACAGTACCACTATCCCAACACAAATGACAAGATCACTTAATGAACAACCTTTGTGAAACATTTGTAAAAAAGCAAAAACAGTAATTCGTATATATATCCTAACACAGCTGAGAATGATAGAAAAATTAAGTTGTCATTATCAAATGATCTTATCACTAATAAGGAGAAAGAAAGATCAAGTATACATACAAGTATTTAATTTTATCATAATACTATATTAAACCATATGATAATGAGGAAGAGTTGGATATTGCATTGAGGGACAAGGAGGAAAGAGAGACAGTTTACTGTATCCATCACCCACAGACGAGCCTTAAGAACCACCTCACCCTTGCCACCACCAGCACACATGCCGTCAATACTTTATACATCAAGTCAATAATAGAAAGACTGATCAAAATGTTAGTGTTGTAACTAATATAGGAGATGTACACAATATGGAAGTCACATCATTATACCTACTGGTCCATGAGGAACAATCACCTACAAGATCATTCATTCTCAATCAATGATCACTTAGAATTAAAATATAACAAATAAGAATGTTAATTATGGTTAGCTGGCAGTAAATGAACATAATGGAACAATCAAAATGCATCAAAACAAAAACCATCATTGGACATACAGTACAGTATTATGTTCTACAATACACAAGATCATGTTAAGGTGTCAACTTATAACGATTGGATTAAGAAATCAATAACTAATTGGTCAGTAACTATATCACATAAACTGAAAATTTCATACATATAATAATATCAGACTTTGCCACAACCATGATCATACAGACACATCATCTGTTGCCCCACTCTTCCAGTAGTCCAGTCTGGAGTAAAGACTCTAGACGACCCTGCCGACGTGGTGGCTGCAACGACCTCCCCAGACCAAAAGAGAGGGTCTGACCTTGTTCTTGATATTTTTGCCCAAAATTATTTTTATGACTGAACTGGTAACTCTTAATCATTTCAGGACTATCCATCAACAGTGTGTTGAATTTGGATAAATCCTTAAATACCTTTTCTGTGTCAAATGAAAAGCTAACATACAAGCTCAAATATGTGCACAAATATCCTAGAATTCTATTATTAGTATCAATTTGATTGTTGTCTAAGAATTATTGAAACTGCAAATCTTACTGCACACTGAATATCAAAGAACAACATTGTCAAAGATACCTGCAGTGAATAACTTGAAATTAATCATAGCAAAGCAAGAGGGATTTTATCTGCTCTAATAATCTGGGGAGAATGTATGCTCTGCACGTACCTGTATCACATTAGTACCCTAATGTAAACGGCCCTTGCAGAACGCATTGCATATCAATTTAGTTTGGCTCAATTACATGCGGTCATATTTTCATGGTAATTTTTTTCTTCAAATATTATGTTCATTTATGACTGCTAATGACCCTTAGAAGAAGCATCCTCAGTACAGCCCAAAAGTAAAGTCTCCAGCAACAACCTTAACTGTTGCTCTATCAACATGAAGGTGGTTCACTCTATGAATGCAGGTAATAAAGAGCTATGCAAGAGTTAATGTGAAGTCAGCAGTACTCAGCTCATTAACTAATTCTTGTGCATGAATTGGTCATCAGGACAAGAGTCTCTACTATTTGCAAGTACTTTCCAAAAGCAGAGATAGAGTAGCTAAAGCTCTAAGCCATAAACACTCCTTTCATTGGATCATATAAATAACGAACTACAGCACAGTTAGTATGTCTTGAACTCGATTATACAGTACTTAGTCAAGACTTCAGTATCCATAAGTAATATCCATAGGATAAAAAATAATTTCTATATATCTCAAGAACCTGATATATAGCTTCATCCATTTAATGCCTAATAGAGCAGAATATGTCTTAAAATTGAAATACTGTATAATGAACTAATTACATTATGTTCTACACTTGGGTCAAGTTTAATCTGTGTAGTGAACATAACAATCTTGTTCATGACTCCCTTCCAGGACCTTCATTTCCAAGGCCACATCTAAAAAAAAAAGTGTAGTACCTCATCCTAAGCTTAAACAATCAATTCATAATCATATGAACAGTGAAATAGTCTGCACCATAAGATACAGATTATATGAAAAAGGTATACATGATAAGACCTATATTTGTGTTCAACATGATTTGAGAATGAGTATGCTTTATTATTAGAGATAAGCTGTACAATGCTAACAAGTACTGTATTTGGCAAAACCTAGTGCCATTTAACGTCTTACATGAGAACCTTTCTTCATATTTATAGCTGTACTGAGGATGGCTCCTTATTACTTTGCAATATGGAAGATGAAATAGGTGGTGAGAAAAATTATATCTTGCTTTATTAAAAAATAAAAGATAATTACAAATGATGAAATGTGTGTACGAATAGGAAGTTTATATACAAAATTCTAATATTGAATAAATAATTTATTAAAACTCAAGACCACAGGGAAAAAACTAATAAATGCATTAAGTATTGTTCTTGTAAAGCTGTACCTACTAAACCCATGAGACGAGGACTTCTTAGGCCACTTTCTCGAGGGACACGTTCCTGGACGCATATCTTGTTCAACGGCAGGGTGACACAGCAGGGCGAGGCAGGGCTCATGCTCATAATATAGAATCTGCCCACCCACCAGTTGTCCTTTGGTACTCGTCGTGACCATGAATCTGGTTAGGGCAAACGTCAGGCTCGGGAACTATTCCATTCTCAGAGAAACAATGACAAGTGGAAATGGACAATTGAGAAACAAACACTAAATGCAAGAAAATGCACTAAAATACTGAGTAAAAATAAATCTTCTATACATAAGCTGTCTTAAAGTAGAAATGCTTGACTAAAATGGTGTGTATGGGGACAGACTATTTACAAATAGGAACAGTTCATGAGCCTGACCTTGCATGTGGTGTGATGGGTACAGCCTAAAGCCTACCTGGGCCCACTTTGGAAACCCTTACAAGGGCATCATGGTAGAACTGGTACTTACAACAGGCACCAGTCACTACCTACACTGAGTATCCATCTCCTACATACAACATTATATGGCTATGTGGAGCATAAACACGTGTTTGGTAAATTAGAGAACATAAATTATATAGGATCACACAGGCCTTACGGCCCAATGTCTCTGACGCCCCCCACCCCCGCGCCCCATTGGAATTTGGGGATCTTGGGCTTGATTTGTATGGCGCGGGGGTTTGGGTCAGGGCCGCCATGTTCCAGTTACTACTGTTGGGTCAGCAGCATTTCCATTGTCATCGCGGCCACAAGGTGCATTGGAGAGTAGTGATTTGGAAGGCTGAGGTATGCGTGTGGCAATAGCAGATCGTACTTTTGGTGCAACAGGTGGCTGATAGTTGAAGGGAGGAACAATAGCAGACTGTGGTGGAGATCGTACTCGTCCATCCTCCTCAACTACAATAAAGGAACCGAGGCGGGACAGTCGCTTTGCACGAGCTTCACTATCTTCTTCCATCTGACCAACGTGTGCACTTGGAGGATGAGTAGCTGGTCTCTGGCGAAGTTGCACTGTTTCTATTGGTCGACCACTCATTTCTGATAACCGGGAACGTGTCGGACTTACCAGACAGTGAGGACGAGGATCAACTGGAGTAGTGGCTTCTGAGGGAGGTGAGGACCGTGTATCCCTACCCCTTAATTTAGCTAATTTGAGTCCTAAGCGAGTTCTGCCTTTTCCAACATCACCACTCCCATTGTTCCCCCCATTAACTGGTAATTTCTCATACGTGGAGCTACGCACTAGAGGCTGAGGTGAAGATACCTTGCCAGCAGATTTAGGACGTGCTATCCATACACGGGCATCTTTCTCCTTCTCTTTTGGTTTAGTTTGTGCACGTTCCACCCTTTTCCACAAGTTAGCAATTCGACTAGTAACTTCTTTCTTCACAGTTGTCTTTTTGGGAACATCCTGGCGCCACTCAGCCATATCAGATGAAGTAGGTGGGCGAACGTCACGTGTCAAACTAGTTGACTTATGTTGGGGAGGTCGGCCCTTTGTAGGGCTTAAATCCTGACTCCCACTTTTTGGTATGCCAGTACGAACTGCTGAGCTTGGATGTGTCACTGGTGGACTAGGCTGCACTGTGTCTCGCCTTAGCCTTGGCTTGGAGAGCCCTCTAGTAACAGGGGCAGTTTTTTTAGTTTCAGTGTGAAAATTATGTTCTGGGCTAGTTGGTGTATCACTGTCATCTTTTGTAAATGTATTTTGACGGCGCAAAGGTCTAGGATATTCAGGACCGGGTCTTGCTAGTGATTTTGATCGAGCCGGTCTGGTGTTAATGGCACGGGAACCTGGGCCCAAACGAGGGCTGGACCCTGCACTGCTACCAGCTGATGATCCTTTTGGACTATCCTCACCGCTACTGCTCCCTTTTTGGAGATTAGAAGTGTGACGTAATGCAGATGCTCTTGTTGCACGTGGCAATTTTGGAGAAGATGGTTTCACTGGGGATGCAGAGCTTGGACGTACAAGAGTGGGTCTCACTGGAATTGTTCTTGCTGGGCTTACTGTGGCTTGTGCTGTTTTTGCAGGTGTGGCACTGTATTTTTTGCCACTTGAATACAATGGCTTTCTGCGGCCTCTGATGCCTTTTCCTGCAGGTTCGTCCTCGTCTGGAACACGTACAGTCTCCTCGCTAGGCTTTACAATTCTGGGGCGTCGTAAAACCGGTCTCTCTTCCTCCTCATCTTCCTCGTCCTCTTCTTCATCTCCTTTATCTGGCGGGTCGTCGTCAAAGTCCCGAAGAAAATTTCTCATCTCAGATTCATCTTCATTTGAAATTAAGCTAAGAGTTTCAATATCTAAAATATTTTCTTCACTGAGGAGATCTGAAGACTCACTAGTCATTGCTTCCCGAGTTTCATTTAAGGTACAGATGACAATATTAGCATCCTGCTGTAATGCTTCAAGTTGTTCAGCTGTTAAATCAAGCATTTCATTACTGTCTTGAAAATCTACTAATGTTCCATCACCTTCCTTATTAGCCTCGTCTTCAGTTGTTGGCTCTGGTGTGATGTCTGACATAGGTACATCTATGGTGCGAGTTTGGTATCGCTCTCGATCCTCTTGCCGTCGTTGTCTGAATGACTGTCTGCCTTGTCCCTTTGGTGGTGAGGAGGGAGGCTCTTCAACACTTTCAGTTTTTTGAGCAGATGCTTCTTCTGTTGCCTCTGGTACAGCTTGTACTTCACTTATAGTGTGTGTTTGGAAGCGACTGGGGTCTTGTAGACGACGATCTTTGGGTGATCTTCGTGGACTGATTTTGTCTTTCACCGCATCCTTTGGAGGAGTTGTACTAGTAGTGACATTATCTTGACCACTGCCATCAGATGATATTGTTCGAGTCCTGAAACGTTCAGAATCTTCTTGACGTCGCTGTTTAGGAGTGCGACTTACCAGTGGAGATGAGGGGAGGCCTTCAACTAAAGTAGGATCTGTGTCTTGAGAAGGGGTAGCATCAGAGGACACTTCCCCATCAGCACGAGTAAAAGTGCGGTATCGGTCTTTGGCCAGGTGTCTGCGAGAACGTGGTGTACCTAGTCTGTTGGGTGAAGAATGTGCAGATGTACATAATGGAGATGATATTCCATCTTGGGGTAAATCAGGAATATCACAAGGTAAGTCATCAGCAGCCAACTCTGTATCACTAGCAGGCCCAACAGTTTCTTCATGTTCTGTTATGTCTGTGATTTCTTGATAGGTAGAAGCTTCATCTCCACCAGTTAAAGTGAGCGTTGAAGCAGCATTGAGAGCTTCCCTTTGGAAAATTGCTGCCAATTGCCGGGCTGGAGCAGCTACTTGTAAAGTGTGATCTGCTGGGGGTGATGGTGGAGACTCCCGCTGCTCTGCCACTTCAGATGTAATAGAAGCAACACTGATCATGGAATTCTCCATATCATCATCTAACATAGAGGGAGGTGGGATGTTATCTACATTAGAATGACAGGAACTAGCCATGCTAGCCATGTTTTCTGTGGAACCATAATCCTGTTCACCAAGAGCCCGCCGTACCATTTCTGGTACTCGACGAGTGTGGCGGCATTCCAGACGACGGTTATTTGTACGTGTCCCTCTGTGTTCCTCTGTACTATTTGTCAGGCTATTTGACATCGATGCTAGACTGCCCATTGCTGATGGAGGTTTTATATTATCAAGATAAGCATCAGAGGCTGCACTAGTTATACTTTGTGACATATGGGATGTCTCATCACTACTAAGAAGCTTAGCTTCACTTGCAACAGCCCTGGCAACCTTCATTGCTTCTACAGCCAACAAGCCTGACTCTGACATGGAAGCTGTAACAGAAGTATCTGAACCTCGGCCTTCAGAGGGAGATGATTTATCCGCAGAATTTCTGTGTTCTACCCAAGAATTCTTTTCTTCGGGAGATGATCCAGGACCTTCTGCCGATCCATCACTGACACGTGGCTCTTGTTCCACTGGTGAACTTTCCCCCTTGGCTAAGGGAAGAGTTACCACTGTAGCACCACTCCCTTCACTTGTGACTTCACTTCTAGGATGACTGATCTCTGCAGTAGTTACAGCCTCAGAATCTGCCTCAGTGTGTTCAGTAACACTCTCATCATCATCATCTTCCTTATATTCAGCATCAACTTCTTCTACTTGTCTTTTTGTACGTTCATTCTTCTCGTTCTGTTCTGAATCTGTGTGCAACTTGGAGCTCTCTGCATCTGGCATGGGCATGACGGCGTCTGCGTCCACATCGTCTACAGCTGCCGCCATCGCCCCCACGTTTTTTGACTGAGTAGCATGTTCATCTCTACACAGTGTAAGTCGTTGCATGGGGACCCCTGGAATGAGACGTATTGGTGATCGTGATGAAGGAGCGGGGATACGAGAACCCCCTCGACGTCGACGTCGACTTTCTAGATCTGATTTGCTCTTAGGCATACCCTGACTTATGCATTGTTGTAGTAATGCTTGTTCTGTTGGAGTTGTCTCTTCCCCAAAAGAATCAACAGAGAGAGAGCTTAGAGACGAGTTTCTTGAAAAGCATACTGGTGTGTCCTCTACCCCATAGTTTCGAACACTGCCTGCTTGTGGTGCATTAGGTGCTTGAATAATAGCACTCTCGTCTCCACCTTCAATTGAACTGAGAGATGAGTGCCGAGATATTACACCGGGAGTGCCTTCGACGGCAAACTGTCGAGGCACTTCATTTTCTCCATCTGCCTCCTGTCCCCTACGCTGAATCTGCGATTGCCGAGACCGGGACCTTCTCGATCGTGGAGACTGTGGTGTTCTGGGACGTGGAGATTGTGTCCGAGGTTGTGGAGACTGTGGGGTTCGGGAACGTGGGGATCCTGGGGTTCTTGGACTAGGATCTCGGCTAGCTCTGTTGACATCATCATCACAGCTGAGTGATGAGAGCGAGTCAGCACGGGAGAATGTTGCTGGAGTACCTTCTGTGACCCACATACGCACTTGATCACCAGATGCATCTTCCACAGCAGGTGGTGGACGTGGTGAAACTCTAGCTCCACCCACTTTAACAGCAGGAGTGACCCTGGCCACTGGAACAGGCCGATGATGAGGAGAGTGTCGAGGTGATGCCAGTGGAGGACCCGATGCAGGTGGTGCTCCATGGGAGCACAAGTGACCCGATCCATGACGCTTTGCACCCAACTTCACTTCCTTTACCTTAGCACCAGGGCGTGCCTGAAATAAATGAGTTATAATTAATACAAGCCAAAACTAAGTACAGTACTGTACTGTAGTAAGAGAAGACCAAGAGAACATTGATTTAGTGACATCATATACAAGTTGTGCATATTATTACAGTAGAACCTCCTAAGAGGTTTATGTCAGTGTCTGCCTGCTGCTTCTCATGGTCTAACTTAGTCAGTACAATATCTGTTTTGAAGTGGATGGAAAGAATGTATGTAACCTTCACGCTGTCTCCTCACACCATCTGTTATTATTTTGTAATTTGGTCACTTAAAAATTTGTGTCTTTGTACTCTACGTACAATGAGAGTGACAATGGGTCTCATATGTCTGTTGACCTGTTAGGGGCAGTACAGATAAGCAAACTGTACACTTAAGCTTCAGTACACAAATAAGCAATGTAGGTACCCATTCACAGCTGGGTGAGCTTTATGACAGAATGCAGGTGCTGAAATCATTCTATGTACAGTATCAACTTTAAAAATAATTCATCTCATATCTGTCTGTTCTTTCAAACTTTTTGGTATTTGCTGTTGGAAAAATACACAATAGCATCTTCTGACCAGCATGAATTGGGTCAATCTGTGAATGAAGTTGATAGGGACTTCAGGTATGACATTTTGTTGAGTTCTGACTTGTAATAACTTTACTGTTTATCACTTAATACAGTATGAGAAGAAAATTCAGGATATTATAGAAGATATGAGGTAGTAGGTAGCTATCAAACAGGGAGGTACTACCACCTGGGAAGATATTGGAACCATAATGTGTTGTCTAAATGGTAGACCCTGCTGCCATATGGCATCACAAAAATTTTAACCAAGTCCCAGGTTACTGATCTGATTTTCTGCCTCATTCACACACAATTGCAGGGTCTCAATTGTTTCTCTTACTTTGACAACACAACATACAGTACATATATAATTTTTCCTCTTGATTGTTTTTGTTTTTTATTTGTCTATTATTATTATTAGTTATTTATAATTTTTATTAATTTTATTAGTATTATTAATATTTAATTATAATTGTTATTTATTTTTATTATCATCATCATTATTATTATTATTATTATTTTATTACATTTATGCCCCCCAGACCTTGATGTAGGTCATTTTAAAATGACCTGTGCTTGGGTGGGCTAATGGCCATAAAAAATTAAAAATAAATAATGAGCTATAACAATAGATGATCATTGTGGAGTGGTCAAGTAAATTTCCCCATGACAGGCCCATTATAAGTATCACAGATTCAGTATTGTATTTGAATTTTTTTTTAAGAAAAAGTGTATACAGGGTACTGTACTTAACTGAAGCATTGGAAATTATAACGTGAATCAATTATTGTAAATACATGAAAATATTGTTATTACCATCATTTTTGTATAGAACATCAATCCTGAACTGTTAGGTTAATTTAGATGGTGTGACCTAGGTAGTTTTCATACCATCATAAATACTGTACTGTATTAATATGCTGTACAGTATCAGGTTATTTACTGAAGTTCTCCTAAATCTGTTTTGTAATATTCTGGGATTTCTTTCTTATTCCAAGACAAGATATATTACTGCTAAATGGGATTTTCAAATAAAAGCGATAGAAATACTACTTGTAAATTAATGAGTCACTTAGAAAAATAAGAGAAAATTCAAATTTAGCTACAAATGTCTTCGAAATCAGGAAAATTACTGAGACTTATTCCAGGATTTAAAGGCCATTTCAATTTTTATACATGCATAGTTCAACATATTCCAGGGCTGAGAATAGCTAGTTAAAAAAAACAAATAATAATAATAAAACTCCACAACCTTAGACACATGCAAACCTGTCTTTGTAAAGCTACATTAACCTTCAAGGGGTTTCATCTGAAAGAAAGAAGAGCATAAACATGCAACACAATTCCAAAGGTGGAGTGGAGATTCAACTACAACATGCTATACCTCACAGGATTTGAAAAAATAAATAAAAAGCTTCAATTGGCACGTAAGAGTAAATATATAAAATATCTGATCATTAATACTACACAACTAGAAAACAACGATCAGCTATCAATTTCTACAGCTGATGCTGCTACCCATTGCCTGAGAGTGACCTGCTGGTAAACCTTAAATAAAAATAACATAGTGGACAGGTTACAGTACAGATAAACAATACAGTAGTATGGTACATGTTTCTTTTTAACTCATGATGGGGCAAAATTAATTCATCTAAGAAGTAACTAATACCTGAAAGCCTGGTGGTACACTTTAGTTAACTACATCTGCTGCAGCACCTTACCTTGGGCATCCCAGACTGGATGCACTGCTCCAGAAGATTGTCATTATCCGATGAGTTATCACCTGAGTCATTAAGACTAGGTCGCAGGCCTGAAGGATGTCGCTCCTTAGTTGGTTCCTCACCCGGAATGGATAGTTGGGAGAGGTCAGATATGGAAGCGGCGTGAGAGATGCTGGCGGGTGTGTCTTCTGTGCAGTAAGTGCGAAGGGTGTCTCCCCCCCAAACCCCGCCACCAACACCCTGTGGAGGCAGCACTACTGGGTCAGCCTTTTACTCTGGATCTTTTCCCCACTGTCACAGAGGCTCCAAGTCTTTTCATTCAGCATAAGATTTCCTAGTGCTTTTCCCACCTCAACAATATCTACAGTATTTGCCTGACTTGACTTATTAGGAAGAAGACCCCCTCCCTTTACTAAACTCGGTCCCTTTCATTTGTATCTCACTGAAAGTGGAACATCCCTCTATCTTTTATCTGCACACTTGGAGCCTCTACTGTCAGGATGGTACAAGTGTCTGGCTGATGTTGAGTATATTTTAAGGGCAGTAACCATTAGCCTGTATATGCTAAATATAAAACAGCAAAGCAAATTTGCATACTCAGAGTAAACACGGGAAAAATATTCAAATACAATAAGGTCTCCCTTAACTGGATTTCTCTTAACCAGAAGTCTCCTATAACCAGATTTGAGAGTCATCTGATTTTTTCCTTAAAGATTATAAATTTCTAATTATTCACACAGAATGTATCATCTGTTACACTGATGGTTGATTTCCTTGTGGTTTGATGGTCGCCTGTTGGCCAGGAAAGTGTCGTACAGTGTTGATTGTTTAGTCGGGGATTCAAGAAATGCTCTAACTGATTAGTTCTGTCTGATGTTGTGATATAAACTTACGTGATATAGTGATTTTACTCTATTTTTTTATAATTCTTAGTGTAAAATAACAAAAGAATTATGTGTTAAGTTTTTGGAGACGAAAAAATGACCAAGAGTGAAAGAAAATCTTGAAATAATGTTGTCAATGTATTGCTGACAAACATGACACAGTTGAGAGACTTGCTATTGTAATCAGCACTACAGCCTCTAATGATGAGTACAATCCCTTACTGTACTGTATCTCCCATGCCATTTACATTGTGCAGTATATAATAAGTTACACAGAATAAATACTGTAAGTAAACAAAAATGAAGTGAAAGGAGATTACTGCCCAGTACATCATTGTTTCATTTTCATGTATCTGTACGGTACTATTGTCATGGTCACATTGACGGCTAGTCTGTTTTAACTCTGTTGATTCTTATTATACTCCACGACCGCAAAACATGAATGGGTAACTGGTTAGCCATCCCTAAGAAGAAACTCGCTTTTCCCTCTCGACGTTTACACCAAGGATCCCTCCCAGTAGGTCCCGCCTTTGTGAACACCGTTGTCAATACATATATATTCCACTTTCTCTTGGCAAGCTCATTCTTGAATTAGTTTATGTAAATCAACTTTAGTAATTCGCCAAACCTTTGTCAACTGAGGGTCATCTTTGAATGTGTAACAGTTGGTTTGTTTGTAATTTCTGTCATTGCGTGAGATAGCCACGTCTGGCAACTCAGGGGTATATAAACCCTGAGCGTGAGGGAGCTCGGCCTCCCGTGACGCTTCCCTCCACCTTATTCCTCAGGTATGTAGCATGTGTCCCCTGCCGATATAGCCATTCAGTTTGATTTAGTCAATTTTGTGAGTATCAGTGTTCATGTTGTAACGGTGGAATTGACATTCACCCAGTGTGAGAAGTAATATAAAGTAAATGTCGTCTGATGTTGCGAGACGAAAGATTTGTTGTGATTGAGTCATCCTTCCTCCCGTGATGCCTTCCCTCCAACTTTGTCCTCAGATCCAGTGTGTGGATTATTTTGAACATCTTTTTTGGCTGCCCGGAGTCGGTGGATACCTAGCAGTGAGCATTATATGGATGATGTCGTTGATTCAACATGATTAACTTGCTCCAAGTCCGCCTCGTGGGCCTTAGACCCCAGACTCGCCATGTGTCTGGCTACCACCGATCACAACAGTGGTCGTCAGTCGTTGAGTGTTCTACTCTGGGACATGCCTTGAAGTTATATGGTCCAGAGTGTTGTTATATGTGTTTGGGGATAATTATCTGGAATATAATTATCCCATGTTGGGTAGTGAACCATGTATAAGTTGTTGGTTTCAATAATAACGTGATGTGAGTGCATCTCATATGTACTAACAACAGTTTGTGAAGGTATGATATGTAAGTTTGTCGTATAACTGGATGTAATGAAATGTACCTAGTAATGTGTGAGAAGTAAGGTTGTCCACTTGGGACTAACTGAGTAAAGCCATGGAGTTGATCCTGGTAACTGTTAATGTAATGTATCACCAGTAATGTGGGAGAAGTCAGAGTACCCACTTGGAATGGCATGTGAGTAAAGCCAAGGAGTTGTCATATGTCTATATGTTATGTAAGTAAAGCCAAGGAATTGGTCCTGGTAACTGTAATGTAATGTAACACCAGTAAGGTTGTGTGTACTGTAGTAAGAGTACAGTATCTGAGTAAATTGCAGTTGAGTAAAGCCGAGGAGTTGCACCTTGGAGTTACAGGTATATGTTAATGATATCTTTTTCCCTACTTTGATTTCATATTAATAAACCTTTTCTTAGAGTATATTAGGGGTATTTTTTCACCTCAGTATTCCACCTTGATATCAGAATTACAGTACCCATGTGCCCTAGACCCTCACCATGCTACCAAAGAACTGAGGTTATGTAGTAACCATTGAACTGAAATATGTAGACAGAACAATTGAAGGAACTAAGACAGAGAGAAGTAAGATAAGGGTGGCCTCGGTGGTTCAGCAAGAAGTAGTAGTGTGCGCCCCCGTTCATACAAGAGTGCAGCGCGAGTGATACCCCACCCCCCCTTTACACTATGTTTTGGGTTTAAATTCTGATGGATGTGTAGTTAAAGTCATGATACTGTAACTGCACAAGCAACCATAAAATATTAAGCTTAGAGACCTTTGCCTGGTTAAGAAAACATGTTCCAGTAATCAGAATTCTTCTTTAGCCAGTTGAGGAAAACTTTACTATATTATTGATGAAAAAAGCATTTGCACGACTGACTGACTTAATGAAAACTAAATAAAAGAAAAATACAGCATAATTGGCACAAACAAATAAACAACATAAAACACTTGATTATATGTTATTAATGGCATCAGTAGAACGAAAAAAAGAAAAGAAAAATAATATTAAAAGTTGTTGACGAACAGAGTAATGAGCATACCAAGCATTTATGAAGAGTGAAGTGGATTTTCTCAACTCATGAAATGTGATGCATGATAATTCACAAAGAGACACATGGTTCTTTGGAAATATATACTGTATGGTACTGCTGTTTACAATTTCCAAGGGACTATTTTTTTTAAGGTACTCTACAAGATAAGCTCAAATTTGGAAAGTCTCTTTTATGAATTGGAACTGGTTATAATACTGTAATAATTTATTAAGTCACATGCATTGTTCTATATAAGTTATCCAAACAAAATACTGTACAAAGTTTAATTTACCTTCTTTATCTGTGCAGAGTACTAAGACAGTACTAAGAGACTGCTGTATAAAACTCACTTGGTCATACAGGTACATTAAGACTAAGAATTAGGACACCAATTCATGTATAAATTCCCAAATTGTGAATGGCTCAACCAACTTCCTGCACGGATGTCAACACTTATACTGTACTGTTATACTTACCTCTCAAGTATGTGTGAATAGAGCCTATTAGACAAACCTGTCGGGTCAGATTAAAAGGACAATATCAATGCACCTAATTGGTACTGTACCAACAATGTCACCTGTACGTACCTGCTGGGCATGGCTGTGGGCGGGGCCACTGGGTATCTGAGTAGGCAGGTTGGAGGCCTTAACGACCGGGATGCCAGAGCCCCGCACACGACTGCTTGGCTGGGCAATTCGGGAGGTTCCTCGACCACTGTACTGCTGCTTGTTGCGTCGCCTATAAGATAATGTATATTTACTGGCTAGTAAACAAAACTAAATATACATAAAATTAAAAACACACCATAAACCTGTGTGTAAACAGATAAATGTATAAATGATGTATATAGAAATATACTGCGAGTAGAAACATACAATACTGTATAGGAAATATCAGACCAATAGCCCTATAAACAATACTACATAAGATAATAGGGAAACTTATAACTGAATCAAATGGACAAAGGCATTGGTATGTAGTGAACCAATATAGTGGTTCAATATAATGATGGGCCAGAACAGTGGACTAATATGATGGATTAATATGGAAGATCAAGAAAGTTGACCAATATGGTGGTCGAACATGGCAGACTAACATTATCGATCAACATGGCAGACCAACAAGGTAGACCCAACATGGTAGATGAACATGGAAGACTGACTGAGACCAACATGATAGACCCAAAATGGCAGACCAACATGACGGACTGACATGTGAGACCAACACTTAAGACCCAACATTACCAACCAATATGACTGACCAACATTGCAGACCGAATATGGCAGATCCAAAATGGAAGATCCAACAAGGCAGACCAACATGGAAAACCGACATGATAGACCAACATGACAGACTGACATGATAGACCCAACAGAGGACCAACATGGCAGACCAACATGATAGACCCAACATGGCAGACCAACTTGACAGACCCAACATGGCAGACCAACATGATAGACCCAACATGGCAGATTGACACGACAGACCAACATGATAAACTTAACATGGTAGACCAACATAGAGGATTAAGATGACAGACCGACATAGAGGACCAATATGATAGACCAAAATGGCAGACCAACATGATAGACCCAACATGGCAGATTGACACGACAGACCAACATGATAAACTTAACATGGTAGACCAACATAGAGGATTAAGATGACAGACCGACATAGAGGACCAATATGATAGACCAAAATGGCAGACCCAACATGGCAGATCAATATGAAAGCTGATTCGCAAGTTAAATATTCCTTTACCAGAAACTAAAGAGAGGAAATAAACCATCATAAAATTAATGATCTAAAATGACGTCAAAACGGCTGAGACTGTAGTAGGGAGACTCGATCCCTTGTTACCGCGGAAAAATATCGTACAAAGCTTTGAGGGTAATGACGCCATGGCGTGTCTCCTCATGCAACTCGTGTAAATAATAAGTATTTGTTTATCACACAAGTCATGGAAGGTAACTTAAGCAACATGTTAAGGCAAAAAAAAAACCCTCGTTGAACCTGTCTAAAGATTCTCTGTAAATGTGCTCGTGGGATAGTGTAAATAAAATTGTAAAGTAGGTGTTTGTGATGTATATTATTTCTTCGGATTTTACGTATGTTAGATTTTGGTTGTGAGGATCTTGTACTGTATATGTTGTGAGGGGGAAGTTTACCGGGTTCCATGTTCGATATCTCTGGCTGTGTGGACGAGAGTGGAGATTCTGTTGGCAGAATTTAGCGATAACAGCGCCAGCAAGAGACGACACCTGCAGACTCGAGAGACGGTGGGTGATGCTGGTAGTGGTGGGTGACGGACACATCCTAAACACCATCCACAACCCACCACCACTATCTCCCGCCTCCCTCTCTCACCTTCCCGACCACCTCGCTCTCCTTCAATTCCTTCCACTGTCACACAACTTTATCACTTTAGCCGTGAGGTCACCTTGAAAAAATTTTCATGGCTCTTCTGTGAATTTGTTTAGTCTATGGGGTCCATAATACTCACTATTTACATCCATATGCATTAAGCTATTTACTATTCGACTCGCTTGTCTTACTCATCTTTTCCTAGATTTTCTTGATGCTTGAGAGGTATGACTCACCTCCCTGCACCAGAGGCCAGCATAAGACGTAATATCCACCTGTTGAACTTACTAATATAGGGTGTGTCCTTGATATATCTTAGTGAAGGAAGGGGAGATGTGTCTTTGACATCTGCACGTTAATAATTACCCTGACAAACACTGGTAATTACAAGTGTTGGGCCAACAACAGTATGTAAACAGGGTCTAGTCATGTGTAATGGGCGTGACACAGGTGATCTATGGTGACGTTCATGACAACAACCATACAAGGTAACTGATAACACATCAACGCCGACCGTCATGCAGTGTCCAGAACACAGCACGGATGGCAGGAACACAGCAACCCAACACAGCACGGATGGCAGGAACACAGCAACCCAACATAGCACGGAGGGCAGGAACACAGTAACACTCACCCACGGATAAAGTTGATGATGGCTAACATGTTGGTCAGCGAGGATCATTACGCCACTTTACGAGGGTTAAGTTTAGCAGATGGGCCCACACACGAGGCCGTTGGAGCCCCGGACTATGTGGGGCGTGGCGGTGAGCTAGCTGGCTGACTGCTTGCTTGCCTGCCTGCCTGCCTGCCCGGGATCTGCCTACAAGCATCACAACACACAAGCACCACACTACCAGCTAACCAGTCAGCCAGCCCACACTACTCAAGGCTAGGTCGGGGTGAGGGTAGGCAGAGGGCGCTCGGTCACACCAGCAGACAACCCCCTCTTCAATCACTCCGTAAACCAACACCTTTCTATCCCACTCTGCAACTCCAGGTGTGACTAGCGACGGGGCTGTCAGCGAGGAGAGTCGCGGCGAGCGGTACAACAACCTGGGCCGGGCTGGGCTGCTGCTGGTGCAGATCATATGGTGCGTGTCCGGCCATGCTCTCCCTCCCTCCCTCCCTCCCTCACCCGCCTACACCAACACGCTCACTGCCCAGCAGCCAGCCCAGAGGTTCAAGGTCCACCTCCAAACTTCAACCATCCCCCTCCTCCTCCTACACACACACACACACACACACACACACACACAAAACCAGTCCTACTTCCACACAAGAAACACAAACATGTAAACAGACAGGTCCACTCCATACATTACACACACACACACGAAAAAACTAGCCAACTCCACAAAATGCAGTCGTTCATAAGCCACACCTTTTACATATATCTTGACCACGAAAATACCATAAAAACAAAGGAGTCGTAACTCAAGCGACGCCCTTAAAAACACACACAAGAAAGGAGTAGTGAGAATAAAACACGAGCAAGGGTAATATGGGAGAGAGCGCGTGGCCACAACCTTGCCATTTATGTATCAAATTTTAGTACACTTTTGGTATTCAGATGCTTGAGACGGTGAGCACAGGTGAGTGGCGCCTAACCCACCTGCTGGCAACGTGTATTATATTGTTTGAGGTGATCACAGGTGTATGATGGACACTACTGTATATAATGTCCTCATACCTGAAGGATGTTCCAGGGTCCACAAGCAGGAGACGCCCCGGATAACTGGACACCACCTGCATGACCCCAGGTGCAAAAACAGCATCGCCCCCGGGCACCAGCTGTGTCGAGGCGTTCAGGATAAGAGGGTCGTGGCGGTTCATCATGACTAATGTGGCGACCCAGGTGGTGTCCTGCACACTTGTCCTTCCTCACCCTCCCCCCCTCATCTCCTCCTCTTCCTTATCCCCTCACTCACCACCTGTTCACCCCTTACCCATCATTTTTTCCTCACCCCTATGAACCCTTTCATCACCCCCCCCCCCGTGAACCATCTCCTTTCACTCTCACCCCACATACTCCTACCAACCTCCATCTTACCTCTCCTCCCTCCCCCCTTCACATGTTTCCCTCTCTCCCTCTTGGTGAGTCACTCAGCCCAGGGCCGTCTACCTTAATGTGTTAAACCCTAGATAATCTCCGGTTCCTCACTCCCCAATCCAGCCTATTGTTATCTCCCTCCCCCCCGCCACAATACACGTCCTTTACTGTATGTTGATTATACTGTATATGCCCCCCATCCAAAAAACAAACAAACACACACACATTCACACCTCCCTTGGAAAACAGAAAGAGAAAATAAATCACTTAAATAAGAGACTACTGAATCATTCGCCAATTTTTCTTAATATGGTTCTATCTAATACTGGTTCTCCGAGATGAACAATCACCCCTCCTCCTCCATCCCTCTTCTTCCTCTCCTTCCTCCTCCATCCCTCTTCTTCAACCTCTCCCTCCTCCTCCTCCTTCTCAACCAGTTCACGTGGGGGAAAGGGGGGAAAAGTAGATCCCTGAGAGCAAAATTAATCTAAGACGGACCCGAAACAGCATCGGAATTTTCACATCAATAGCGTGAAAGTGGTAAGGGTAGGGTACAGGCTGGGTAGGTTAGGTTATGCTAGAGGATGGTTATGTTAGGTTAGGTTATGTTATGTTAAGTTACGTTAGAGGTTAGGTAAGTTATGTTAAGGGTGGGTTAGGTTAGGTCCGTAATGCAGGTCCAGGAAGTTCAGTCTCGATCCCTGAAGCCCCCCCAACCACGAAAGCCTTCCGAGATGTATAAAACTTAAAACTTTAACGGGAGAAGAGTGTGTGTGTGTGTGGGGGTCCGAGGTACTGGAGCAACATAATGCCATGATTCACTTAGCTGACCCTGTGTGACAATCACCACCCAGCGCAGACTTTCACCACGACGTGTCACCAACACCAGGGTCCTACAACACTAAATCCAGGTATTGTACACAGAGATAATACACGTAACATCTGAGGTGGTTAGGTTAGTATTAGGGCATTTAAATCACCGGGTGAAATAAGCTATGGCGTACCGTGCAGGTGGTGACAGCATCATAAAATTGGTGCCATGGCGTAGATATAAAAATAACTATTTAAAAGCTATACTTAATCCAGTCATTTATAGGTATACATTACAGGCACAGTAAATCCTATGTATTCTCAGTTTTGTGTAAAAGCTTGTTGTTGTTGTTGTTGTTGTTGCTATGATTGTTTTTAATCTATTGTTTACACTGTAACTGATCAACCGCCTTGTAACTTATCTAAAATGAATGATTCTTTAAGACCTACTGAGAACCTTCCAAGTGGTCTCTCTCTCTCTCTCTCTCTCTCTCTCTCTCTCTCTCTCTCT